GGTTTATATTATTTTGACAACACTAAAGTATTTGGTTCTAAAATGAATGTATTGTATATAGAATTAAATGATATCGATTAGAAATAAAAAATACTTTTTTTAAGTAGTTCTTGAAAAAAATAATGAATTTTAATATTACATCACACATAAATTTATTATTATAATGTCTAATTCCATTCTAATTAATACCTCAAAAGAAAGTTGAATTTCACAGCAGATTTAAAAAGTAGATAAAGTTGTAATAGTTTTGTTTAATAAACCTCAAAAATTTTATTTTAAGTTTGATAATAAATTATCACTATTTTCTAAGAATTATATTGTATAAAGTGTATAATTCAATTTAAATAAAGAATTTAATTAATACAATGTACTTCGTAGAGCTGAGGTATTGGAGTTATCTATCCAAAATAATTTTTTATTATATAGTTAATTGGGTAATGCTGATCTAAAACTTTTTTCTTGCAATCCAGTAAGAAAAATTATCAAATAATAGAAAAGTGTTTATATGAACGTGAATTTAAAAATAAATCCACCCAATATTTTACAATTGATGAAATAAAATATTCAATTTTATCATTCTAAAGATTTTTATATTATGTTATTAAACTTTATTCTCAATTGCAATTTTAAGATTCTGATTTTAAAGATAAATATAATCAACTCTTTTTGAAATAATTAATCAAATTTTTCAGAAATTATATATTTTTTCTAATCAAATTATAAAGATATTATTATTGAATCCTTATAAATACTAGTTAATTTTATTATTTTTGAAGGACAGAAAGTTTTTTCACAAAAATTTTTCTTTCTTTGATTCTAAGTAAGAAACTAAACCTTTAATTCAAAAAAACCTCTCACAAAGTAGAACAATAAAGAATATATCTATGAAATTTTATTTCATGCAACCCAAACAGGGTGGAGAAGGTCAAAGCTAATTTAACTAATAAATCATTTGAATAATAATGTATATATTTTAATCATTTTAGATGTAATTGTTTTAACTAATTTATATTGTGCTCCATATCATTTAGGTCAAATCTCCACAAATTTAATCCACTATAATTTAAATTTAATAAATATTGGCTATTTACAATTTATAATTATTGATTCATTGATGCCATTTCATTTCTTTTATGAAGATATAAAACTTATTTTCCTAGTACTGTTTCATACGCTTCTATTTAATCATATGAAATTGCCACCAATACTTTATCATGTTTAATTAAATAAATATCAGTTGAATCCGAGGTTTCTTATGAATCAAATTTTCTTAAAATTTTTCTCTTATTTAAACTTAACTAATATATATAAGTGTGCTTTGCATCAAATTTCACTGATTAATAGATTAAATTACTTCTATTGCTAATACAACTTTCTTTGTAATTTATTATGGTAGTGAGATTCCTTTTAATGTACAATTATTTTCCATTTTTACAATAAATAGCCTTTACAATTTAATTAAAATAAATCATTAAGATATCTTTATATAATATCATTGAATAAGGTTACTGATATGGAGTTATAGAATTAATTTATCTAGAATTAATTACTTAGTTCTCATAATTAAGTTAGTTCAATTAAGTATTACTATCTAGTTACAGCATTGTTGTTTGATAGAAGATTACTAGATTTTGAGTATTGTTTGTCTCATACTATATAAATATTTAATTATTAGCATCATATAAGCAAAATACTTAGTTAGTATAAATTCCAATTTAATTCAAATCATAGTTACAGATTAATTAGGCAGCGTACAATTTATAATTAACATTCTCTTCAAATCGTTTAAAAATAGAAAAATCTTATTAATTTAATAAAATAATAATTATTCTGCACCTTTAACATTTGTTATTGATTATTATTCCAGGTTATATAAGAATAAGATAAATAAAGTCTTTCGTTCCTCCAATTAATATAACTTTATATTTATCTTTTATTTTGAATTGCAATTATGGTTCTTAGTATATTTAAAAAAAAAATTTGTTTATATTTTTTTTCAATATTTCGAACTAAGATTGCAAATACTTTTGAAAGTCATTTTATTATAACTAGCTGCTGACTTATTTCACTTTACTTAATTAAAGATACTCTTCGTCTATTAAGTCATATTAATCTTCATCAAAAATATAATGGACAACTTCATTGATGATTTGCTAATATTCTTCTTTGTAATTGATTGAAGTCCTCTAATTTTGGATAAGATTGTAATTTTAATTAATCCATTCAATATGATATTGTTCTGCTATTCTATTGATTAAAGTGATTTAATCTTATATATAATCATCATCATCTTCATGATCTTGAAAACTCATGAATAATGAAAGAATAAATATATAAATTAATTCAAACAAAAATTCAAACTATTAAAATGTATGGATATTAAATAAAATAGAGATATCTGATTATTACAATAGAATACTGTATTTAATTAGTATAATATTAAGTTTATTTTGATAATAACCTAAATCTAGACCCTTATTTTTAATTTTCGTAAAATGTACAATTACATACCATACCTCTTGCAAATATTTATATTTATAGATTACAAATTAGATAATGGATTATAATGAAGTTTCTTACAAATTTTGGGTATTAGAGAGAAGAAACAAATTTTTTTGTTTAAAGCGTTTTTATTTTTCCCCAAAGTGTCCTAAAAGAAAATACAAAACGAAACATCTTTTAAACATTTTTAAGACAAGTTCAATATTTACTATCTATTTCTTCAAGTAGGAATTATTTCTTCAATTATGATTTATATAACTTTTAGCTTCATTCTATTTAAATGTAATACAACTTACGCACCAAGCATGTATTTATAAATTAGATTTTATAATATTTATTTAATTTTCTTCTAATATTGTCATATCATAATAGAAAGAAATAAGATAACAAGATAGTTTGATTAATATATGATAATTGTATTTTGCATTTTTTTATTATTTTTTATTACATGACTTTGATAAATTAATAAAATAAGAAAGGACCACATTTCAAGTTTATTTAATATATAAATAACTTGAAAATCATTGAATATAATTAATTGATTATAGTTTATTATTTAGATTATTAAATGGATTCAAATTTTTAAATAAAAGAGTCTTAGCTTTAAGGCTTTTAATTTGACATTATAATAAAATGTGTACTTATTCATAGTTTGGATATGCTTTAATATTTTTCTCTAATATTTTGAATTGGCTTTTTCTAATTTCTGAATTACAAATGACACATTCCCTGAAGGAAAGTAATTCTGAAATGACTCACATTAATCACATTATATAGATGGATGGGGAAATTTTGCACTGTTAAAAAGAACATCGAGCATATTGAATTCTTTAATAATATTTTTCTATGGCTTTTAAGATTTCCCAGAATTTAATACTTCTTATTCTTAATTTAAAGATTACTCTCTTCGAAAAATTGCTCTACTTACAAAACTTTTAGCCATCGGCAGATGAAATCTTTCAGGATCTCCATCATTTAAAATGATTTTTTGTGTTTATTTAATTTCATTATTTAGCTCAGAAGAACTATTACTTTATGAGCTGTGGGCTGCTAGCGCTAATTATAGAGAGTTTGATAATTAGAATCCAAAATTATCTTCTAAGAATTTAGTAACAGATTGAGAAAGTTATCGTTACTCTTTTATGCTTTTAATTTTATTTCCCAATCGAGTTTTTGGCGATCTTAAGAATATAACAGATTATTAAGTTTTCTTTAATAACCTTTGTTCTAAATCAGGATAATAATTGAGAACTGGGCAATCGATCTCTTGATGATTGTATCGATCACAAAATTAACAGCATAAATCAAAGATTCTATAATTTTTATTGAAAATGATTTAGTCTTTTATGTTATGAAAAGTTTCAAAATCTTTTCTATTAAATTACAAAATTTCTATAAAACTTTTTCTGCTAATAGTATAAACTTTAGAAAATCCAGTACTTATTGCTGAGGTCTTTGGAGGAAAATCAGTAAAAAACTAATAAAAACCAAAAGTTTAATTCTATTATAATTTGTTAAATTTCATTTTGCTTCTTTCCTCTACTATTTCAATTTCACCTTCTTTAATAAAGTAAAGATTTTTTTCCATAATATCTCCTCTTTTGTAAATGAAATCTCCAGGAGAGTACTTTATCAATTATAAACTCTTTGATAATAACTGTTAAGTTCTCTATGAGAACTGTCCTATTACGGATTTTACTTAATTAATCACTCTTATTTATATATCGTCTTTTAAATCCTATTATAAATTTTATGGCAATATAGAAATCAGATTGTCGACATCATCTTAATTTTCATTTTGCTCTTAATTGATATAGTATTTTAAATAATTTCTTATTCTACTCTATATTTTAGGTTCTACTTAATTTTTATTCATAAATGTATTCATTTTTAAGATGGATCTTTTGTATTTCAATTTTGAGTCTTATAAGTTTTTTAAGATAATACCAATTTAATTCATTGAGTATGCAAAAACTCCGCTAGATAAAAACATAATAATGTCGACAAAAATAAGTTCTAATTAACTTTAAGCTGTAACATCGCCATATCCTATAGTCGTCATTGTCATGGTTGCCCAATAAAACGCATAATTATATTATCTCCATATAGGTTCATTCAACAATTCATACTTAATGAGCCATGATGTTTCCATTGATTTTACTCCAACATAATGCCAAAAGCATGCAACAATGTGAGCAAGCAAATAAATAGAAAGTATTAGGCTTAGTAAATCCATTAGACTATTTGAAATCCCTTTGAAGAATACGAATTCAAAATAATCCGACAAGTATCTATCGATTTTTTTGTAAGTTACAATCAGCTAAGCAAATGTCAAGCATTCTCCAAACACTTGATATGTCAGTAGATTCTGCTAAATTAATATCCATAATATTAAATTAAGTATGTCATTTATAAAATTGGTTTGGAGATACTTTTATATCAAAGTTTTTCGTTTCGATATTAATATTCCCTAAATGATAATACCTTTGTTTAGGGAAATCAATATGTCACTAATTAAAAATATAATAATTGATAGCTTTAAGGAAGAAAGCTAAATTTCATTTTAATTCTATTGAAATGACAATAAAAATGGAGTCAGCCATAATATAATAAAATTAAAGATGATTCCAACAGCATTCCAAAATATAATGAATCCACATGTTGGTTATATCACTGGTATTCGCGATTAAGTATATGTGTCTAGAGATTATTTAAGATTATATACCTAATATAGGTTATTTGTTATTTTCTTCAATGTATTTATCATGAATTAGTTGCCTTTTATTTTACTTTAATATGTAGGTGTTCGTAAACAAATTATTTATAAATTATTATTTAATTTTCTCAGCTTTAATTACTTTCACTAAATTTGACTGAATCAATTTGCTTTTGAATTTTATTGTTTAAAATGTGTTATTAATAGTGTTATTATCATCAGATATCCTAGACAAGTTATTCGCCTGTTCTTAATTTATAATTCTAGGCTAAATAGATATACTACGAGAGGTTTATTTTCCTCGATCAAAGTCAATCATTTATCTACAGGCATCATCTGATATTTCTGATAATCTCGAAGCTGATTCACTCTTGCTGCTAATTTGCTTAGTAAATTTTCTAGGGCTTGGTCTCAATTCAATATTCACTTTTTACATATAATATTAAAAATAATATTAAGTGATCCACATTTGAAAATGAACAAGAATTAAATTGAAACTGATTCTGGCCATTTGGCATTATCATCATTTTTTTTAAAAACGTTGCTGTTAAATTATTTATGATCAAAGTTAATAAAGTGAGAATCCTTAACAATAATTATTAAATTGTTGAAACACATAAATACATTAGATTCAATATATGTTGGGAAATATAAGTCATACTGTTAGAGTAATAATTATTTAAAAGTAAATCAGCCATAAATTCAAAACAATAACGTTTCAGAATGATTTTTAAAATAGTCATAAAAATGAATTATGTGAAAATACAATAATTTAATAAATATCTCTAAAATTGATGTTGTTCCAAAATATTAGATCTTTTATATTGAGCCTAGCAAATAAAATATCCTTGAAATATGTTTATGTATATTACAAAATACATAAACCATTAAATATTATATGAACTATTTTAATTTGATCTTTACATTTATATACAAAACAAATTTTCTCCTTGATTAAAGAAGTGTTTTCTTTTATTTATAAATGTTCACTAGAATAAGTTATCATAATGATTCAAATAATTATTATGTATACTATGAAATATAGTTGTGAATTTATTCAAAAAAGATTAGTCATTAAAGATAGAAAGGAGCCATACATTATAGATTAGGCTACATCATTTTTAATATTAATCTTAATTGTAAATTAATTTTAGTTGGAGGAAACATATTTGAAGTTAATAATACATATTAATTTCAGTATTTGGATATATGTTTATAAAAGGTTTTATTTAAGAATAATTTTGAATTATTTGCAACTCTTTGTTTTTGAGTTTATCTATAATTTGTTTTTCTAAAGCTACTAATTATTTTTTTTCATTATGTAAAAGTTTGAAAAATAATTCCCTCTATTCGCAATTTTGAAACATTATAATTACTATTTAATTATCTCAACTGAGAATAAATCTAAATAAATATTAATTATGATTTTTCTTCATGCTTGAGCATATATTTGTGTTATTAAATAAAAATACAAAAGTTGAATAAATTTTAGTATCTAAATAATAATCATTATAATTTTCTTAATTCATTCAAAATTATTTTGCATTTAAATTTTATAAGATTAAAATTCTATAATTTGTTTATTACTAAAATTCTAACGAGGGAATTTTCAAATTTCTAAAGAGATGACTTTATGCAATTATCATTTCATAAATATATAAAAATAATAATATCTTTATTATTGTTATAGTGGGTAAATTCGTATAACCTCCTGCTAATATAATTATTAAAACCTTTCAATTACACCATCATAATTAACTAAATTTTGCTTCTCTAATATAGCAGAATACAATAATTCTTTATAAATTATCTCTCCTCTGAAAACAATTAAGTAGGTATTTTAATTAGTTATTGAAAAAAGAAATACTTATCTTTAGTCTGATAAGTATCGAATAATCTTGAAATCAATTAATAAAAACAGTAATAATTATTTGGGCTTCAATAGATGGTTTGCAAAGCTTGCAATTCAATACTCTCACACAAGATTTAGAATCGGAAGTCCAAACAATTTTTAATAAATAAATAATATTATTTAGGTTTTATTTTTTTTGATAAGAAATCCTACTATTATATCAGTAAAGGCTACAATTAAAAACTAGGGTTAAATCTAATCCAACATAAATTTAATTACTTAAAGCATTACACTTAAATGATCATAAATTTAAGCTAAAAAGGTTTGAGAAGATTAATCAACTTTTTTAATATAGTTAATCCATTTAAAAATATTAGAGCTCATTTTTTGTATTAAATATTTAGGAATTTGTTATTTTAAGTTTCTATTTCAAGAATAGTAAATGAATCCTACATATAATTATTAAATTATTTATTAGATTAAGTTATGAAATGAATTTTATTATTTCAAAGTATCTTTGAGTGCATTAAATTCAATTTTATATTAAAAGTAAAATAATCTAAATTTATTTAATGTATATTATAGATATCTCATTTTCTTAATACGCCATAAAAGATGTAATCTAAACTTTTATTTCAAACAAATTAATTTATTTGACAATAAATAATATAGAATGAATAATTTGCACTCAGATTCGAGACAAACTCTTTAGTAGTAAGACATAGAAATTTATTAATTGATTGAGAAAGAAAAGAATTTGCAATAAAATAGCATAAATTTGATTCCGAGTGAAAATTATACATCTAGAGCAGTGGCTGAGGCATTATCTTGTGTATTTAGCTCCAGATATGCTCCAGGTAAATTCTTATTTTATTTTGCATAGGACCTCAAGGAAGCAAATATGCCCCATAAGTTGAAAATTATGATGAAATAGAGAAACTCTGTTAAGAGAGAGCATTAACAGCATTTTAATTAGATCCTCAATAATGGGGTGTCAATGCTTAGATGGGGAGTGGATCTTCTGCTAACTTAGCAATATTTTTAGGTTTATTGGAACCAAAAGATAGAATAATGAGTATGGAATTTTAATAAGGTGGTCATTTTTCTCATGGATATTAGATAGGAGAAAAGAAGTTATCAGCAATTAGTAAAATATTTGAAGTCCTATTTTACTAACTTAATGAAGTAAGATGCATAATATCATTTTTATAGAAAACTTAAGAAATTGATTATGATAAAGTTGAAATATTAGCTAAGGCATACAAACCAAAGTTAATTGTTGCTGGTTGTTCAGCTTATAGTAAATTAATCGACTTTGGAAGATTCAGAAATATTTGTGATTAAGTTGGTGCTATTTTATTGGCAGATATAGCTCATACTAGTGGTTTAATGTCAGCTGGAGTTATTCCCTCTCCATTTCCTTATGCAGACATTGTTATGACAACTACTCATAAATCGTAATATTCTTTTTTAAGGTAGCTTACGTGGACCAAGAGGCAGTTTAATTTATTATAAATTATAATACAAAAACAGAATAGATGAATCAGTTGCCCCAGGATTAGTAGCTGGAGCACATTTCCATACAATTACTGGCATAGCTGTAGCATTGAAAGAGACTCAATCTCCATCATATATCCAACTCTAGAAAGATGTTGTGGACAACAATAAACATTTTGCAGCTGAGTTCTAAAGATTAGGATTTGATTTGATTGCAGGAGGAACTGAAAATCACTTAATATTGGTAGACTTAAGAAAGTTTAATGTTGACGCTGTTAAAATGGAATATATCCTCAGTTAAATCAATATCTAATGCAACAAACAGCTTGTTCCTTTTGACACGGTACCTCAGCCAAGAGCATTAAGAGTTGGGTAATTATCTTGATTAATATATATAGATCAATTCCATTATCAGTTAGGTAGGCATCTAAAGAACATTTCACAAGAGTTGCTTAAATCATAAAAGAATCCGTTGAATTGGTCTAAACTGTTACTGTTGATATTAAGATATGGGCAGCTGAAAACTAGGATAAACTAATACCCCTAAAGTAAAAGGTTGTAGAATTGGCAAATGAATTACCAATTCCTTGGATGTGAAATGTTAAATTAGTATAAATTAAAGAATAATTATTTACAATTTTATTTGCAAATATGGAAATTTATATGATCTTTACTTTGAATTATTCTAATTTATTTCAACAATAAAAAGATGGTTTTATCATACATTAACTACAAATTTAAAGTTATAGATGTTGAACTTTTATATTTCTATTTACACCAATTTCTATATATTTAAAAAATTGAGAATTTGAATTAATTAATAATTTTGTATTGTTAATAATGTAATATTTTATAACAAATCACTATTTCTTGCATATGACTACCGTGAAATCACACCAACTTCCAACAAATAAATTATTACCACTAATAAGGGCTCCAGATAGTCCTTTCGATAATTCAGTACTTTAAGCCAGATAAGTTAGTTTATTTTATGATAAGTCATATTCTCCTACTGTTCCATAATAATCATATTTGGATTGCCTATCCAATCTAGTTAATCCTTTCAAGAATCCATCTAAAGAAAAATAATTACTCATCTTTGGGATAAGTCCAAGAATCAAAGAGTTCCTCTCAGAGTCATATTCTAAATTATCAATTGAATTTTAGACATCGATGTATCTTTTGAATATTAATCCTTGACTTGTAAGTTCATATTCGTTCAATTATCTGGCTATGCTGTCGGCAGCCCAAACCAAATTTTTTTAGTTCCAAGTAATCCCATTTAAAACTACCCCTGTAAGTGAAGGATCAAGCAGTTCAATGCATTATGGTTTAATGATAGTGGAATCCTTTTGAAATTTACAATCAATTATAAATGAAGTTCGTTATTGACTTATCCAAATAAATAATGTCTTAATAAAATGAGAAGGAGCCATTTCAGACCTTCCTTCTTTAGGATCTGCATATGGCAAGTATTTAGTAATTAAAAATCTATTGTCTTCAATGACGATTAGATCGTTCAACACTCCATTATAGTTTTCATCCATAATTATAGAATGTTGATATTCCAAATTAAGATGCTCATCCTTGATTTTGAAGACTTCTATTCTTTCTCCACCATTCTAATATGCATGATTGAGAGCATAGATGTATTCCCCATCTTCTTGTTTTCTAATATACAATCCATGTACATAAAGTGAAATGTCGTTTGGAAAATTCTAAATTCCTAATTTCACTACTTTTGGTTTCTCATCTTGAGTATTTACGATTGCATAAAGTCCTAGCTATTCTAAAATGGGTTTTCCATGTGACCATAACTTATGGAAGTCTCCAGATCCTACAATGATTGTTGTCTTGTTGTATTTTTGCATATCCTCTGGACCAACAATGTCTGTATCCAAGTATTCACAATTCGAATATGTATTGATAATAGGGACGCTCTTGAAGAAATCAAAAAATCCAATCACAACCTTTATCAAGAATGCCAAAGTGGCTCCGATAATGAGAGCTTTAATTTTCATAGAATATTTTGGAAAGAGTCAATTTAATTTAGTAGTATTTAAATTAATTACGATGACTTCATTGCATCTAAGTGATGATAAATTCTCATGAAGGATTCTGAATTCAAAGCCAAATTGATTTTTAAGATAACACATATTAATATGCTTATCATTAAAATTTATGAGAATTCTTTAAATTTGTAATAAAGCCTCAATTGATTTAGAAAGATCAATTTTAGCATTATGTCTAAATTACGACTTAAATAAATATTATTCTAGATATATTTTATTTTTTAAAAATAACTTATTGAATATAGTATACTTCATTAATTGTTAATGATGATTATTTACCGTTCAAATAGCTTTATCATCTATTAATAATAAAGTTTAAAAATTAAACTATTTTCAACAGCATTGATATGAGATGATCAAATTAATAATTATAATAAATTTATATTCTTAAATCATAGTAATCAATATAATTTTGAGAATGTGCAAGCAAATTTTAAAGTATGTTCATTCTATTATATTATAAAATGGTTGAGTGTACAAAATTAAGACATCAAAATTTAAATTGTGCTTACATCAAACAGAAGAAGTTTTGGTAATTCATAAAAAGATTATAAAAAGCATAATCTATTGATACAAGCCTCAAACAGGCACTTCTGATTAAATTACCTTTTATTTGAACTAGCCCAATTTGCTGCCAATATTGAATACGAAGATGCAACTTTGCTTGGTTGTTTTAAACAAAAGATTAAGTTAATTTCTATCATTTCATTATCTGTTGATAAAAAGTCTATTTAAAAATTAGGTAAATAGTTTTCAGTATAATGTACAAATTTACAACAACATAAAATTACAGATATAAAAATCTATGGATTACATTTGAACGCAATTTCACAAGATATTTTTATTTTGTTTTTGAAAATAGATTATAATTATGCAATTAAATCTTGATTATTAATTCTGGATTTGACATCATACTTGTATTCTTGAGTCAAAAAGGATAAGTTAAATAAAGTCATTTGTAAGTATGCGTAATTAAGGATTCTTTTATCTAAGTTATCTATTTGTTTTTTTATTGATTGTGATTTGTTTAGATTTGATTGAAATGCAGAACAATAAAATTGATCTTTGATTAATTGCGAGACATTTTTAGATAATTCCTGCAAAAATATAATAAGCATGCCTTAGCCTTTTTGATCTGGAATTTGTATCTTATCTAAAATAAGTAAGCATTAAACTTCGTTATTCAAAATACATTTTGTCAATTTAACCTTATAAAAGATTTTGTTAATTTAATCTATAAAGTACTTCTGCTTATCTTATTTATCTAGAAAATTAGTCTTCTTTTCCATCAGCATATTTCGTACATATTACTCTAAATTGTTTGCTTGATCACAAGATGGATGTTAATACGTTGAATTTGCGAAAATTAACTATAAATAGAGTAAATATTGTTTTACATTTCTCAAAAATTATCTTAAATCATAACATCCATTAATGCCATGAGTTTGTTGGGATCTGATACTTTGTTTGACTAATCTTATCTAATCCTACTTCTAATCATAACGAATCAAAATGATAGTATTTGAAATAGCCTTTCTAATAATCCATTCCCACTATTCTTATTGGAATGAATAAAAAAATTCCTCCTTTTTTTTCCTTTCATAATTGTACTTTACTGCCACCATACAAATCATCATAAAGAAAAAACTTAGTATATGTGCGATACTGTAGATCTCATCAAAAGGGAGCAAGAGTACATGAATGGTTGTAGTGATTAAAAGGACAGATGTCGATACCATCATATCAGTGCCTTATAAATATAAACAAAAGTGCATAAAACAAGTTTAATACCCATAACTCCAATTAAATAATTGATTTGTTTTGTTGGAGCTATCCATTATTTTATTAACTTCAACTATGAATAGGACATAGAACTAGTAGAATGATATCACATAATTTATTAGATATGGCTTATGTGTTATCAATTTTTACAATCCAACAATTAAGAAACAACTGAATCCAGCCAATATGGAATAGTAGACACTCTAGGCCAATATAAATTAAACCATGTTTAAAATAGCGAATGTCTACAATATATTTACTTCTTACCAATGCATATACAGTGAAGTTTAGATGCTCTTTTATGATTTTAGGAGAATTTTACTGAAGGTATTTATCGGATTGATCTTTGTATAAGAAATTTAGAGTGTATTTATTCAACATATTTTTGAAATTAAAATAAGGATTTAAAACAGTGTTGCTTAAACAACTTAAATACTTTAGAGTACATTAAATACTTATTTGGCTTCAATATGTTTTAGTATATTTGTTATAAATAAAAAAATAATTAATGATCATTATTAATAACAGAAACCAAATTTAATGATTATGTAAAGGCCTATGAGTTTACTTGAGTACGCTCTATCTGAATCTAACTTGAGTATGAATATTAAAAAAAGGAATTTAACTATTGAAACTTAATCTATATAGACAAGTCCCAATTTATTTTAAAATAATCAAGCAGATTTGGAACTATTGGTGGATATGCATTCTTAAAATAAATAATGGGTCTCCATGGAATTGTTTCGATTGATAATTCAAAAAATAGAAGAAAAATTAAGTGAAATAGACGAAAGATTAGACAATAGAGAAGGATTTCAAAATATAACATAAAAGTATAGTGTATAAAAGAAGATGTCTAAGAGTTATTAACAAGGAGATTTTAGCTAAATGGATTAGAGTCAAGATGAATTGGAATCAAAATTGTAAATTAGTTAAGCAAAAAAACTCAATATCTCTTAGCTTAAGAAATCAGAAATTAGGGAAATAAGAAATGAAGAACCATTGATAGGAAGATAAAACTTATTGGAAAAGAAACTAGTCTCAATGGAGGAGAAACAAACCAAAATTTAAAAAGAAATGAGCAATTTCACTTTGGAAATAGAATCTAAAATTTAAGTAATGATTAAAAATTCTATGTTTTTAGTAATGCATAAAGTAAATTGATTGGAGTTTGGAAAAATTCAATAAGTTTTCTTCAGAATTGTTAGATAAGGTCAAAGATGTTACTGATAATCACACAGAGATATTTTAGCATTTGTAAAAAAATAAGGAAGACATAAAGTAACATAATAATTATTAGATTTAGTTATGTCAGAATAAGTGCGGAGCATTTTAATTAAAATACTTTGACCCAACTTGAATAAATATCAGCTTCTATTGTGAACCTAAATAATTTTGTAGAAAAACACGATAATGAATTGAGTTTCTACAAGGATATAATTTAAATAACAGAAAGTGATATTCTGAAAATTATCTAATTCGAAAAGGACATACTAAAGATTGTATATAAACGCTAAGAATAAAATGAAAAATAAGGAAAATGACTAAAATAATATTTAATTATAGAAAATGCAATGAAATTGAATATCAACTTATTCGTATCTAGAACAATAGTGATCTCTTTGAATAATAATAATATTAAGAGTGCATTATTAATTTCTATATTAAATTAATCCATAATGAATTCAGAATTATTCGCTTGTTAATTTTGTAAGGAATATTTCTCCATTCAAAGAGAGCCTTTTCTTTTGCCTGATTGTGGTCACAGTGTATGTGCAGAGTGTCTAACAGCTAAATTAAAAAATGGAAATTAATTTGTCTGCAAAGAAGATGGGTATTAAATTTGAATTATTATCAAAGTGTACAAGTAACTAGAAATTAAATGAATGAATTCCCAAAAAACTTTGCTTTGCTATAGATAATCAAAAATAGGCCAACCAATAGAAAAATTGTAATGAACAATTCTCCAAAATAATTAGAAAATGAATAGGATTCTGATAGATGCAAGAAACACGGAGAAAAGATGGATGTTGTTTGTGTTGATCATCGTGTTAGAATTTGTGCAAAATGTGCATTATTTGGAGATCATGCAGATCATAAAGTAGTTAATTTGGAGGATGCGTTAAAAAAAATTATTAGAAGAATTGATGAATTGAAGGATATGTCAGAAAGACTCGATGTGACTACAAATGAAACCTTTGAAATGTCCCAATATTTTAACAAAATAGAATTGCATTTTTAATCCAATTTAGACATATAGATTAAGCAAGTCAATTAATTTTTTGATGAATTATCATAAATATTAGATAACAAGAGAAATAAAATAATAGCGGAATGTAAGGATAAGATCATTCATTCCCAGGAACTTTATAATAAATATATTAAGGAAGCATTTATTGATGTTCAAAGAAAAGTTGAATTATGGAGAATGACGAGTAAAGATAGAATTCATTACTATGAGGAACAATAGAAGGCTAATTCTATTCCTTTTGAATTGATATCTATTTCCTCAACAAATGAATTGATGCTGATCGGCGCCTAATATTTAAAAGAATTAGAATCTACAAAACAGTAAATACTACTTAAGATCGACGAACCATCTTATAGAGAAATTCATCTGGAACTTAAAAGCGATTTAGAGTAATTCATAAACACTTATTTGATTGTGTATTAAAAGGATCCTTAATTCAAATTAGAAAACTCATTATCAAGACTTGAATCAATTACTGAATGTTCTCTCCTTAAAGATATTAATAGTTCTATTATTTAAGATCCTTTGAACTAAAATTAGATGGAATAATGGATCAAACAATATTAGGAGAATTAATAGCAAAAATAATTAAATCAATAATACATATTTTAATAACAGTAATAGTAATAATAATAGTAATAATTTCTATATGCATAATAGTAATTATAATAATAATAACAACCCTAAAATTAACCTTTCTAATAATAGTTATCATATTCGAATCATTAACGAACTGATCAACCTTTGACCTCTTAAGAATTGGATGATTAATACTTGAATAACTTAAAGAAATCTCCTTCAGCAACTACTTTAGCAACGAGAAGAACTGTGTCTCCTTCTCCAATTAGGAGATCGATGAAATAAAAAAAAATAAATGAAAAATTCTAACCTTTAATTGTGAAGTTAAAGGGAGACAATTTAGATCAGTGTGATTTTAGTCAAGCGGAATTAGGTGATGAAGGATTGCTATCTTTAATAACAATTATTAAAAAGACTAAAAACCTCAGGGTGTTAAAATTGGCGAAGAATAAGATACAAGACGCAGCAGCATAACAATTACTGACTGAGTTGATAGAGAAACAAAATGAGAATGATCAGGAAAACAACTAAATATAAACTATAAATTTATCGAGTAACATGCTAACTGATAAACTTATAGATACTATTCTTGATTTATGTAAAATGATATAACAATTATAGGTAAAAAATACTCTAAAACTATGCAGCATTAATCTTTGAATCAGATATATTTAAATTAAAACATCATAAACTTATCAAGAGTAAAGAGAAAAGTAGATGAGATAAAGAAATATGGATTGATAATTGCCATTTGACTTAGTTTTAATTTGATAATCTATTATATTTATATATTATTGTTAAAGAGTAATTTGAATTATTATCATTATCATCTTTTTTTAGTTTTTGTTTACTATTAAATAGTTGATCTGAGCTTTGTGATTTTAACTTTGTCATCAACTTTCTATTCTTGCAGTTTTTTGATTTCTTCCATTTGGACATATTTATCCTATTCAAATTGTTGATATATTTCTCGTAGCAAATTTTCAAACACAAGAAACATCTTATCCTGTTTCTTTATGAGTTATCTTTTTAACTATTAATTTTCTTATTTTAATTTTTGAATCCATTAAAGCACAATTTGTTCAATTTACTAAGTTCTTGTTTTCCAATGCAATAATCCTTGTTTCATAACATGCAATCTCTTCTCATACACTGATTTAATCGACGGTGCATAACTAATGGTAAATTATTTGTTTTAATAGGATTCTAACTAATTTTCTAGGTTTTCAATTTTCGTTTCCTAAAATATTGATAAATAGATACCAAAATCATCTTCTCGTCTATTAAATCTTGATACATCTTGGATAGATTAGTTTACTAAGAGATTCTATTGACTTTCTTATCAATTTATTCAGTTAGCAATTCCGAACTCAGAGCTTGACACATGAATTACATCTCTTTGAATGCTTTTTCATACAGTTTTTAGAATTCGTCTTTGGCTTTTGTTATGAATATTATTGATTTGATTCTGTAGAATTTCTTTTTCAGATTATTCTTTCGATAATCGTTATGTGAACAAGTCTAACTCCCCTTTGGTCAAATGCAAGTCGGATTCCAATGACAAGATATATTATTTGATATCTTAAGTTAGATCTGTAGCTTAAACAAACTCCTCGTGTTGTTGCTTTAAATCTTAGATACTTTGTTGCAATTGTGATTATTTCAAATTATATTCTTCTGTTAATGTTGTTAATTATTATCTTAAGAATCTTTCCTATTTTGATTTTAATTCCAATTCAATCTTTAGATAGACATTCTCTCTCTCAAGGAAGCTAGCTTGATCTTAACCCTGAGTTGGATCTAGAATAAAAATCAAATAATACAAATTTATTTCAGAGCCTCCAGTTTATTTTATAAGAAGCTAATTTGTTGAGGTAAGATGTCATCCTTAGTACCTGATTGTGATATCTAGTATTGTTGTTCTTCTTTGCCACTTTGTCCTGAATATTAGTAATCATTATTATTAATATTATTATTCTTATGTTTAGAACTAGTAATGAAATTGAGTTCCTGGACATCTTATAAATTATTTTTAGACTCTGTAGTTTTCCTATCCCTTCCGAACGTGTTATGTTCATTATTTCGACCTGATTGTTCGGATTATGGAGTTTTTAGGTTCTCTTGATCATAGATGTCTATTCCTAAGTTATTTCTAATCTTGGATAATTTCTAATTGATTTGTTCTATAAATTAGGAATCCTCACTGATCTAGTAGTCGGCCTCAAATTAACTACTCATCTGTTAATATTATAATTATATAATTATAAATTCTGGTTTTTCTTTTATGTGCAATAATATTATGAAAGCTCAACCTGGTCCAACGGAGGCTTAAGCACCTCCTTTGTCTTCAAAGTACATGTAGTCCATCATGAGCGTGACAGCAAGCAGTAGAGCCTTGTCCTCCTTAGAAGCTCCTTTAGGGAAAATCAAACTGAAGTTGTCAGCATCTCCAACCATGTTCTTGCAACAGTCTTTTCCTTTCTTTAACAAATGGGCCACAACCTATAAATTATTTTGGGAATGTATCTTACTTCTCCAGTTGGCACTTTTATTACAAATTCGACTTTGTTACAAGAGTTGCAGGGGCATCCGCACCAAAAGTAAGTTTAACAGCAACTGGCTTCTACGATGTATCTCAAATTATCGTTGATGTCTAGAACGTGGCATCCAATGTTGCAGAAATACCAAGGATTGACAATTGTTCCTAATTTCTTATTTTCATTGTTCTCCAAATACAAAACTTCAAGTCGAGGTCTATTTTAATAATTTAACAGCAATACCTATTAAAGCACAGACAAGTGCATTGATACTCCCTCTTAAATTTGAATACAATTCGTTTGTCATCTTTAAGTAATTATTTGGCCAAAGCAGGCTAAAAGTCTTTGCATCCATAATTGTTGATCTTCATTTCAAAAGGTCTTGCATTACCCCTAATAAATGGTTTAGATGTATAAATTACGGGAGGCAGAGACGAGCACAGGTCGATGACTTTTCTTTGCATTTGAATAAGGCCTTCTACTTCCTCTTCTTTCCTTAATCATCAGCAGCATAGACCTTATATACATTTGGAGTCTCAAAACCTAAGATTAAGTGAAATCATACCTGAGAGTGCCTCGAACAGTTCAAATTTCTACTTTATAAAGATACCGTCTTGCTAACCAAGAATGTCCAAACAACTACTGGAAATGGCTTGGATTAGGTTCTGTGCTTGCTCATTCATTTAAACCAGCATAGCCTAACCCATATTTCCAACCTGATTAAAAGCAGCTTGCATGTTTTAAAGTCAAGTAAATGTTATGATAAAAAGTTAATAATAATGACTATTCATCATTAACAGTTACATATAAATACTGTTTATAAACATCACCAATCTTTAGATATTTCAAAATAATAATCAAACTACATGTGAACAATACCGTCCCCGTCAGCAAATAATAATTTCCCTTTGTAATTTCCTCTGGCCAGAAATCCTGAAGGAGCAATTTAATGTTCCATATCATAAATTTAAATATGCTTCTTTGGAGCAAAAGATCCCACGATTTCCTCATAAGAATCAACTAATAAAATATTTAGAAATGCGTACCTTTAATTCCATGTCTTTTTGTGGTGTTGTACAGCTTTAATCCGACAACGCAATCATTTTTTACTTTGAAATGCAATCTAATAAAATACTCCTCCCCCTCCTTTATTTTGAACGGGGCTTTTTCATTTTCCTTCATTCCGAATTGTAAATCCAAGGCAATTGACCTATCAGGTTTGCCTGGGAAGTGTACTTCCATCAAATAGAACTCAACCTCAGGAGCTAGAGAACCTATATTACGACTTTTTACCTTCATCTTTAAGTTCGTCAATATTTTCTAAAATGGCCTTTTAATATTTAACTAAGGATTCGTCTTATTAATTCTTGGAACAAATCACTGCTAATGAGACTCTCTGTTTATTGAAATTAACATGGTCCAAGTGAAAATCTTTGAGCTAAACTTTAAAACTAGAGTATTACGTCATTTTCAGATAACTTATCGACGGTGCATGATTGTTACCTCTTTCTAACATCGGATTATGGCAATAAGTCCTTCTAATTCATGGGCTTAAATAACAAAATAATAAATGAAATAAATATTGAATATCAAAAGATTATACGATTTTATACTCCTTGTGATCCTTGTTGACCATTGTCATCTTCATCATCGTCATTTCTTTAATTAAAATTTTACTAATTTTAAAACATTTATTATTATTGTTATTGTTTCTATTGCTTCAAAATAAGAAAATTCTGATTGTCCTAATCAATAATGTTCTTCAGGAACGTTGTCTTCATCTTTGCCACTTGATAAGGATAATCCGTTTTATAGAATAAAATGTATGGAGTCTATTAGACATACAAATTCTATAAGGCTGTTTAAATGCTTGGATACCTGCATATTTGTTCATCATTCAATAAAGTGTATCTGGATAAGGTGAAGTAATGTCCATAATTGATTTGAGCTCCTGAGTGAACAATCACAGCCTACAAATATAGGTTCTGTTAGTTGATTTGAATCCTGTTGGGAATGTCAACCTTAGTCAATATTTTTGCATTTCCTGAGTGTTTGAAATCGAATCTATTGAGAGTGATTATGAAGTTCTTAGCAGTGTTTTTGATCGTGAAGTGTCTTTTGGCATTGGTCTTTGCCTTACAATTATCACATTAATATTAGTTATCTCCATCCATTATTTCAGGTTTGCAATTCTATTCAATCAATTCTTCCAGTCTAATAGAATTTGCGTTTGGAATCGACAGACTGAGATCCAAGATGTCTTCCTGAGTCTTCACTATTTAGTTGCAATTCAAACACTCTATTGTCCATTCAATCTAGCCTTAAAATGAGTCTTTAATCAAATTCTAAATAGTTTGAATATTCTTACTTCATAAATTTTCAACTTTTTTAAACTCGTCTCAATCTCATCCAACAGGATCTTACCGAATTCATTAGCATCATGCTGATTATAATTATTCTTAAATTAGTCTGGCAAGGTCATCCTGAATTGAATTGGATTGATGCTGTCTCTACTTGAAAATGAAAGCAAAGCAAATAATTTTTATAATGACAACAATAAACCTATATTAGGCTTGTTTCCCACTTATTTAGTTTAAGTGTAATCTTTCAATTACACAACGATTCTGTTAATTTCAAAATCTAATACTTGTTGTCTGAAATCACTGCAAAGATGCAATGCCTAAATGAAACTATTCATATAGCAAGTATTTCCTAAATTCTCTAATCCTCGAAAATGCATAATTTAATTATTGTATTGAAATTCCAATATAATCTATTATAAACAAAAATCACGAATAATTAATATCATCATTGTCATTGATCGGAATCTTCCAGAAGTTTTAGCACTAGTAATCTCCATCGACAACAAGAGGAAAATAAACATCAATGTTCTTATTCATCTCCACATAGGTAGTGATTTCATCAGTATTAAACTTATGGATGTTGCTCTCAGTGTCTATAATGAAGATTCGACTGATATCCACATTAACAGCCTGATAAGCAGTAGAATCCTAATACACATAAATAAATTTCATCATACTGTTATTTTATTTCCAAATCCGGAATAGAATGGACTCTCTCCAATGAACAAATTTCTGATTTCTTTTAAAGCCGTGATCTTGAATAATTCAGGAGTTCTGTCAATCACTTCTCTCTTGAATGCAGGGAACAGACTGTCAGGACTCAAAATTACAGGTCCCTTAGGCAATTTAGCATTTTTTTATTGTAGATTGTAAATGAAATCTTTAGTTTGATCTGCCTAACCTATTGCTCTTGCAGTCAAATACATTATATTATATCCCATTGATTGTATATTCTAATAGAGATTGGCTACTCCATCATGATTCCAATCCGTGCCTAATTTCGGCATCAATTAACCCAATATGTCTGACTTGGTTATGGTACCATCAATGTCCGATATCACCAATTTAGTTTTTTAATTGTACAAGTAGATGGTTCCATGCAGTTCCACTATGTCATTCTTCTTTGGGATGCATAATCTGTATGTGATTGTGTTTTCTCCCTTTTTCAATCCTAATTATTTTAAAATTGATGAATTAGGTTTTAGTATTGGTCTTAATGGCTTTCTCCTTTTTTAGATTGACATTGTACTGAATGTATCGACGGAATCCTCACTGAGCTTTCTGAGTCGATCTTAAGATTTAAATTATTGATGCTATTTTTGACTCTACTCATTATTATTTAATCTCTAAGCATTATTATTATTATTATTATTGTTATTATTATTATTATTATTATTATTATTATTATTATTATTATTATTATTATTATTGTTATTATTTTGTTCAATCTAATCTGATCCTTTCTTTTTACCAAAGAGTACACTATACCATTATTATTGCTGCTATGTATTCGGCTTCTTCTGTTGATCCAAACTATCTATCACCATTTCTCGATTGTAGACTTGTTTAGCCAACAATTGTATTATTCCTGCCTCTCTACTAAAGAACTTATCTCCAATCTTAAAAACGAGATCTTTGTGATTTATTATTTTAAGTGAGTCCTTCTCGAAGATAGAAAAAGAGACCTTATGTTGTTCAAACAGTTGCAATCTCTGAGTTTAAGTCAAATTTTATTATTGCAGTTATTGACCACATAGAGAGAGTTCCATCACTGATTGGCGTGGAGATAGGGTCTCCCTGTCACTATAAGTAATATTGTCTTTTTCGAAATCGTTTGTTTGGATATGTTTTTCCGATTATTATGACTGGAATTATTTTTGTAATTATATTTATGATAATCCCTAATATTATAATAATATAATTACTAACGATGACGTATCTACCTATTAAATTTCTTTAAGGTTATTTGTTGTTTCAATCTTAACCCCATCATCTTTTTTTGTATTGGACCCTTTGCCCCAAAATTTTAGAGTTTGAAGCCAATTGCTATTTTTCTTGTCACTATTGAACAACTCATCAGGAGTCTTGTAATTGTGGGACAATCGAAAGTTGGATGCCTCGTCAAAAAGTCTAAATTGTTGGATTAGCAATATTACGAAATTTTCTCAGAAAATGTATCATCAGATTAATAACCAGAAGAAAAGGAACTTTTTTCGAAGTATGCCGAACCTTCCTTTCCCAATCTCATTTTCACATCCTTCAAATTCCCATTCACAATGATATCAACGTAGTAATCTTAACCATCGTATTTGCCGAATCGAACGTGAAATGGAGTAGATTTCAAGGATCCATTGTGTTATTACACAACAATTATATCAATACATCCACTTAGATAATACTAAAAAAGAATAGATTGGATGGATTTACTTGTCTTGGATCTAATTTGGATATAATCTTTTAAGTTATAGAGGTCATTATTATTAATAATATATATTAATCATTTTTAATCTTTTTTCTTTTTTTATTTTAAGAATTCTTTTCTTTATGCTGCATCATTTCTCTGTAATTATTCCAACCTTTCCTTCTCCACCTGTGCCTTATTTATGTCACCAGCAATCATACAGATCCTATCCGTTCTCTTAGTATGATCCGATTCCAAGTTCGATTTCAATATCTGCATTGCAAAAGGTTTGATCACCCTCGCATCCCAATACCTAATCCCATCGAAGTCAGCAAATCCCATGTAACTTCCAAACAATTTGCTAAGCACTGTCTTCCCCTACTTGATTTCCCCTTCGAAGTAATCTGTTGGTTTGTTCTTCACCTTTCCCAATTACACAATACAATTTAAATCTAATCATAACGACTCATTAATACTATTAGCTTCATCTACAAAAGAAAGAGCTCCTTAAGATTCATTCTTCATTGTTCCAAAGAATGTACCCGAGTAGTGTTCAGATGAAAAAGTGCAAGCTATCTTCTAATCTGGAAATTGGATTGTTCTCTTCCCATGATTCAAGATAGTCAATGAATTCAACCCGGCTTTTGCTTCATAGAGAGAATAGCCGTAAAATTTATAGGACTTCTTGGGACCATACACTAAAAAATAAGATAGAGGTGGGTGATGAGATATCTAATAATCATAATGCAATTGTACTTATTCACAGTAAAGTTAGGTGCCATCTTCATAGCCGCCCTCAAAGGTTTCACCTAAAATTGGATTGAGAGGTTTAAGAAATGAATTTGCCTAAATGTAATTAGATATGAGAGCAACAATGCTGAGTTTCATTCGTTCTAATGGCTTTTATAGAGAAGCAGCCTTATTCATATACAAAGGAAAGAGAATTGTTTACATAAACGTTTTTTCTAAGGCTGATTTAGGGATCATAGCTTTAATCTAATTAATTTTAACAAATTGAACTTACAGGGAAGGACACTGTTGTTAAATTGAAATTTCCACTAAGCAATTTCTGCCCAACTTGCTTGATCATGTTCTTTCCCACACTTCTAGCCAAATCAATTATTTTTTCATCCTAACAAGCCGTTCCTCCTTTTTTGTGAGCCTAAGGAACTCTGTATTCATCCTTATAGTCAACTTTCTTGAAATTTAAAGCATAATTCATTATAGTGTTAAAATCCCTATGATTACAATGCTCACCTTCATCAAAAACAATTGAAACCTTGACAAGGTCTATTTCATCCGAGTCCTCTTCTTGATTCTATTCAGTTTTACTGGGTTTATGCTAGAGTAGTTATTGTTCATTTTAAATTAGGATCTACTTTTCCTCTTCCACCTATTTCTTGTTGCTCAATTAGTTTTCAGATGCTTCTTATTTATTATTAGACAAATTATTATTGCTATGACCATTCTCATTGACATCGCTATTTTCATTCTTGTCTTCTTCTCTTTGTTTTTACTCATTCAACTCATTAGCATAGTTAACTGCAGAGTCAAACCCACTCCCTTAAAAATCACTTACAAATTAGACTTTTGGACTAGTGTCACTGGCACTATTGACTTATCTCCTCATATGGACTACAGATCATAATATTTATTACCCTTAATGCTTTTGGCTACTTGCACACCTGAACCGTGTCCTCCACTCTCATCACTAATATCATCGAATTTAAATGAATTTTATTTTTACACACTTCCCTTGTTTGGAGATGATAAATTATTGACCATAAAGACTTGTGTTTGTTATTTACTCACAATAATGAACTCCTTGGTTTCATCATACTGATTATTCAAATTTTTGAAATTCTTCTTATAAAATTCAAGTGCATTGTTAGATAGCAGTTTGTCCCCATCCAAATCATTTTAATCATCAACATACTGCGCTGAAAACATGCTGCCTTGTATTAATGCATAATCAGCCACATTCAATTTAGTTGTGTGGATGTAGATTTTCACATTATCATTTTTAGCTATTTCCACATAATCGTTTTAGTTGAATTCAGCTATGTCAGTTTTTAATTTCAATAACTGGCCTTTGCCAGAGGGGAGCAGCTTCTTCTTTGAGAATTTGACCAATTTGAATATTGCCTGATGCAGAGTTTTAGGATTTCTAAATTATAAAACGAATGGTTTACTAAAAATTATCGAATAAAATGATGTCTATTGTTTGGGTGGATGGATTGAATATGATTCCCAGGATTTCATGCTTGTTTATAGAAGGATCCCAATGATGCCTCCCAACAAATTCAATGTTGCTTATCAATAAATTAAAACCACTATCATTTTTTAACAAATAATTATTATTGTTGTTTATGGACCAATCATTCAAAGACACAACCACTCCTGTAGTCAACTTGAATTCGTTCCCGTCTATTTTCACAAGTCCGAATTCCCAAGAGTGCATAAAAGGCTTTGACGTTTTGCATTTTCGAAGAGAAACAAATTTGCAAATATCCTAAAATCTTGTCGTAATTTTCGTTTTCATCAATCATCAACTTAAATACTCTTCCTTTTGCTGTCCTCACATAGATCACTGACTTAAATTATAATCTGTTAAATTACTTTCTAATCATTAGCTTGCTAATAATTTTTTTTCTTTCTCAAAGATTATTCACATTTTTAGATATCAGCTTCATCTCTAACAAAGTCACCCTTATTCAAAGAATAATAATTGTTATAACTATTGGATTATTAGGTTTTGTAACACAATATCCTACCCTTCCTCAAATCGAACGAAAAGAAGTAATTGTAAAGAGTTCCCCATTTTAAATATGCCACTGCACCTAATTTTCTATCGATCTTTATCGCCTTTCATTACTACATAAATCTCATACTTAAGACTTTGGGAAAGGGGCCTACTTTATATCCTCGTCGTCCTCCAACTCATAAATAACACGGTTATTTTATTGCATTTATTATTTATATTTATAAACGAGAAATAATTTATCTCACCGAGTTCATTACTTTCATAATTTAATTCGTTATTTTCCTATTCCTGTTCTTTCATCAATTCTTAAGATGTTCTATCTCAACAACTCATTGACTTGTCTGCCACACCAATAAGATCGTTTATCTCAGAGATTTTTTATAAGTAATTGAAATTACAATATCTTTTTTAAAGAAATAATAAATTTATTATAAATAACATAAACTCAAATTGATTAATGAAGTAATTATTATATTTATTTCCAAATCATTAAAAATCGTATTGTTTATTAGAAATTATCTATTAAAATATTTCAAATTATATTCCACTATTATTATTGAATATAGGTTTTTAGTATTACTTAGAAATCACTGATACCTTCTACTATCCATCTAAATTAATTGTCTTCTCCTTTGCCCATTGAAAATCTAAAACCATATTTGTTGAGTGATCCTGTTCATTCTATAGTGACAACTACTACTATTGTTTAATTTCCTTCTCAATGTGTTGTTTTAATTGCTACCTTGCTTTTTTTAATTGCTCATTATTATTTTAGGTTTTTTGCTGATTCTTGCCTGTGTTATTGTAATGATACTTTTTATCATCCTCTGAGTAGTTCCTCTCCTAAAGCATGGTTATGAGGTGAAATCCTGTAATTTTGTGACACAATTGATTTTTATTATTGATGATGATAACATTTTCTTTTGAATTTAGGTTGTAGAAGATTTCTAAATATTGTGAAAAGTGTATTTCATTGATTTGGGATGATATTGGAAACCAAAATTGGATGTTCTTTTAGTAAATTCTTTTTTCAATCTTCTTCTTGTTTAATAATTGCTCAAAATTATCATTATCGAATTCCGAACTGCTTAGTATAATTAATTTGATATCCATTTACAAAGGCAGGGAAATAATCTAATCAAGCTAACTCATCTTTTGAGGGTCCTAGTAATCCATTAAAAATATCATTAAATATTGATTCTTGATAATAGATATTATTACATACCTCTTATGAGACCACTATCTTATCTAGTTTCTCTTAGCACTGAGATGTTTCATCTACTGAAGTTGAGTTAATGAATGATATCTAATAAACATCGCAAATTGGAGAGTATTCCTCATTCACACTCCATTTATCAAGCATTATTTGATTGATGATTTTATTTACTATATCTAAGTCAGCTTTTTTAGTTAAGCATTTTAACAACTAATGAGCCTGGAAGAAGATCTGCTGTTTTTTTGGTTAAGCAAGATTGGTGATTTTGAAGTTATCATAAAATTTGATCATTTTCCATTTGTATTTATAATTTTGGTAATTCTAATTTTGGATGTTGAATTAACTATTAACAATTTCATCTCCAAGACTCCATTGGATGTGTAAGATAGAATTGATGATAATTTACACTTGACTAACATCTTGATCCTTGAAGATTTATTGTAAAATTTAATAGATTCTGACTTTACTGGGTAATTGAAATTTCGAGGATTGCTTAATGACCAAAGTATCATAAGAAGCCTTTTTGATGATGGTCAATATTTCCTAAGTCTTGCTCTCAATCTCATTGGCATTCTATAACTTCAATTGGGAAGGCATGTAAATTTTTTATTGCAATTTCAAATCCTTGTAAATCTTCTAGGTTGACAATTTCAATTTGAAATATTGAGAGAATTGCGATGATTTCAATTGCAATGCCTATATTAGTTCTTTGATCATGATCTATTTGATTGATTTGTAGATGTGTTGATCGATGTGTTTTTTATCTTGCAACGACTTCTGCGATTGAAATTAGAGGTCTTTGATGTTGAATTCGTTGATGGATTGGATTTTGTGATTCTGAAGGGTGATAATGGAGGTGTTGTTGGAAATGTGAGTTTGTGTTGAATTCAAGAAATTGAAAATAAGAGTTCCATCATCCCAAAATTACTCTTGATCTTCTTGATTTAAGAATTGAGTAAGTATTCTGGAATGAGAATCTGAGTTTTAATTTTTCTTTTATTTTTTAATGACTTTTGTGTAAAGATTTATGATGGTGTTGTATCTGTCTTCTTTGTCATCCACGCCGACGATCACGGAGCAACTAGGGAATATAGAGAGGGTACCTCTGAAATGAATTGGTTTCGATGAACAAATTGATGTTTGAATTGTCATTGTCATCTTAACGAAAGACAAGCAAAAAGGTGTTATTGAGTTCTCTAATGAATTGCAGTAGAGAATAGCCAATGTCCATTTGATTGATGACTATGATGGTAATGTTGGGATCGATTTGGATTTTAGAGATCTGATTATTATAAAATCTTAAATTTAATTATTTTGGAAAGAGGTCTCCGACTCTAAGGAGAGCTTGATATTTGAGACCAACCTTATTGATTAGTGTATTTAATTTGTAATCTTGGAATCTAATTAGGAATTCTGATGTTTTGATGTAAATTTCCCTCAGTTGATTGGTTAGGACTGGGATCAAGTAGATGTTGTTGTTAAAGGGTGAGTGGATGTCCTATTAGATGGAGGTTTGCAATTCCTTTAGATAGGGTCTAGAGGAGGGAGAGAGATAATGATGAATTGATACATGAATTTGATTTCAATTGTTTTTGAAATGACGATTTAGCTTTCTTGGAATCCGAGGAGTGTCAATTGTTCGATTAGGAATGCTTCAAAATTGGATTTGTTGGATTGATGGAATGGTTCAATGGGTCCTGATATGTATCCAGAAGCATTCATACATCCCATTAGTATTATATATTATAAATTATAAATTAATACTTATGTGACTTAATTTAAATATTATCTTTAAAAAAAATGAGTGGAAGCATGTATGATTTATCAGTAGCCACATATTCCCAAGAGGGACGTATCTATTAGGTGGAATATGCAACAAAAGCAGTTGAAAATTCAGAGTACAATTTGAATATATCTATTTAGGACTGTGATCGGAGTCAAGTGTAAAGATGGAGTCATTTTGGCAGGAGAGAAGTAAAAGTTTTCCAGATTGTTGGAAGACAACACAAACAAGAGAATCTATAATATCGACACTTAAACTGGAATGGCTATATGTGGTAAATTGCCAGATGGAAGAAACATCTTATAAAGAGCAAAAGCAGAGTCATCTCAATATTAAGACATGTATGCAATTCCAGTATCTGCCAATGTGTTGTCAGATAGAGTGGCATAATATGTCCATGCCTACACAATGTATTCTGGAGCGAGACCCTTCGGATCTGCAAGTATCAACTCTTCTCTAATATTCAGCATTCATTGCCAGTTACAACACTTTCGATGGTTATGAGTTATTCATGATTGAACCATCAGGAAACAAATACGCTTATCATGCATGTACTCACGGAAAAGGTAGAGCCGTTTGCAAGTCTGAATTTGAAAGAAGGAATTTCAAAGACCTTACATGCTAAGAAGCCTTGGTCTATATTGCAAAGATGTAACTCATATTATCTAATTGTCAGGTTGATATTAGCACATGAGGAATTCAAAGAAAAGAAATATGAATACGAAATGACTTGGATCACTGATAACAATGGACGCAAACATCAAAGTGTCCCTCAAGATTTGATTAATAATGCTGTGCAATAAGCCGAATAATTAATTGAACAAGATTAAATGGGAGACTGATCATATATCTACATAAAGACAACCATAAATTAGTATTCATATTTTAAACGATTCTCTTCCACTTTGTTAATGATGTGACTCCTCAAACCCAGAATCATTCTTCTCTACAAAGTATCCATGCGTCTATCTATTAATCGACTTGAACTCTATCAATTTATTGTGAATGAAATTAAATGACTCTGGATACTGCGATTCCAATAATTGCTTGGTCTCCTCTGATACTTGCACTCTTCCTTTCTCCCCATTGGATTCCATCTTATTCGAAATCATTACATCCGCTCCATACACGTCATACCTCACTATCTCAGTCCCTAAGATGCCAGCTATCACTCTACCCTAATTATTTATTCAATATCCTTACTGTGTGAATCCCTATTCTCATATCCAATCCATCAAATCCAATTATTTATCTAACGTTTCGTATAATTTCAATCATACCAAATCCCAATTCTACCACATTTTTGGCTTCCTATGCAGGATTCCTTTATCTTATGTCTATTATTCCCAAAGCAACATAACAATCTCCTATTGTGTATAATTTATAGGTATTTTGAGTCAAACATTATTTATCGAATTCAGTAAATAGATTTCTCAACATATTCACCACTTATTCCGGCTCCACTTTGCTTGAATACTCAGTAAACCCAGCTATGTCTGCAAATAACAATGTAGCATCTTCCAACTATTCAACCAAAAAGACTCTCTGATTATTTGATAAGAATTATTTTAGAATATGATTAGGCAATAAATATTTCACTAAGTTTTCAGATTAGCTTTTCTTTATTCCCAAAGATCTCTTATTATTAAAAGTATTCAAATCTTAATAAAACATATTGTAATGTACTGAAAACATTAATATACCCTAAAATATTGTGTAATAAGCAATTGGCCAACTATGAAATTTGATTAGTACTATCAGAATCTAAGTAAAACAAAACACCAACAGAAATATCAATTTTTAGGTAATTTCAATTATCTGAAATGAGCAAAAAAAACAAAGCAATAAGATTCCTTCAGAAGCCTGCAATTCTATTAGTTCCTCACTCTTTAACATTATAAATTCAAGCAAGATACTGAATAATAGTAGTATGTAAGTGCCCAAAAAGTAGTTGCTGTTATAGAACTTATGTTTCAATTTCTTATTTTATGACAAAGCTAACATCAATAGGATCAATGCAGACACCAACCTTATGACGATGATCAGTTGAGAAATAGCTATAATCTCATATTGCCATATAATGAACAAGGTAAAAGTCTTAGCCAAATATTACAGGAAATGCAAATAGATGGTTATTAACACGATGTTTCTGCCCTCAGCCACCTACTCTTTAAACTCAATTGCTAATTGATATTAATGGTCTTTGAACCCTAGATATAGTTTCTTCCTCTCCAATTACAAACATTCACTTATGACATTGCTACTATCGTCTTCCAAATACCCTTTAATCTTATCAAATTCTATATCAAAATCAGGGTAATCATCAATTTAATCTATCTGTAATTCTCTTCTTAATTTTTGTGAAATATCTGATAGCAAATTAGATTTCTCCAAATATGATTATTACAACTCCTTATCTTAACAACTATTATCCTACTCATTCTCAAGTTAAATGTTCTGATTGCTATTTATTTTGATTTGATTTAGAGTTGACGTAGCCTAGGGCAACCCTCTCATTAACAAAGTCTACCTTGTATTAGTCTTCCTTCTAAATTACTTGACTTGTTCCTATTATCTATTGGACTCCTACGAAGAATCCTATTAGGCTGGTATTGATTATTTTGATGAGAATTATTGCAGAATATCCTATTATTGATTTTAAAGGGACACCTCATCTTATTTGTTGATGATTATACTATTTTATCTTTTCTAAGAATTCTAAGCAAAATACGATGGTTGTTTAGTTTAAGTCTGATACACCTAAGCTTATTATTGTATCATCAAAGATGTTTGAGGAGAATAGACTATTTAATTGGATTCTTCATTCTTTAAAATGACCCCTCTCTTTTTAATGTTTTTTTTGTCAGTGTTTCTCTTGATATCTTTGCTTACCTAATAGGTGATTAATTCTCCCTTTCCCTTAGCAGCCACCTTCCTTTCAGTGAATTGCAAATCAGGCATATTGATTTCCTAATAAGCTTCACTGGATAATGTGACTTATCCATCCTACCCAGTTGAACACACTCTACTGGTTGTGTTAACTGTGTCTCCTATCAACGAGAATTAAGGCTTGTGATGACCAATGACACCAGCAATTACTCTGCCATAATGAACCCCGATTTTGATTGTTAAATAACCGATTTAACCATACTTGACCTTCTTTGTATGTTCCATCATCTCCAAGGATAATTGAACAGCCTACCAAATATTAACTATATTGTTACTCTCTTAACACAGTTCTGATTGTTAAATTTAGTCCCTTAATCTACAGCTTTTAGTCCACCAGCAGCCATGTAGGTTTTACCGACTGTCTCAATCTTCTACATGCCATTTTAAGTGCACAACTAATCAAACTATCTGAATAACCCATCCAATATCTTAACTATGTTCTCCTTCTCTATGGTAATCAAATCATCAAATCCACAAATATCACAAAACACTATAGATACATTTCCTTAATTTTCAGCTATTTCGAACATGCCCTCTACAATATTATATCATTTTACTTGCATTTATTCTGTCTCTGATAAATTTTGGCAACAAAATGGACAATACATTGGTCATATTCGATGTCTCCTAATTCAACGTGACATCCAACATGAAGTCTTCCCTTTCCAGTCTTATCAATTTGTATTGCAAAGCCATAAACAGAATACATGTGGTTATAGCGATTATATCGCCGTTTATCACAGCGAAGTATGTAACTTAAGAGAACTAAAATTCAATCACTGAGAACTTCTTTAGAAATCCTACCATGGATATGAATACTAAAATAAAGTTTACAATCGGCAAATGCACTCTCGATTACAGTACTATCACTATATAGTTTTATGTAATTAATATTTCATAGATTCCATGGGTGTCAGTTGATCCAACATCGCAAATAAATTTAATTAGACACCTGATGCTCACGATTGCCAAATTTATAAAGAAAAAGTGCTTTGGATATATGTTTGAACACACCAAGGACAACAATGCTATTTCTAATGCTATACCCAAGATGTATGTCATAAAATATAATGTGGTCTGAAATTGATTCAAGTTATTGACTACATACAAAATGATCGCAATAATTTCTAAAAACAGAAGAGTAAATATTGATTTGTACTTCTCCAATTTCAACCATAAAATTTTAGACAATCTTTTGAATTTCATTTCTGTATCTTTGTTCATGAATTTTAATGTAAACGGATTCACCTTGTCTTGATTTACCTTTAAATTAGATCCCGATACCATCTCCTAAATAGAGATATCCAAGTCATCATTATTTCTTTTAAATATCTTACCAGCTATTACTGCTATTCTTTTTATCAGATTGTGATATTTCTTCTTATTCGTATTTTTCTTCCCATTTATTTTTGATTATATCTAGGAGATCTCCTCATAACTTTTTTCGCTTTTTATCAAACTTTGACAAAACAATGGCTAAATCACTTCAATACAAGAACTCAAACACAATTAAGCAAAGATATAGAAAAAGAAAACAAACCATGAATTTGGATCATCAAATAATCCTTCAAATGTTTCAATATTTTCATCAAACGAAAATTTGACAGACAATAATGACATTGAAAGCCAACAAACAAGATAAGCAAACAATAAAATTATCCATGCAACCATTTTTTACACTGTTGAAACGCATAATTTTACAATATCACTTCCAATCAATAAAAGTAGTAACATCTATCTAATAATACCAATCTAAGCATTATTTTAGTATAAGGTGTAGTAAGATAGCCATAATAACATCGCATCAAGTAAGGCATTCCCATTTATTTTAAATACAAAAGATATAACTTTTTTCTTTTTAAAAGTCTTTATATTGATTTTGAATTATTCTTGATACATCTTAGAATCTGCATGATAATTTTCATTTAATTTTGATATCAAACTTGCAATTTGTTATAGAATCAACATCAAACTCTAGTAAACTGTTAACCAACCACCCTCAATCAATTAATAATTTTATGCGCAATTTGTTGAGTACATCAGAAACAATGAATATAAAATTAGTAATGATCTATAAAATGAGAATACTAGCAAATCGTCATAAACTTCTGCAAATATCCTACTCTCAAAGAACATCAATCCACACAAGTCTTCAAAATTATTTATGCAGATGTCTGAAGTAGGCATTTTTTATACATCCTTAATAGCATAGACCTTTTTTAATGGGTTTTCCATAATCTTGTTCATTGAGAATCGTTAGTTCATCTTCAGTTTAGTGCTCATTTTCTAGGTCTGATAACTAGTTGGGATGTGGAATAATTGGATCCCCATATTGGCTTTTCTGAACATTTGAATATCATTAAATGAATCTCCAACTGCCAAGACTTTTTTGTTTCCTTAGAATTAAGTTTAGATAATTTTAATAATCTCTGCTTTCTCTTATGCATTGAATTTGTAGGCTATCAATGAGTTACAAAAATAGAGGAGAAATATTAGATGACCCAGTAACACATTATCTTCCTAAATTAATTTAAATTGTTCCCCACTTAAAATAATTGAATATGCTTTAATTTCTGGAAATATTTAAGATTACATTTGCTGGCTTTTCCCCATCAATTTATTTTGGCTTTCCTAATTCTGATTCTGCTCAGCAATCTTTGAGGGATACTTTTCAGTCAGAGTATTGAGTCTAAGTGCTTTTGATTATTGCATATTGTTGGTATTGGTATTGATAGTATTAGAGTCATTGGCTTATAGTTATTAGGCCATTTGAGCCAATTGATTTTTAATTACTAACTTAGCATTATCTGAATCTATGTATAGTAATTGATCAGTTGTTGACAATAATTTTGACTTGTATGCAACAGGTAAGACTCTATTCAAATCATCGCCTGATAATAAGAACAAACTTAAATCAGCTTATCTCATTTATTATATCAGAACCTTAGCATCTGGACGTATTTTCTCTTTGATACCTAATACATGCATAATTTACATATCCTTTTCTATATCGTGAAATAATTGGATTAAATCATTTTAAGATTGAGAAAATTTGAGCTCTTAATATCTATCAAGAAACTCGGCTTTCTCATTTTCTCTCAAATAAACTTTAGAGTATACCACTGTTCTCATACCAGTCATATGCAATTTTAGGAATATACGATCCCAATATTCTCTACTACTTTTATCTATGTCAACATATGCCGGTATTTGATTGAACTCTTCCCTTACAATGAGAACGGAATTAATTAGTTCATCCTCTTATTCATTCTCAGATGAAAATTAAAACTATTCAGCCAATTTATCCGGATATTGTATCAATACTCCTAATCGAGGATGCAAGTGGGAATACTGATTAATTGCCAGGATTTGAAATTCATGGATTTCTTTTAGGATTTCAATAATATAAGTGATCTTTCCACTTTATTCATTTGTACAAATAAATTTAAAATCGAAAAAATTAGCAAATCTCATTAGCTCTTAATCAAACAAGTGCGAAGTTGAATCATGAATAAATTGATCTTCTTATTGAGTGAATTTAGATATTACTTCTTAACACAACAATAAGGAGAGTATTGCTTCCTAATAAAACATTTAAGATGGTCCACAGACTAACTTTTAATAAAATTCTTAATCTTTATAAAAGGCAATTTCAATTTATTCTTCATCAAACTGAAAAAATTGAGTTTAAAATTTATTATTTCTATGAACAAACGATGATTACTTTTTTATTTATCTAAGCTCATCCTTCTTGGTTGCATCACTATCACTTCTAGGCTTTTTCTATTTGTCACTATACATAGACTATTTCTCTTCCACTTACATTAATTAAATTTCTTCAAATGGACTAGAGGATGGAGACTATTAGATTGAAAGTGATTGATTGACAATTGATTTATTAAAAAATGGCTTTGGCTTATTTCCCTTCAATTCAGGTGTAATTTTACAATGAGTATCATCTAAATCCTCAGGCTTTAAATTTTCTACAATATTATGTCCAAGCAATTCAGAAATATTACCATCAGAAATTTTAACATTTGCACTGTCTAACTCTGACTTACTCAAAAGTCCAGACTATTATAAAGGTTGAAATGTTTATATTTTATTATTAAAATTATTCTGAGCATCCTCTTCTCTCAGCTAAGTTTGATGTAAAAATGTAGATCTTTGTTTTATATTCTGAGATTTATTTATAGACTTCGTTAGTTGAATTGTATTTTTACAGCTACTATTTCTTAACTTTTATTGCTAATCAATTGCAATTTATTCATCAGAATTTTCTTCTTGTTCTGGAATACGAAAATTCGGATTTTACTTCAATTATTAATTGAAATTATCTTTGTACAACTACCATCCATTTTGTATCTTTTTTTAACTGAACTTGTACATCATGTCTTCGATTATTATTGATCTAACTCTAAAATCTCCAGATGTCAATGTTCCTGTCTTATCAAAACACACATATTCAGTCATCACCAAATCACCGATAGACACAGAGTTCAATTATTAATAATTGATGGTTTATTATGGTTAATTTTAACTATTCATTCCTCCTAGATTTGAACCACCTTTAACTCGGTAATCAAATTAACTATGATATTTTGATCTCCTGTATTTAAAATGAGCATATCCCATTTCAATTAAATCTATACAATTGTAAAAGTATATTGGCGTTGTCTTCAGATACTGAATCATATAAAAAACCAATGTAATGCTATCAAACACTGCTTCTTCATATTCACTTCTGCACAGCTTAAACGATGCGACCAACCAACTGATAAATGTTATTATTATGCTTATGGTCAAAGTCAGTGCAAAAAACATCCTAGATTTTTAAACAAAAAATGACTTTTTCTCTGCCATATTTAAATTATCATAACACACGCATTTCTGCCCTACAAATAATACCAACCCAATCAAGTACTAACACGTTTTCAATTGCTCTTCTCTCCTTACTACATTTTGTCTATTGAAATTTTCCCCTTTAGGGTCCTTTTTTAATTTGATATAACCAAAAATATTCTCATTTGAGTCTTTATCAAATTAAATTTGACCAGTCAATATCTTTTTGTAATCAAAACCCTATGCTTTGTATTTACCATTTTTTAGCATTGTTAATTATGTTGGTTACCTTCCATCCTCTTAAGTCTAACCATCTAATTATTATGTTGAAATTCCAACAATATCGTCCGATACATCAATTATTAATATGTCTGCAGGACAAACTTCATTTCTTTTTAAATAAATTAAATCCCCTACTTCTAACTGTTACCATTGAATATTTTCATATAGTTATAGTTTTTCTTTTTTTCTCCCGGACTAAACTGAATGGGGTTTTTTTTATATCTCTACTTTTGATATTACTACTTATGGTTCTTTGGAAATTAGTTAATTCTCAGTTTGTACTGCGACAATTTGTGGCTTGTTTCCTGAATTAATTTCTTTCCTCAATCTTCTGTATCTTGTGACTTCTCGGTTATTGGTTTTCTTGTCGTATTCCATTTTTTGATAATCAAAATAAAATGCCTTTGCAATTTACAACACATAGTGCATCGACAATGGCAAAATGTACATTACCAAATCCTCTTAACTTTAATTATCAGATTATTATTACTTAATTTAAAGAGTGCAAAAATGAACAATCATCACTAAATAATAGATTAGAACCCCTATTCTTTCAAATTACTTGAAAAAGAGATAGAAAAGCAAATTCTTAAAATCAAAATACCCCGTGTTGATCTTATTAACTAATTCGCTTTACTTCATTCCTTTTATATTCAAAACCTCCCCACAATCAATTTCTATCTATTCCACTCAAATTCAAATAAATACTTAGTAATGAAATCTCTTCTGGTTTTGCCGACTTTTGGCATTATCATATTTACGTTTCAATTGCTCATATATTAATTTTCCTAATGTTTTCATTATACTTTTATTAAATAATTAAGAATATCATTTTTATTCAATTTAATTAATTTGAATTTCCAAAAGGATTCAAGTTTATTTTTCTTTAGATTTAGCATACTGAAAAATCAAAAAATGGAGAGACCTAAATTCTTGTTTTGACTTTGGTTATAATTACAATTGTTGCTTTTAATTTAACAGAAAATTGTTATTTATACAGAAAGGTTGATAACACACTCATAACCGAAAGTGATTTGAACTAATGTTTATGAATTACTTTACATTACATTATAAAAATAGTAATTATTATCTTATATAAATAAACTAAAAGTTCCAAATTTTTTATTTTAAAGCAAATTAAATTTTATGAGATTGAAGAAACAAATTTATATGTTATTTGAAGCTTTAAAGTCTTATGGAAAATATTTGATGTAATCAAAAATTTTAAATAAAAAAATAATTAAGAATCATCAATCCTCAAGATGATTGCATAATTTAATATTTATTTAATTCTATTATTGCTAAACTATTGTAAATATGATGAAATATGTAAATTGAAATGAATATTTGTAAAAAAAATATAATCCCATGATTCTAATAAAATTTAACTGATTTTTGAAAAATTAAATTAAATTAAATAATGACTATGAATAGAAAATACGGGTTTAAACAAAGGAGTGAAACAAAAATCATTTTTTATTTTTATAGAGTTAAATGCCTTATTACATTTAGGATACCTTATCTTAAATATTAGCATAAATGTACACAATTTAGGAATAAACCAAAAAGGTCTCAGTTATGATGATAGTAATCTTTAAAGAATAGGCATATTTATTTGAAACTAACCTTTAAATACACTCAATTGCTTTTAAAAGCTTAAAATATTAACGTTATGAATATTTTTCTAATTTAAAATTATTTCTAGAAGATTACTTTGGTTATAATCCATATTTTATGTTTGACAATCATTTTAAACCATTATATTTAAATGGAAACTTTTAGATTCTTTTCCAAAATCGTGATTTTTTGTTAAATCTGCATGGAAGGATTATTACAATTTTAATTATTCAATCAAATATATGATAACTCTATTTTGGAGGCGTTTTAGAAATTAATTTATCTTTAAATCATATATACCTTAGTCCAAGATTTTAGTTTTTAACATTTCAATCATTTCCCTAGCATCATCACAACTAAATTAAAATATTATTCTTAAAGAATTAAGTAAATTAATTGGTATATTAAAATTAAATTTGTAAAAGCAATTTGAATTTTAGGTATCATTTATTGTAAGTATCGATTTTGATTATTATATAATTCTCATAAAAGTCAAGTAAATCCTAATTAATTCTTTATCTTGGATAATCAACTGTCAAATCAGTGATTATCTATTAACATTAATAAAATTAGAATCCACTTAAATTCAATTATTATCTCATTTATCAGTTGAAGATTTAGCATTAGCATTCTGTTTATTTAGTTGTTATGTTATTGTCATTTTCAATCTATTTAATATTGTAGAATTCAATTTTGTTTGGATTATTCAATTTTATGAATGACCTAAACTCAACTTGAACTCTATCAATTCTATTTAAACATTTTTTGAACCAATAAATAGGGTTATAACTATTGAACTTTTGTATTTTTTCAATATGAATAATAATTTTTATTTAATATGAAGTTTTCATTCTTGAAACATAATTTAGCTGAGCTTATCAGTAGTGCAGAACTGTTAGATTCACCAAGCTCTATAATAAAGAAATTCGGTCCATACCTTATGACCAGTTTATTTAATGGAAAGCTTTAAGAGAGTCAGGAAGTCATAAATTATATGGAAAAGAATATTGATAAAAGTTCTTTCATTCGAAACTTTACTTATGACCCTCATGCTAAAAATTGGAGAACTAACTATAGGAAATCAATTGAAAGTTTAGCTTGTTCGATTATAGTTGATAATCAAAATATCATTGATAAGCATTACACAACAACATTGAAGTAAGAATAAATTACTTTGCCAGAAGCACTGCCTTTAGCGTATACTTTGGTTGTTTAAAAAGTAAAAAAGTGGAATACCACGCAAGAATAAGAGGCTTTGGAAAGATTAACCTATTTACTAAATAATTAAAAGCAGGATCAATAAAAAATGAATATAAACCTTCTGTATTAAAAGTATTTCCTATCTGACCTTGGATAGTATTACCCTGATTTGTTAAGTTATTCTTAAGGTAAGATCTTCTGTACAGAACTGCCCTTGGATTACTTTATCGGGGAATTGAAAACAGAGTACAATGATTTCTTTATCGAAGATAACAGTTTGGTTGATTTGAAAATAGGTGATTAAGTTTATGTTTTTATGTACCCTGAAGAATTCGAGAACACAACTATTAAAGCTTTTTTGTTAAAATTTGTGAGAATCAAGAGATTGCAGGAGTTGTACTCTAATGTTCATGTTGTTTGGTGTTATAAAGGGATGAAAAAGAAGGAGTTACTAGACGCTATTGGTATCTGAGAGCTTGTGTTATCATATATATTAATAATCAAGAAAAAAAAAAAATATATATATCAAATAATTTGGTTTTGAGCTTATTTTCTTCTGCATTTTATATAACCATATTTTATGTGTGTGCACTATTTAAATTAATAACACAAAGTTTTATATTGAAAATATGCATTTATAAATTAATATTATTTATTTTATAAATTTTACAGGAAGAAGATGAAAAAATTAATTGCTGCTTCACTATCATTTATGTCCCTTTTGACAATCGGAATGGTATTTAAATCCCCTTACTGATCAGTATTTATTATGATTATTATTAAAATATACAAAAATCATAATCATAAACTATTTAATCTCAATGGATCAAAAGAATTCTACATCTATATTAAACTTCAAACAGAGGTGTCTTTGTGATTGTGTATGACCACATTTAATTTTTAAATAAATTATATTTTATAATTTTTAAGAGCAATTTATTATGATATATGCATGAAATGATAAAATATTTCAAACAAAATGTAGATCCTATTCTTGAACCCCCAACTCCTTTAGAATAGGGGGAATGGTCTTATTCATCGATGGAGGACCACAAATATAAAATTTATCGTATTAGGATACAAATCCAATATGTTTTTAGAAGAACACCTTATTAAATCTCTCATTAACACAACACACATCCTCTGTCCATTCTTTCACTTTGAGTATCATCTTAAAACATTGTTGGGACAATTGTTTCTGTAGGGATATAAGTGGAAAATATATATCGGAGCCTATCAATTCTGATTTATTGGCTGCTGCAAAAACGAGAGTGATATGTAAATTAGTATGGAATTAACATTCGAATGGATTGATTATGTTATTGAATTTTTTTCCATATTTTTTCTCTACAATTTAGTAAATAGCTGATTATAAAAGAAAATCCAATAAATCCAGAAATGGCAGTATTCCAGTTCCTCCACATATGATTACAATTTTGCCCTTGCTAGGTAAACTTAATGATGGTCCATAGGGTCCATTTATTTAAAATTATTCATATTGATTTTTATGAACGTATTGAGATAATCCATTCTTTGAATCGTAGTTCTTTATGATGAGTGGGAGCTCATTTAGGTATTTTGGCTGGAGGGGAAAATGATCAAAGCACTCCTTATTGTGTAATTGAGTCTCAATTAAATTTACTAGTTGTTTTCTGTATTAGACATTCTCTGGAGCCATACTTAGAATGCAAGTGTATTATCTAATGGGCAATTAAGAATTCGTATGAGCTTTCAATTAATAATACCTTCCAAATTAGTTATAATTTGTTAATTACGATGAAACCTTTCTAAATTCATTATCAAAACCAAAATAACTAACTTTTTCCGATATTTAATTAATTGTAATCAATTTCCACAAATTTGTATTATATTATAAAACGCTGTTATTTTAAATAATAAAATTGATATTATTGATTCTACCAATTGTGTTCTACTTGATCATTTAAATAGCTTTATCTGAGTGTTTAAAGGCTGGACAACTGCCATCTTCTAATCCTTGGCTGCCATATATAAACCTTGATACTTCTCTTCCTTTGGTTTTCTCCCAAATATACTGTCCCCCAGGATGGACAAATCCTGTGAGATTAATGATCTCATTGTTAAATATAAACCACATTTGATCTTTGTAGTCTCTCTGAATGCTTTAAAGATCTAAGAATTACAATTAAAAATTACCATTTTGTATGACATGTTACACAAATAGAGCATCTTGTATAGTTTTAGGTTAACATTACTCTTCTTTCTATTTAAAGATTTTGGAGAAGAGTATTCCATTTTAATACACGAACTCTAGAAGCACTCTCCAAAAGAATATGAGGGCATAAGTGATCCAAAATCCAATCAAATTCCACCTTCCATCATCGACAAAGTAATTATAAACTTCATAGAATCCGAGTCCACATTAGATCTTGCCAATCACATACATGAAATAACCCACATAGATGTGAAATAGCTGTTGAATCTTGATTGTTTTTTAAGTTTTCTTGTTTTCAATACACAATTTTAAAATTAGACCTCCAATGCTTTACAATCCCATAAGGCCAAGGAATGCAAATCCAATTGGAGCATGCCAATATGCCAAATGCTCCTTTCCATGGAATTGTGGAGGATTCCAGATCAAACTCATTAGGATATCTGCTATCATGGTTGGCAACACACACAAGCCCATTATGATAGCATGTAGATTTAATCTGTGTTTTAAGAATATTCCGTATCGATTGGCCAATAATCCTACATCTGCCAAAATTCCCCAAACGATGAAATTGCTCCACTTATGAAAGTAAAAGACGGTGTGTCGATCTTCATTGACTTCAGTGAGCTGCATTTCGTGATCTATTGTTATCTAAAATGCATTCATACTCTATTCAACTGAATTGTAATCTAAGAATGTTCTGTTGGATTGGTTATCTTACAACTCTTGTGTCATTGCAAGGCATGCAAAAGATAGAACAACAACAATGTTTAGCATATTATAAGATATTTTTATTATGTTTAACCAAAGAATGGTGACCAGAATTAAATACTCCGATTTGATTATGTCATTCAAAATAATCCCACTTATTAGTTTGATTACTAACTGCTTCTGTAAGTTAATTATAAAATAAGATTTTATAAATTATAATAAATTCTCCAAATATTTAATCAAAATAAAGAGGACTTTTTAAATTCATATTGGACTTTCATTTCTCAAATGTGTTTTTCTTCATCAAAGAGTGTTGGAATAGGTATTAGCTCTGAATTCTGGTCACAAATGTCTGTTTTTACTAAAATTCCGAAATCTTTCAATTTCAACTAATCTAAATTAATTGTAAGCAAAATCTTTAACTTTTGCAATTTGATTCTTAAATATCAAATTAACTACGCCAATTTGAAGCCACTAACCTAATTAATAAATACCAGTTTACAATGACTCTTAAGGATGGATTCATCATGAATACATGTAATTTCTCTAATATTCCTAGATTGCATCTTTCAAGGCTGGCTCTTTCAAAAACCTAAAATAGGACTGTTTTTCAGTTATTTAAGTGGTCTCCTTTGCTGTGGATGAAGTTGTAACGATTCAACAGGAGAGAATTCTCATTTGATAAAATGCTCATATTTCTAATATATTACACATACAGACACATTAATTGATGTGAATTAGAAATTGTATATGAAATTTATATTACACTATATGTAATTCATTTGTAATTATTTCTTATTATACGTGTATTTTTAAGTGTCCACGATAGAATTTACTATAAATTTAATGAACAAATAAATCTGAAGTTATCATGTATTGGACATCTGTAGCAAATATTTCGTTTATAGGGGGATTATAATGAGATGGAATAATATCATTAAATTTATATATATGAAACATCTGAAATTATCTATCCCCTGCATGAATTAATCCTTCCTCTACAAGGGGAACTTTTTAGACATCAATTACGAGGAGCTTGTTAAGTTTGCAGAGAGCAAATTAGGCAAAAAGTTGACTCCAGAACTCTATTTTGTTTATGTTAATGTCGAAGGTGACAATTTTGTAATAGATAATGACCATAAACTAAATAATCTGAAGAAGTTAAATTCTTAGGTTTTGAAAATCATTCTCAAGGAATTCGAAAGACAAGTAGTTCTTCATCCAAATACAATTTGTTCTGTTTGCCAATAGTCTCCAATTTAAAATATTAGGCACAAGTGCGTTGTCTGTGAAGATGTGGATTTGTGTCAGCATTGCAGTATCGAACATAGCAGATTGCATCCGTTGATTATGATTTCTAAACCAGAATAAGTGATATACTTAGAAAGTTTTTTTAAAAAGCACATGAAGAAGGTGAAGAATATTTTAAATTGTTCCATCAGCAAATCAAAAAGCACAGTCATTGCAATCAAAGATGTGATTATGAAAAAGAAACAAGATTATTTTGGAAATGTCAAATAACAACAAGATTAATAAATCGATTAGGGACAATTCAAGAAACCTCCAAGTCCAGAAGAAGAGGATGTGTTGAACAAGACTCTGAGATTGTCAGAAATATTTGAAGGACAACCCAGCACTTATGAGAAATTCGTTAAATAGAATAAGGAGTTGACATTTGAAGAATTAGTTGAGAAAGCATCTGAAAAATTTGCCTGAATTATATAAATTATAATTATTCCAAATAGTATTATTATCATCTTCTTTGAATTTAAGCTGACATCAACCCAGTCGTGGTTTGATACATCTAAAATTAATCCATCTATCATTACGTTTTAATATTATTGTTAATCTGTCACCCAAGGAGGCTATGCTTTGCTCTTCTGATATTATGAATATTGTTATTTTGATTCCAAAGACATCTATTGCATCATCTGATCTAATTGTTCCATCTTCAAAGGAGTTTATTACTATTAAATTCTATACTAGTTAACTAATTAAGGGGTTTACTATTGTTAATATGATTGTTGTGCAGATTGCTATTAGGCAACATTAGTGTACATAAAATCAAAGTATTGCGAGTAAATGATATAATTATTATTTTGAGGGATGTAACTTGATAAATTGTAGTATTTCTTGATAAATCCCAATAGTTTTGGTGATGGTCGATCGTAAGCCAATTTCTCTGGTCTCAACATTTCCTATCTGAGCATTTCTTCAAAGAGCTCTTTGCCAATACCTCTTCTTTGTACTGATTCATGCACATAAAAGTCGAGAACGCATAAGGGTTAGATTTCTATTATTGCTCCGTTTAAATCTCTATGGAATAGGTTTTTTCTTCCTATTTTTAGAATCCCAAAACATTGCTAACAAATCCTCTTGAATACTTACTTTTCCTTCTGACTTGATATACAACTTTTGATCAGTCTAAAAGAATCTGGTTGGACTAGTTATAAGTTATCTCAAATTTTATGCCTAACTTATTTATGAATGGTTTACCAATGCTGAAGCCTCCCCCATGATTGTGATCACATCATCAAGCTAAGGGTTACGGTTTTGGTTTCCATTCAAAATCGTAATTCCATTCTCATTTACTGGCATACATTTAGATAAGTAAAAGTTGAATTACATATAATCAAATTTTAATGAATTTATATAAACCATTCCTTACATTATTTCAGTATTCTATCAAAGTAGTGGAGTTTTGTTCTTCTTTATATTTATTTTAAGTATATTCCTTGTTTGCTAAATTTTCTATATTTTATGATAAATATAGAAAGTTATTGATATAGATTTTCAAGATTTCTTTTTATTAAGTCTATTATGTATTAGTTATCAATATACTAGTAATTTGATATTTTAATTTTTTATATCAAAATTGATCAGATATTTATGTTTATATAATTATGAAACAAAAATTACAGAAAATTAAAAAAATGAAGTGTTCAATTTGTTTGAGTGATGACTGTTAACTATTTACAGACAAAAATTGTAAATGTTAATTCTGCTTTGATTGTGTTCTTAATTGGATTGAAGAGAAAATCAATTTAAAATAGTAGGTCAATTCCATCTCATGTTTAAACCATAAATGCAAGTAAATAATTTCCTTAGAAAACTTTCAACTATCCATAACGAACAAGCAAATCGAAGAAAAGTACATGGACATAATGTTAAAAAATTATTTTCAACAAACACATGATATTAGACCTTGTCCAAACAATAAATGCAGTTACTATGCATTTCTTCCTACCAACAGATGTGGCAAAGAATTCTCTTGTCAATAATGCAGTAAAAAACTTCATTGATATATTTAGATTTTAATTGGTTGGATAAACAATATCTGTCATATGACAAACTATTCCTATTAAAACTTAAAGATATAAAGAGTGACATCTTCACATCTGTGTTCGAATTCATTTCCACATAAGAATGCCCAAGATGCAATTCTAAAATATTGAAAAATGGTGGGTGTAGTCATATGACGTGTAAAAAATGTCAATTTTATTATTGCTGGAGTTGCAACAATTAGTTGAACGATTAGGTTCATAGCGAAAAACTCTGCCTAATTAGAGTGCTCAGTTATCTATCGATGATCCTTCTCAATATTGCTGTTACATTTTACAACTTGGGATGGCTGCAATACATATTCATGGCCATCTGGTACCCACTATACGGATTGGGTCTCTCTTTGCTCTACAACTCCTACATCATCTTGCCTATCACTATTATTGCCACGTTGGTGTACACTTACAAGCAATGGCAACAGGTGACTGCAGTCAGAAAACAGAGATTCATCAAATCCCAAGCAATAACCCTAATTGTATAAATCATCATATCCATACTCTTGGCCATAGCTACCTATTACAATATTTTCAATATTAACTTTAATCAAGCTCTGAACTATCATTACTACTAATTCATTATCATCATGTCAGGAGGTTCAATAGTGCTGGTTGTGTTGCTGTTCAACAATTTCTTTTATTAAAATTGGCTCAAATTTTTGATTTGAAGATATTTATATATAAAATTCAATATCTTTATACCAATGTTATTATTCACTTTAAAGAATGCCTTTAATGTAATTCAAAAGTGCAAATCCCAAAATGTTATCACCGTCCAATATATGAAATCGATCAACATTTCTAAGATTCTGTGAATAAGTTAAATTCTGGTTCTAAATTAATATTTAATATTTATTCGATTCTTAAACTTAAAAAAATAGAATCAGTAATCATAATTAAATTTCATATGAACACAATCAGAACATTGAGACCATCATATGGATCCTCTTAAGAGATTCAGATTAACACAACTTGTTCTTCCACTCCAAAGTTGACTAAATCTCAAACCTTTATCCAAATGAAGGTCAAATGTGCCTCATCGAGTAGTAAAAATTCAACATCGACAAAATTAAACTCTCCTTATCAACCTCACCAAAAGAGTCAATTCTCTGTTAGAACCCACTCTGATTCATAAGACGCTCATTCTATACTAAATGAATGCGTTCACATTTTCAAGGAGATCTAACAGAGTTCTATGATTACCCAAAATGAAATAGTTTTACTTGATGTGAAATAGAAGATGTGCAATATTGAAAACATAGTTGAAGAAATTAGACGATATCAAAATACCAAAAATTTAAATTAAAACAAGATCTCCCAAATTATGTTACAAATTATTGAAGAAAAAAGGCAAAAGCAATAAGCCATACGGTCAGGAGAAAATCTAATCAAGTAATAAGCTAATTAGATTCAATAGTTGGTATCAATATTAAATAATGTTAGAATCTAAGAATTTCTCTTTATGAATGATGTTTATTTACATTAATATTATTAAAATAATATGTTTCCCTCATTTTTATCAATGATCATGTTTTAAATTCTTGTATTAAATACGAATAATTTATACAATTACTTTAAATAAATGATTAAAAAGTTATAAAATAATGTTCAATAAATCGTTTTTATCTATATTTATTAATTAATTACTTTTGGATAACAATCTTAATACATTAAATTCATAACTAACTTGGTAGGTTCGAAATTCCACTACCAAAACAAGTTGTTAAATTCATTTTTTTATTTTATCATAAGTTAATTTTTGAAGACCAACTTAAATAACCTTTTATATTATCTGTCGTTCAGAATATTTACTACACCCTTGAAGTACATAATTCTGTATTTAAATTTGTTTGAGAAGTAAATAGAAATTTCAAAGCACATTAGTGATATTTAATTCTAATATTATTGTGCATTAAATGACTATTTCCTTCTAACAAAATGATAAGGCAATATGGAAATTAATAAATAATTTTAAATAACATACAGTTTTTCTAAGATTAATCAAATAAAATAAATTTATATGCTTCATTTATGATTGATTAAGAATCCCACTTAAGAATGTTCTAATAGATAATGAGCATTGACCCAAGGATGATGTTACATAAATAGAGGAGTGCCATCAGTTCCAACTCCTCTCATCAACTATTCTTTACCTCCAGGATGTTTATTTAAATAATGAGTAACATCGTAAACTTTAGAATTAATGACAATCCATGCTGAATCACTTGTGTTATGTTTGGACACCTATGAATATTAGGATATGATCATATACGTCTTCTAATGTAAGTTATTTTAATTCGCATTTCTTAATGCTTTCATTTAAAGCTCTTTTTGATATCCAACTCGGAGAAGCCGTTTCTTTAGGTTACTATCCAAATTTAGGAGATTCAGGTTAATTTTGCTATTATTGTATTGGTTACTGTGATTCTTAAGTAACAGAATTTCTTTTTTTTGGTTGTATTATTAAGTCATCAAAAATACCTTTTAAAGTGTCTAAATATTTTTAATTGGTTTTTTTAATGACTGCAATGGTATAATCAATGCTTTCGACCTTCCTTGTTCCTTTGTATTTTTCTATAAGAACTTTTTCGTTAGAAATGTGATAGATACTACGATTTTGTCTTAGAGAATTCTGAAGTTATTGTTTAAAACAGATACCATAGCAAGTGTTTTCACATCATGTCGTTGGGGTATGGTTATGTATGTGTGGGGACGCTTGAACTCCACTATTTAATCAATTTCGTAATATTGATTTTCTTCATCTCGCAATGTCAGTATGTCAGTCTGGAATTTCTGTTTGATATCGTTTAGGATGAAGGTAACAACTTCCTCAAGAATTTCAAGTTGGACCTCATCTTGCATCCAAATAAGAGTATCCTGTCTTTCTTCGATATACAAATTGATTTCTTCCTTATTATTCATATAAAATAATCAAAAATGGGTTGCACTAGTGCAAAAATAAATGAGCCACTAAGTCAAAGACTACGGCAAAAAGCCAGCGAAATTTTCAAGAAGCTAGACATCAAAGGGAACGGAACCATTGATAAGGAAGGAACTGAATAATTTTGGTAAGATTTTAAATAATTTACTAAAGGAAGTCTAACTTTGCAAAATTAAACACAGAAGCCCTGTTTGAGGCTGTTGATTTTGATAAGAGTGGAGACATTACAGAAGAAGAGTGGATGGCATTCTGGGAAATTGTGAAAGAAAATGGGTACTCAGAGGAAGAAATAAATTTAGAAGTATCAATTAGATTATTAAAGCCAGTTGGATGAATTGATGGATGGCAAGGCTTGGGTACAATTTAAAAGAGTGGACAGATTCTTAAAAATCGATGAAAAGAGAAGAGGTTCAAGAGTTAAATCAATTGTGCAGGAAGAAAAGAAGAAGCTTTCTATCATCTAACCAGCACGATTGTAAAAGAGCAAGACGATGTAAAGTGAGGGACCTGATATGCAATAAGAGAATTAGCAGGAATCTTGATTATATTTATAATTAGATATATCATAGTTAAATATACATTGAAAATTCAACTACTACAAGTTTTTATGAACATCTCTATTATTTAAATAAGTTCTTTCAATTTATTTCACTTTTTATTTGCTAAGATTATTAAATATAATTGTACTCTGTATAAGATGGATTGCCAATTATGATAAATTATCAAATTTTTACCATAAGATCAGATGTTTAACTAAGAAGGTATTCATCATTCGGGTATTCATTCAAATTAATAAGAAAATTAAGTTATGAAATCAATAAATATATGAAATCAATTTGTTCAGGATAATATTGTTATTAGTAGTTTCTTCATTATTTCAAAGATAAACCAAACATAAGGATATTAGATTTCTTTAAATTTATGTTATAATCATAATAAGTCTTTAAGAGTAAATCTAGAAATATCAAATTTAAAGCCATAAATATTTATTCATAAGTTTAATTAAGGTTTCTTAAGATTTAGAAAAATGCGTGATATATTTTAAATAAAAGGGTGTGTTAATGTTACTTCCAAACTCTTTTAATTATAATCTTCAATACAGATTTATTCTTAATGGCCTATTTCATCCAAGACTTTTCTATTAATAAATGCCAAACTAGGAATTTGTTTTCTCTCTGAATTTTGAAAAAAGGTCTAAACTTAAATTGAAAGCTTCTTGTGTTACAGATGAGTACCTTGAATTTCTTAATAATTTTTCATTATGAAGTGTCGAAACAGAGATAGATATTTAAAATAATCAAATAGAAGAATACTTATTTATTAATTAATTCATTGTTAATATTTTTATGAATAGGCTTCAATTTGCCTTTGTAATCTATTGACATTGGATTTCATGCGATTCATTTTAGTCTATTCTGCATTCTAGACTATCTCGTAGTCTATGAGTGGTTGAGAGTAGCGTGGATCGAATTCTTCCTCTTTGATCACTTGGAATTTATTGAGTTCAAATTATCTTATGTTCACTCGGACCTAATCTAGGTTTTTGTCGATTCGGCTCATGAGTTCCAATAGATCTTGCAAGGCATCTCCAGAATCAGGGAATAGGAGGACAGGTTTTTCTTTGGACCAATTGTCAACTGGGATTTCAAATGACTTATGCAACACATCTTCTAGGGTTTCAGCGGAGTTCTTGAGTAAGGCATAAACCTTTTGGATTTCTTCATCAATATTCATAATAATCAACTCTGTGACATCCTGTAAAAATTATGTAAATTTATCAAATTTCCTTATAATAATTTGATGGAATAATCATTGTTTTTCCTGTCGGCTGAAATGACAGCCATGAAAGCCTTCAATGAGAAGACACAGTCCATATATTAGAATATGTAATTTCTTGATAAGAAACTCAAAATGAAAGTACCAAAGTTGAGTTTGGCCATTACAACTCATAGATTAATATTTACTAATCACACAAACATAGATTAATTAAATGTGAATGATGTTAAATTTGTCTATTTCGTAATCCCCTTGTAGCATGTGAAATCGATACAATCAAAAGTAATCAATAAATCCTATTTGAGACTGGATTTCTGTCATCCAAGATAGATCACATCAATTTAGAAACTAATTTGGGAGAAGTCGCTATTTTCGGGGACAATTTGGAGGGCCCTCTCTTGTTGATCAAGGGTAGCATAGAGAAAAAGGAGTGGCTCCAAAAGCAAGAACAATAATAAACATCATCAGTTTATTGTGGGATGAAGTCTGAAATAATGAAAAAGGAGAAGCAAACATAGCAAACCATAGACACAGTGCAAAGTACCTTCAAAGGTGGGTTTGAGGAATTATTTAAGAATGCAACAGAATTGAAGGAGGTTTCTTAATACATCAAATAAAATATTAAGAAGGGAGAGAATAACGAGATTGATGAAATTCTGTCTAAAATTGGCTAATCACGATTGGATAAGTATATGATATTGATGATAATACAAGATCTGAGGATTTATTTTATGAGAAGTTGGCTGAACAAGTGTATAAGCTTTGTGCTGAGTTGTTCCCGAAGATGGGTGGTATAATCTCCCTTTTGGATGTTTATTACTATTTTAATAAGAGACGAAATTCAAGTTTGGTGAGTCCAGAGGAGATACTAAAGGCAGGGTTACAATTTCAAAAATTGAATTATTAAGCCAAGGTCGAAAGATATGATGGTATTTCAGTGATTGAATCAAGTATGTTGAAAATCATACTATTTTTAAGCACAATACAATAGTGATAAAGATTATGAGAACACTTTAGGAAAACACATTTCTTATGAAATTGGATTGACTGCTGAGCAATTGGCGAAGAAATTGGGGATCTCAGTTATGATTTGCAAGATTAAACTCAAGAATGCTATCAATCAAGGGAAGGTCTGTGTTGACAATAGAATTGAAGGCACTCGATATTTCAAAAATTTAATAATTAATATTTGAACAAAATTTATATCAATTTAAAATATGAATTTATAATAATAAGAAAGACAAAGAGTCACAGACAACCTAAGTTAAATATCTTAATTGAGCACCAGAGCACCTACAGTTATAAATCAGCAATAGGAATCACTGCCATTTATATCCTATACAACTGAAAATGTGGATAGACAATAAAAGTAATAGGAAGAAAATGAAAGAAAATAAAAACTAATGGCCGAAGCACGCAAATTAATGGTGCCCACTCAAGAAAGCTAAATCAAATCACAATTAAGATAATTAGGCTAACCAGTAACTTATTTTGGAGAAAGTGCAGCTGATAGAAGATAGCGTCTACGTACATTGTTAACAGAACATTTGATGTAATACGGTAGATTGCCTTAATTTTTTAAACAATAGAACAATCACAATATGGGCAATTTAGAAAATGAATATTTCTTATACGAAGGACTCGAATAATTAAGAGCTGCCAGAATCGAAATAGCCAAACTGTCTCTTCATAATGCAGCGCTCAGAGTTGAAAAACTAAGACTCAGAAGATTAACTGTGGATGCTTTGCAAGAAGATCAAGAAGTCTTGGAAGAATTGCAAAAAGTAAATCACTTTGCAATTTAAATGTCCCAATTCGGGGATTCTTCTGGCATCTCTAGATCAACCATTAGTCCAAATTAAAAATATCTTGCAACTGCTGGTGGATCTGGAGAATGCAAATTATGGGACATTGAAACTGCTTCACTTAAGTCTAGTTTGTTGGGACATCTAACCAAATGTCATTCTATTGCATTTCATCCCCAATCCTTATTGACATTATCTCCCTAATCTTTTGCTAATGTTGCTACTGCTTCAGCTGATCTCTCTATCAGATTGTGGACTCTGGATTTGGATTAGCCAGAAGTTGAAAATTTAGGAATCCTATAAAAATCAATTGTTTTGAAGGGACATGAAGACAGAATTAACAAAGTGATATTTCATTAAGATGGCAAAAGATTAATCAGTATGGGTTTTGATAAGACATGGAGATTGTGGGATATTGAAACTTAAACTGAATTAATGGTATAAACTGGACATTCCAGGGGAATCTATTCAGGAGCCTTGCATCCAGATGGTTCATTATTATTTACAGGAGATTTGGGAGGATTTGGAATGGCATGGGATTTGAGGATAGGCAAAGGCATTTTGCCATTTGTAGGTCATGTCAAAGGAATATTAGCTAGTGATTTTAGTATGAATGGTTCTCATCTTGCAACTGGAGGAGATGATAATTTCATAAGGGTTTGGGATATCAGAAGAAGAAACGTAATTGAAAAGATACCTGCACATATCAAATTAGTGAGCGATCTGAAATTTTAGCCTATTTATAGTAAATTCTTAATTAGTGCTTCTTATGATGGAAATATTAAGTTTTGGAATTCAAGAGATTGGAGTTTGCACTCTGTTTATGAGACATCAGATACAAAAGTAGAAATATTATTTATATTTTAGCATACTTCTGTCTGTATAACGAATGACATAAAGACTATGATTTCTACAGGTTTAGACAGAAAATTTGTTATTTGGTAATGATTTATAATTAATTATATGATTATTATAATAGAATATTAACATAGGTCTCATTTCTGATTCTTTAAACTCAGAAAATATATCAAAAAATTTTAAATCAATTTGGAAAAATTTCATTATTAATAATAATAAATTCAATTTATAAAACAATTATTTTATTAACTAAAAAATATTTCAAAACCTTTTATTAATATTGAGATTCTACAAAAAATTGAAGAAAGATAAACTTTTTCTTGAATAAATATTTAATATAACAATTTTAATACTTATAATAAATTCAAAATTGGATCAAATTTTGGATAGCAAACTCTCATCTGAAATATGTGGATTTATAAGTGATCTCTTATTCTTTATATTAACAATAATTGATTAATTCAAATTTCAATACTTATTAGTCATAGATTGTTAGTTATAATAATAAAATAGAGGGAAATGAAAAATTACATGTGATCTTTGAGAATAATTTATTTATAATTATTGTTTTGATGAGTTGAATCAAATTTATTGGGTTTTAAGATAAACAGAATTTTGAAGGCTTATATTAATAATTAACATAATGTCTAAGCTAAGCGAGAATCTGAGGATATTTCTTAGAGAACTTGATCAATTTGGAGTGGTGTTCAAACCAAGTATAACATCAGATAGTGAGTATAAAACAGTCTTAGGTGGAATATTGTCTATTCTACTTTATGGAGTTAGTTTGGGATATTTCATCTACTAATTTGTAATTTGGAAGGAGGGCGGGATGCTGCCGAAAATCACAGTGTCAAGTGAAGTAATACAGAACTAGCAAATTTATTTTGAAGAGCCTCTATTTTCAATTAAAATGAGAAAGATGAATGACACCTAGATAGATCCATTTAATCCTGAGAGTATCGTTATTCTTCCATTAATATTCTAATATGTGAATGGATAATTAAGTACTACTCCCGGTATTCCCATTCTAAATAAGACAAATGATGATAATGAGTTCGTGACTATCTACTTCGAGAACATCACATTAGCCTTAAGTGAAGACAAAACAATCGAGTCTCCAGAATTGGAGTATATGATATTATTGATTGATTGTGTTCCTCAGCTGTTGGCGAATAGCACAGAAATGAAATGTGCCAATGCAACTACCAGAAAGACCTTTTTCAATTAATCAGTTAATACACTTTTATTCACCACTTATGTCAAATAGTTTAATGCTCAGCAAGAGAAGATCAACACATTTGGAAATGAAGTAATTGTTGCCTTGGATCCAACTTCTGTATATTTTTCAACGAGCACTTTGAAATTGCAAGAGACTACCATAGACAATGGAGTGCTCTTCGAGAGTACTTATTAGAGAGACTTCATCCTGGATATATCAACAGCAGGTTAATAAGTCAATAGCAAGTTTTTTGCAAGTGTGATTAACTCTACTACCTACTTCATCAACAATTATTAATTGAACGGGATAAAGTCAGTTTAGTACATTCAATACCCAAAAATAAATGAGGTGTTGGCTGATACAGGATCGATAGTTTCTCTGCTTCTATTGACTTCAGCCTTTGTCATTATGACCAATCAATATTTCTTGGAAAGTGAGGCCATTTCCTAGGTAATCAACATGTTCTATCCGAATCTTAAATATTTAAAGTATAGTAAGAATTGGTATGGCAAAGTTGTCAGAGTTTAATTGTTAGGTCGGAATTTGAACATCGATAAATTTAACTCTCAATATGGCAGGCTGAAAGAAGTAGCTCAAACGAAATTGACAATTACCAATTAAATCTATGAGATTTCAAGGATATAGTTCATTTTGTAATCCATGATAGAAAGATCCAATTTTAATTTCTCCCATAGGATTGGAATCAAGGAAACCAATTTCATTGAGGTCACTAAGGAGGAGAGTGAAAATGATAACCAAGAAGGGGAGATCTTTAAGGATTCAAAAGTGGTAAGCAATATAAATAATTGTAGATTCCATCCAATGATAGTAAACTCGAAATCTCATAACAATAACATTAATAGAGGCAGCAAACTATTTACCCAGATCACTCTAGCAATACCATTCTGCCAAATGAAATTTAAAAAGTCGAGATATTTTAATAGTTCAAATCTGAAAATCAGAATTTGAATGATAAATTGTTTAATTCAAAGGAGCTCAATGATTTAGATTTTGAGTTGCTAATTTGTAAGAAAGATAAAACTGATGCTTAATAAATGCCTTAGTTTTTTGAAATCAATAAAGTCACATGATATTTATAATACTTTATGATTAAATTACTTTAAAAGTTAGATCAATTTGGAGTGGCATTCTAACCCAGCATCAAATATTCAACATCTCAATATAAGACATGTTGGGGAGGAATAATGTCTATTTTACTATACGGGTTGAGCTTGGCTTACTTAATTTATATTATAATCTAATGGAGAACAGGGCAAATGCTACCAAAAATAACTACTTCCTCGAAACTGGAGAACAACGAGCATTTTGAACTTGATGAGAAATTTGTAGAGGTTCAACTGAGAAAATTTGGTTATTCTAAGATTGATCCTTTTAATCCCGATGCCCTTATTCTTCAACCTCTTTTCTATGTTTTTAAGAATGGTATTCCCTTGAATAAACCCATTGTTCCATTATATCAAATTACTACCAAAGAAGATAAATTTCATGTCATAAGTTTTTCCAATTTATCTTTATCTATAAGTGAGATAAGAAATGAAGCATATCCAGAATATGAAGTTATGCTTACTTTTGGAACTTGTCTTGAAAGCTATTTATAGGAAGGCTAAAATTGTGCAAATGAAACAGTTATCGAAGAATTTAAAAAGTAATCAACAAATGCGCTCATTGTAAAGTATTTTGCCAAAGAGTTTAATACTTAGACGGAGGGTCTGGAAACTATTGGGAGGGAATAAATCATTCCCTTCCAAGCTAGTAAAGTATATCAGACACAGACCTATATTTAAATTACTAAGACAACTGTGGATGTGGGATTTTTATTTGAATCCACAATTGATTATAATTATATAAATGAATATCGTGTGGTTGGTGCCACTCTAGAATTAGAATATTATAATGGATTGTTTGGATATGATGTTTATATGGCATTCCTATATAAGATAGACAATGTTTAGATAGAAGTTTCAGTTGCCTATACAAAAATCAGTGAAGTTCTTGCAGAGGCAGGATCAATAGCATCCTCTCTACTGATACTATCCTATGTGGTCATTTTTTTGAACCAAACCTAATTGGGATTCGAAGCAATCAATAATGTTATTTAGATATACTATCCACAGTTCAAGAATATAAAAATAACAAAGAATATTTTTGGATAAATCAAAAAAGTGGAAAAAAATGGAAAGTAGTTGGACTTATAAGCCTTTAAAAATCAATATCAAAAATTGTGCCACATTAGTGAAATCAAATTGACCATTTCAAATTAAATCTATGAAATATCTAGGCTATAGTTCTTGATATAAAATCTCTTGCCATCAAAAATAATTCAACAAATTCACCATTAGGGAATACCATTCCAATTCCAATACACTGACAGTAATAAGGAAGAGTAATTGAATATCAATAAATTGGATTGTAGTCTCAACTAAGATTACTAATTCAAATTAAATTCTATTGTATTTATTGAGATTATAAATAGCTTCCAAATAATGCTAGTCCTCATATCATTAAAAGCAGTGAAGTTCAAACTATCTCGCAAAATGATTCCAAATTGATCCAGAATACATAAAAGCTGCAAGAAAATAATAATCCTATCACACAAATAAAATAATTTAAGGACTCAGACTTCAATCTATTGATTCATCCAGAAGTTGAGTAGGATTGCAATACATATTTGAATCATCCTGATACAAAGATTTTATCCGATTAGTGATTTATTATATTTGTTAGTGTGATATTAATAAAATACTGTATAAATTATAATTTATTACTAAAAATGTTGAAGCTTTTAGAAAATCTTGACTAATTTGGAGCAGCATTTTAACCAAGCTTCAAGTATTGGAAATATCAACACAAAACAGCAGTCGAAGGCATTATGTCAATCGTCTTGTATGGTTTAAGTTTTGCTTATTTAATTTATTTACTAACTTAATGGAGTTAAGGATAAACACTGCCTAAAGTTACAACTACTTAGAGAAGCATTAAGAATTATGTGTATAATATTAATGAAACTTATGTTCAATTTGAAACAAGAAAACTTTCATTATCTATTATTGATCCATTCGATCCAAATGCTATAGTGTTATAACCTATTGTTTATATTTTTTAAAATGGAATGATTATCGATGAACCTTAAGCAGTCAATTATCCAATTTAAAGAAAGGAAGGATTTATAGTGTTAAATATATCAAAGTTGTCGCTTTAAATAAGCGAAGAGAGGTCGGATGAGACACCAGAGATTGAGGTGATGATTGCATTAGGATAGTGTTAAAAACTCTTCTTACTAGAGGGATATAGTGTGCAAATCAAACTATAATAGATGGCTATTTCTCGCAACCTGCTAATTCTCTGCTACTTAGACAATTTGTTTAGGAGTTTAATACGAATGGTGAAGTCTTAGAAAATATAGGAAGAGAATAGTTTATTAGTATTTAACAAAATTACACATTTTAAATTTAAACGTTTGTTCGTATGTAGGAGACTACTGTTGACACAGGAGCCTTGTTTGAATAGATGCAACAATATAATTTTATAGTAGATTATAGAATGAGCAATTCTATTTTAGATTTAAATTACTTTGGGTAGATTTTAACTTATAATGTCTATATGACCTTGTACTATAAAATAGATAATATCTAATAGAAACAAATAATCATATATCCAAAGTTAAGTGAAGTGTTGGCAGAGGCAGGTTCTATAGCATCCACTTTATTGTTGATATCTTATTTAGTTGTAATTCTAAATGAGAGTCAATTATATCAGGATGCAATCAATTATGTAATATCTTTGCATTTTCCTGATTTTGCTTAGGTCAAGATTAAGAAGAATATCTTTGGTTAAATTATTTAAGTTGAAAGAGATGGGAAGTAGTTGGATTTAAATGCATTTAAGACCCAATATTCTAAACTGAAGAGGATAAGCCAAATCAAATTATCGATTTCAAATCAGATATATGAATTATCAAGGATTTAAATAATCTTGCAAACTATCTTTTCATCTCAATTTATGAGTTAATCCCATTAAAAAGGAATACCACTTACAACCTCATATTTAGAACCTTATAAAGAAGAATAGCACAGTATAGTTAAATTAGAAATGAATATAAATTAGGAAAATCTTCTCAAACAAAATTAAATTGTAATAAAATTAAATAACAAAGATACCTGCGTCAGTTGATAGTTTAATTGAGAAGAAGATCTAACAAGAAGGATTCCAATTGAAACAATAACCATGTTAATAAGATAACTCAAAAGGCGAGGTGTGTTAAGCATTCAATTTAAGAGATAAGCTTTAATTATCCTATGATGTTCTGCTATAAGAGTCTGATTTTGATTTACTGACTATGCCAATTCAAGACTCGAGTGATTAGGATAATAAAATTAAATGATTTTACGAGAATATGATCAAATATCAGCTCCACAAAACATACATAATAAATCTGAATCTTCCGTTTGATCTAAAATAGCCTACTTAATTGCAGAGAATGGAATTTCCTCATGAGGTTCTTTGCCTACCACCTTAAATATCAATCTTGTATAATATTCACAAAGCATATCCAAAAAATCATCAGTATTCTAAATGTATTTTGCCAAACAAACTTTAGATAATTGATAGATCTCATCCCAACACAATTACCCATTCCCATCTTAATCAGATATTTAAATAAAAAGATCTAACTTTTCAATTAATGTTTTTGCCCTTATACTAACCATCAATTTCAAAAATTCATTCCAATTCAAGAATCCACTATAGTTAAAATCTATTTTGTTGAAAATTTCCTATGCCAGAAACTCACTTTACATGAAAATCTAGTATATCCCTGTTCTATAGGTGTCATAATCAACCCCATCTTCTACATTGTAGTATCGATATCTCTAGGATGTAATTTGTTATAATGCACAAAATAAAATGTAAGTGTTATGCAACTCATATCTCGAAAAATTAGTGTCTTTCAATATTTTGGGAATTCCTTGAATAAATAATTCCTTATTGATATTCAATAATTTATGCAAGCTTCCTTTCTTAGTTATTAGTTCTTATGTGTTCTTCTCTATAAAATTGGTTGAATTTCTTATTTACTCCTTTTGGTCATTGTTAAAATTAACTTCAGGGGCTTCGTCAGCACAAATATCGGCTTTTCTATGCAAGAACTTCTTTAATAGAGGTTCCAGAAGTTGAGCAGCCTATTAAATTTGACTATGTAATAAATGTAATAATACTTTTCTATAAATCTTTAACTTGATACTTATTCTACGTGAATAGCCATCAAATCTTCATTTTGATTATCATCCTCCTTAAACTTGATTTTCTTCAATTCTTAATCATACCATCCTTCAATCTTTTCTAACTTCTCAATCTTAGGATTCTTTACTATATAATCTGTTGACATATATTCTTGATACTAATTTTTTTACTTTGTAGTCTTGTTAGTTCTACACATCTAGTTTATTATTGGTGTGAAATTAGAATTTCTTTTGATTTCAGCATATGAATGTTTCAATTCCTTTGATGTCAAAAACTCTTAAGTGATTTCAATCTCCTCAGGCATTGTTTCTATTCTATATTCTTGATCCACTGCTTGATAATTCTAATAAATAAGTGTGTTTATTATGCCATCAACGTGATGTGAATAATCAGGTTCTGTTCTTCTTATTGATTACTCGCATTGGTGTTATTTACAACAATTCTCAAGGTACAATAATTAAGGATTGAATATTTCCTTGTAGACTGTAGAGGTCGAATAAATAAGAAGACTCTAATTGATTGGAATATCAAGATGAGAGTAAATGGGGGTTCCATCTTTCAAATAGAAATATAATTTCTTGGAATTAATCTTCAGTCTGAAGTGTCACATAATTTACAATCATACCTATTTTTAACCACGGCCACAAATTCTTAGAATAAATGCTTGTCCTTAACAGAGTGATCAGGTACATACATAAAGATATACTACAAAGTATTTGTGTTCAGATACAACTAATTTACGATGACTATCTATTTCATCCTAAGTTATCAAATAAGGATATACCCATTTTATTAAACAAAAAATCGGCAGTCTTAATCAGTGGTTGTTTTAATTCTCTAAGAATGTTGAGATGTGATTATTTGTCTTTGGCAAACGTTCTCTTGTAAACGGAATCTAGAATAACTCTTAACCAATTTATTATCTCTTTAATTCTAATCCTATTGTAAGATTCCTTTGTGAAATTTTATTGTTTCTTAATATTTTGTTTCTTGGATTGTGGACTCTTTGACTTCAGGCCTTCTTTCAAAGTGTCGAGTTATTAGAAAAGAGGGAGGCGTCTCCCTTGATGAACTGGGTTGGTTCCTAAAGAATAATTTCTGAACCTAAATAGTCTCTTATTGATTTCTTTATTTTCTGTATTATTGATAAGAAGATTTACAAGATTTGTGAATAATCTCGTGAGTGCTATTACTAGATTTTTTAGGGCTTTCAAATTAAGATTTCATGATTTTTCTTACCAATGGCTATGTTTCGAACTCTTTCATTGAAGTTACAGAAGGTAACATGATATAATATTAAATATATATTGAAATAATTAAAATCTGAATTCACTAATATTTTTTAGAATTAGATCTCTATGTTAAGTAATCATTTACTTAAATGATATATTCATAATACTCAATCTTACAAAAATAGTGTTTCTTAAAATTCCAAAGAAAATTAATTAAATTACATTATAAAATATATCAATAACATATATAGCAATATCTACGTTAATAATAATTCTTAAATAGAGTTTTGTGATAAGATCCAACCTTCAACTAATAAGATATTACTTAGATGATAAATTATAAAAGAATTCCCCATCATTCTCTTTTATCAGAGAATAAAAATTTGTACAAGTATTCAGATATATATATTATATATGTATCGTTCTAAATTAGCTACTGAATTAAAAATCTATAAATCAGGATAAGAGGCTTGCAACTAATAGAAGAGGGAGTTGTTTGGAGTGAGAAATTTGTATAATTATTAAATAGAATTAATCCACTTTAAATATAAATCACTGAGTTTTCATTCAACATTGCTTCTTTTTTATAATGGAGGTTTTGAGGATCGGATTCGCCGGGTTGTCGAGAGCTCTTGCTATGGTTGATTCAAATTCGTTGATATTTAATTAGCATTCTTACTCTATGGGATGTTTAATGGTTTATAAATGTCTTTATTAAATTATGGTTTTCTTCTCAAAAATATCGAGTTCTCTAGAAGTTTTGATTGACTCAAAGAATTATCAGTTATTGGTAAATTTGCTTAATATTTCTTTATAGTCCTATCTAAAGATCTATGCAAAGTAGGTAAAAGGAGTTGTTCTTTCTTCTGAGTTTATGTGATTTTCTTTAATTAATCACATGAATTCCTTTCTCTCCTTTTTTCTTTTATACTCACTTTGAATTACGAGACTTTATTCGAACCAATAGATGCAGAATCAGCATTAGACAGTTTTTGAGCTTTTTCACCAGAATTAGAAGCATTTTTGCTTTTGGTTCTGGGATTTCTGCTCAACCTAAATTGCTGTTTCTCCACTGGTGTTGTTGGGTTTTTCGATGAATTTCTAATCGGAGGAGTAAGGATTGGACTGTTTTTTTTAAGGTACTAAAGTAATGATAGTGCTTTGATCAAGATTTTAATTTTGGAGGAGATTGTATGAGCTTTCAAAATTTCAATAAAGGTTAGTGGTTAATCATTTTTTCCAGTAATCCATGGATGCTCCAAACATTGATCCACATTTAATCGATCTTCTGGATGATAGGCAATTGTTTTAAGAAGGAAACTCATTGCCTTTTGGCTGATTTCAGAATTCCAATTCCATTTCATCCAAGTAATCTTCTCAGTATAAGAGGAAATGTCATCCATTTGTTAGAAAAAAGGATGTTTGCCTTTATTTAATAAATTAAACACCACAATTCCCAAAGCCCAAATATCAATACTCTAAGCAGATAACATAATATTTTTACTCTATTGTATCTCTTTTTCTAGATTTATTCAGGTGCCATATACAAAATAGTTCCACAATTCTCACTCATGAGTCCTGAACCATCTATGTGTGCCAATTAAGCTGATAATCCAAAATCTATCAAGGTTACATGCAAATTCTCTGGATCAATCATGATGTTTTCTAGTGTTGGTATTGACATTTACCAGGTTTAATATCCCTATGGATTATATCCTGCTAGTGTAAATATTATATGGCTTCAAGTATCTGCTTTGTTATACAAACAACAGTCTCGTTGTCCAATTAGTTCCTTTGATATTATGACAATGTAACTCCATTAATGAGATCCATGGTTATAAAAAGCTTATTTTTTGTTTCCTTACTCTATCAATAAGAGTTCAAACATACAAAAGAAACACGCACGATATTCGCATGATTTAATTTAATTAGAAGTTGAGCTTCTTATCTCAAAATCTCTATTTGCTAAGAAGTAAAATGAACTTTGTCAATTATTTTTATTGCTACTAATTTATTTGACATATTCAGAGCCTCAATCACAGTAGAGAATGCTCCTTTCCCGAGAATCTTAAGAGGTTTATATTATTAAATAAAGCCTTAATGCATTTCACCTTAGTCTAATAATATATCAAGTAAGTTCATCACATCATTTTATTGTTTCATTTATTTATTATTTTTAGATTTTATTATTAATTTTACAAAATTACTTCATTGCATTAATATTATCAAAGACATTTAGATTATAATAAATTCTACTCTCCTCTTTCCTGTTGAAAGGTGAGTGCGACATTTAAATTCTTGGGATTAATGTAAATTAATTTATTATTTATTGGTTGTCTCTTTAAAAAGAAAAGAAAGAAAACTTACCCTCTTAAGATGAAAAAATTGATTGATTAAGCTTCTAAATCTATCATTTAGACTTAAACCATCATATAACTTTATTTAATAGTAAAACAATTAAAATTATTATAATAAAATGTTGTAAGAGGTATAAGTGTTTTTTATAAGCCCCCTCTCATCATCTAATAGGATAAATGACGAATCCTTATAAAGTTACAAGTATATACAATATATGGGATATAATAAAAATGCATCTATTTTATGTTCCCTAATACATTATGCTTTTAATAAACAAATTTCAAGAATCCTAGAGAGTATTCTTCAGCTGATTAATACCTTGAAGAACTAAACAATTTACACTGAATTTGTAAAATTAATCAAATAAACCAAATTTGAAAAGAACCATGTATAGAAATTCTTTTAAAATCTCTATCTGATAGACCAGAACAATGAAATTGCTGGAAAACTACTTTTTGATCTTTGCAAAAGTAAGGATTGGTTGGATGGTAGTTAAATAGCATACAATCAAATAGCGAAAGAATTTTAGTTGAGGATTTCTATTTATAATTGCAATGAAGTTTATGGAATCTAATTCAAAGAAACTATCGATCTGATGGTTGATGCTAATAAAAAATTCTATTTTCTCATCTCAGAACCAATATTTAAGAACATAGAGAAAACATAATGTCCCTAATGCAAAATAAAATCGGAATTTATTTTATTGACTTGCAATCATAAACATTGCTATAAATGTTTACGAAAGAAATCTTAAATTGAGAATATCAAATGCCATTGTGGAAAAATATGTTATAAAAAAAATGTGTTGCATTGCTTATAAAACTTTGACAAAGTGAAAGAGTATAATGAAATGAGTAAAGTTTTGTTAAAATATTATGAAAGTGCAAATTCATCAGTTGCACTTACAGATCAACAATTATCATTAGATAGAAGTAGAAGATATCATGCAAATCAAGATATTGAACAAAAGATTGCACCTACAGTTGAACCTCTATATGAATGTAGTATATGCTCAAAAAAGTCTTAAAGTTAATTATTAGTCTTAGAAGACTGCAAACATCAATTTTGTTATTATTGTGCATAGTAATATAAATTACAAAAAGAGTGTCCCTTATAAAACTGTATTAAAAAAATAGAGTAAAATTCATAGTAAACTTGTTTAAATAAAAATAATTCAAAAGAAATAGATTATCCAATTATTAATTAAAACATAAAAGAAAGCATTTAAAATTCCTCCAATCCTAAAGTAGCAGAACAATGTTCTAGATGCTCTAACACATCTAAATATAAATTATTTGAAGTAAAAAAATGTAATCATAAATTTTGTAAATCATGCCTATCAAATATTGAGATGAAATATGAATTAGCCTTTTGTTTAAAACCCAAATGTTAATCAACATTTACAAAGCAAGAATACAAAATGTACTTTAAGTCTGTATAACCATTATCAAATTCAGAGGTGCCTTAAATGTAAAGAGTGATTCCCCCCTAAAACTAATACTCATCTTTTGACTGCGAAAGTTGTAAATATAAAAGAAGTGAAGATCAAAAATATATATTAAACTGTGGTCATTCTATTTGTAATGCATGTATCATTTTAAATGTTTAATTCAAAACAACATGCTGCTATTTAGCAGCTTTGGATTCTGAATATCAGCAATTTCGGAAAAATATGACTACAAATTGCAAAGGTTGCCAACTCCCTTTTCAAATAAAAGAATTGTTTTAGTCGAATTGTAAACATGAATTTTGTTTAAGTTGCTGTTAAAAAATATATTTAGAAAGATCTCAAAGATGCTTGGAAAAAAGATGTGGTAAACTAATATTTTTTGTAGATGATTTGTATAATTTCATTTGGAGTTAAAAAATAGAGGAAAGTAAAGATATTTCAAACAAAGAAGTATAGAAAAAAACTGAGGAGTTAGAAGAATAAGACAAGGATTAAAATTTGGAAAAATAAGATAATAAACAAATAAAAGAAGATTCAAAGTAGATTGATAACAGTCTACACAGAAGTACTCAGTGTTAAAAAACAAAATCCATAGAGGAGTAAGAATCTCCTACACTTCAAAAATCTGTCATCAATTTAAAGGAATATAAAATTAATGAATAAAAGAAGGAGGAAATAAATTTACCATCAACAAAACTATAAGAGATTGTTAAGCCTAATGGTTAGAATCTTGTTCAGAATGGTGATCCAAGAAAATAGGAAGTTTACCAATTTGAAGATGATATTTCTGGGTCTGAAGAAAATTATGAAGAGGAGATAATTATTTACTAATAGATCGAAGAAATTAAATCTGCTAAAGAAAGAGAAAACGAATTTTGTAAAGGAAATTGTACAAATTGTAATTCAGAATTTTCTCCTTTTAATAAAAAATAATTGATTGATTGTAAATTACATTAAATTGGAGCTTGTTGCATTCTAAACAAATTTATCCGTTGTCCCTAATGCGAATAAACTCCATCTAAAAAAATAATAATTCACTAAAAGCTGATACTACCATGTAATCCTGTAGAAGAAGAAAGTATATTTGAATCAACCATCTTAAAACCCTCTTTAGGCAGTTACTATCCTCAATCTTTTCAGTAAACCTATAAGGGTTATAGTGATCAATTATAAAGATTAGAGAGATAGAGAAATAATTAAAATTCTGCGATTAAAAGAAATCTTACAACTGATACTGTCAATAAAAGGATTTAGGATAATCAATAAGTTTTAGAGGACAAATCTAAATATAAAAATGAATAGCTAATTCAGAATGAGTTGACTTTACTAAAATCTTCTCCTCCTTATCTTTAGCAACCATACCATCCCTATCGATATGAACGACTTCAGTATGGAGGATATGATCAGAGAAACAGGTTGGAATTATATAGCAGAGACTTTCATTTGAATTCAAAAATAACAACAGGATATTCAGGGAGGTTGTATTGAGGTATAATAAAGGTTATTAATTTTGGAACTTTGTCTCTTTTATTTCAAAATTATTAAACACTAATATAATATATTATATTTTCTTTTTATTATTTTACATTCATGTATTAAATAACTCCAATATCAGATACAATAAAGTCTCGATACCCGTAACTCAAGGACTACTACCTATGCTAATTTTTGGGGGAGAACCAATAATCTGCAATAATATGTTCAATCCTGCATTATCTTTTGAATCGTCGACTAAGCAGAAGTCTCGAATACTTTAGGAGTCCAAAAATAAATTACAAATAGTTGCATGCATAGGAAATCGCTTAATTCCTGCAGGAAAGTTTGGAAATGGAAAATCCAATATAAAACTTCTTCGAAAAGTTGTCAACTTACGATTAGAATAATCTTATGACAGAAGTTTTACTCTAAGACTTTTGCTTTTCTTATTAATTAATATATAAGGGTTAAATTTGTTTGAATTATTTGGCTGACTTCTTAGATTTGAATATTAATATCATTCCATAATTAAATAGTCTAGGTAGAGGGAATAGTAATTTAATTATAATAAGAGAGTAGGAAGAATATTATTTTATTATCCCGGAACCTCAATTCTAATTAGAAACCTAAACAATTTGCTTTAGTTGTAGCAGAAAGGTTTATGTCTTCCTGAATCTTTAATGTGATCATTAAATTTGTTTGAATTGTCTCTTTAAACAAAACCAGCAGAGTTATACGGATAATTTTCAATGTAGATGTGGATAAGTCATTTAAAAATAGCAGGTTGAATAATTTTAAAATGAAATCAGTGCTATAGCTAAAACAAATCGTTATAATTTAGTATTGGAGCAATTCTATCATCAGTGCAGCTCCACCTTAGTTTAAAGAAAGAGTTAAATTCGTACTAGTTTTGCAAAATAGCTTAATGAATCAATATCTGAGTAATTGACTGCAACTGAAATTTAGATTTCTCTCCTTGATGAGACAAATAGAGTTTTAGAACAATTAGATGAACATTGTTGTAATTGTCATGGAGAATCAAACAAACCTTACTTTTATTTAAATAATTGCTCGCATAAATTTTGCTTTGAATGCATTAAAAAAGAGTTTTAAAATGATTGTTGTGGGGGATGTTATTGTATGGTTTGTCCTAATAAAGTCTCAAGAAAAGAATACGAGTTATATTTATAAATGATAAATGTTGCAAAAGACAACATCTAAGAGAAACCACCTGAAAAAGAGAAAACAGAAAACAAATGTTAAAATTGTAATAACAAATTTCAATATCAATTGTTTGCAATAGAAAATTGTAAGCATAGTTTTTGTGATACATGTTTAGAATAGTTTTTTGCAGTTAATTACTTTTAAGTCTACTACTGTACTGTTCCAAATTGCCCAGGTACTTACAACAAGAAGGACTATGAAAAGTTTAAATAGGAGTTTAGAAAACAGTTGTAAATATCATATTCTGAATTAGAGAATTCATGTCATCAAATTTCGTGTGACTTTAATCTATTAAATAATTGTAAATAATGTCTAAAATAATTATGTGTTTCACAATCAGAAATTAAAGACTAAATTTGCTCAAATTGCAGTAATCCAACTTTAAAAAGTAAGAATCTAATCGAAAACGATTCCACAAAGATCACTTCAGATGATCAGAAGGAAATCGATCTTAATTGGAGTCTTTTAATAGATAAATGCTAAAAATGCTAGAAAGAATCACAATATTAATTATTCTAGATTCCATTATGTAATCATAAGTTTTGTAATTCATGCATTTAGGGTTCGATAGAAAACAAATAAAAAGATTAGAGATGTCTTAATAAGAATTGCAAAAGTTTATTTACTAGGGGATCTTATTAAAATTATTATAATAATTTATTACAGGATAAAGAGATCATCCAAAATAATTAGCAAATATTAAATCAACAATTAATCACAAAATCAGAAACTTTCAAGCAATAACCAAAAATAAATAATCTAGTAAATCTCAACTTTAACTCAAATGTAACTGTTTAAAGCTCAACAACTAGTACAACTGATTAATAATTGTGTTCATTTTGCAACATTTTGAGTGATTTGGATCAAGTCTTTCTTATCAAATGTGGACATTAAATTTGTTAGAGATGTAGTCTACGTTTAAAGGGTTAAAATTTTAGATGTAGTAAGTGTTTGACTCTTTTTGATAATCTTAGATTTAAAAAGTTTAGATTATCTTGTAAGTACAAATGCGACAATTGTAAGAAAACCTTTCCTTTTGATTAGATTTCGCCAAACTAAAAATGTCTACATTCTTTATGTTGGTAATGTCTCTAAATAATTTATACGAATAAAGAGACTCAATATTGTTGTGTCAAAAACTGCAAAAAATCATTTACTGTAGAAAAGGGTTCTAAAAATATTTAAATCTTTCCCTAGTAAGATGTTGACTCAAGTAAAGAAGCTTAACAAATTTTAAATTTGAAATTTGTAACTAGTTAAAAAATCATTTAATCGAATTCTTAAGCTATTGCTAAAATTGACCAAAGCCTATCTATTTTATTAGAGTAAAAAAAATAGAAATAAGAAATTGAACAACCTTTTAAAATACAATCATGTATGATTTGTAATTAGGATTTCGATGATTACAATTTGCCGGTAGTCTTCTCGTGCAATTTACACATAATTGGTATATGTTGCATACTTAATAATTATCAACTATGTTACCTATGCGATAGAGGGCTTTGAACACTATATTTACATATATTAAGCTTATATTCATTTAATTATGTTATAACATCAATGCTCGGAAAAATCTTTTGAGAGTTTTAGACACAATTTAGGTTCATAGGATCACTTGGAGCCTGATGAAATACAAACACCAGAAATTTATGCAGATTATAATTCGATCTCCCTTCATTAAGAGATCAGAAATGAAAATATGCAATTTATTAAAAAAAAATATTGTTTTAAGGTAATTACATTAATGTAAGAATAACCCAATCAATTGAAGCAAAAGAAATGTTATTGCCAAACTCTCGATCCCGAAAACAGTAATTCTTGATTTTATTTATATTTATTCCATTTCGTTTTAAATATTATGATAACAAAACAGATAAATGCAGTTATTCTAGTAATTTTATAAGAATTGTGTAAGCATTGCAAATAAACTAAATAAAATCCACGTGATGTGATAAGTTACTTTATTCAACCAGATAAAAAAGGTATGGATGTTTTTGGATTTATGATTATGATTAAAAAGATTTTACCATTTGCTGAAGAATAAATGATTGAAAAGACTTTTTCATACATTTAGTAGCGATTTGGATGTAAATTATTAACTAGTTAAATATTTGAGGAGCTTATGATAAGAGTAGAATCTTAAATGACTAATATTGAACTGTCTTAACAAATAAGGTTCAGAACAAAATAATAAATTGAATCATAACAATAAAGCAATATTTAGATGAATAATGCATCAGCAATTTAGACTTAGCATGAAAAAAAACCAATATTTGATTAAAATTTTAAACCCTCTTAGATGACAAATATAGTTTCTTAACAAGTGCCTAAATAAAATGTATCAAATTAAGTTGCTTAAAATTGCAATCGATCAGAAATAGAGTTAATTTAAACTTTCAGCACAAAATTAAAAAATGCAAATATCAACTTTATCGATGTGTTCAATAAGTTTGATAGCAATAAAGACAATATGATGAATCAGTTAGAATTTTAGAAGATGATTCAAATTGTAATCAAGGATATCAAAGAAGATGAATCAAGAATCCTCGCTCGATGGGTTTTCAAAGATTAAAACAAAGAACTAACAGCATTTCAATTTAAGAAGATTTTTGAATTTCAAGAGTAAATTATTCCATAGGCTAACATTATGGAATCCAACTACTATGAAAATCCTGCTAATTAAAAATTATTATAATCAAATTATCAATTCTAAGAGTGCTTTGTTTCTGATTACAACCTAGTAGCTATGAAAGAATTCCTTTCAAAATATCAATAATTAAAGAGCCAGAATTAATTATATACTGACCCTGTATTCCCTCCAAACTAAGTAAGTTTGGGAAGTAAATTCTAACAATTTTAATGGAAAAGAATACCTTAATTTATTTCAAATCCAAAATTCTTTGTCAAAGAAAACATAGTAAACAGATTTGGTATTGGTAAGTGGATTACACCAGATGATTTACAATAAGGGTAATTAGGAGATTGCTACTTTTTAGCCTCGATCAGTTCATTAGGGAACAGGAGACCTGATCTATTATTGGAAACATTTGTTACTAGAACTTTCAACCCTCAAGGACTCTACGGTGTCAAATTGTGCATTGATGGAGAATGGAAAGTTATTGGAATAGATGATTTCATTCCAACCCACTACAATAAGCCAGCATTCACCAGAGGGAAAGACTCAGAAATATGGGTTATGGTAATTGAAAAGGCATGGGCTAAAGTATTTGGTTCGTATGAGAATATTGAAGCTGGTTTCCCTTCAGAAGTCTTAAGAACCTTAACTGGAGCACCAACTAGAACTATATTCACAAGTGATGAGAATTTTGTTGAAGACTTGGAAAGTTGCATAAAGAATAGATGCATAATGGTATGCTCATCTAAAAATGAAAATAAATAGTAATATAAACTTATGGGGCTAATAGCTGGTCATGCTTATACAGTACTAAAAATTAAAGATTTGAATTCCAATACAAAATTAATCAAACTTAGAAATCCTTGGGGAAAGGAGGAATGGAAGGGAGATTGGTCGAATTAAAGTCAATTGTGGACTCCAGAGTAGAAGGCACAATTTAAAATAACAAATGCTAATGATGGAGTCTTTTACATGAGCATCACAGATTTTCGTAAATATTTTGATGACTTATCTGTTTGTTACGTGAAGGAAGGGTATTAGTATTAATCTACTACACTTCAATCAAGTAATAGGAAAAGCGAATATTTTAATATCTAAATTTAAAAGCCAGGGTGCTATTATTTTACAATGAATTAAAAGAACGTTAGGTATTAATTTTTATAATTCAATAGATTTGAGAATAGCAATCAGTATTCACCAGCTAAGATTTTGTTATTTAAAGGAGATAGTTTATTAGATGGCAATTTTAAGAGCGATAGAGAATGCTGGATAAGTAAGGATCTCGATTAGGGATAATATACACTAGTTATCAAAGCTTAATGGTAGTTTTCTAAAATGAATAAGTACACTTGGTCATGTTATGGACCTGGTCCAATTCATAGCGATAAGATTAATAAGATTCCTAATTTATTGAATTCTGCCTTTCTTAAGTTAGCTAGAGTAAGCGTAAAAAAGAAAGGATATTAAAAGCACCCAGACATTAAGTAGGCGTATGAATTTCATCTTAAATATGGGTATCAATATGTATATATGATTAGTTATGGATTTTACTATGTCGAGAATCAAAGCAACAAGAGTTTTGAAAGTAAAGTGAGATTTTCATAAATGAAAGGTTTAAAACTCCGAAAACCTTATAGAGGATATAGCGTGGAGATTAACTTATAATAGAATCAAGAGTTCTTTGCTTTGTTAAGTGTTTCTAAATCTGGATATTCCTTTGGTATTGAAGAATAGTATATTGTAAAATGATAAACCGATAAAATCCAAATGACTTCTATTTTAATCTTAAATTATATCTAGTTATTACGATTGGAAATTAATATATAATTATTATGATAAAATCACTTAAGTGTGTCAAATGTTTGCAAGAAACAAAAGAAAGTGCATCTTATAAAGCAAAATGTGGACATCTATATTGCAACAAATGTATTGACTAGATTACTGCTGAAGGAGGTTCAAACTGTTCAGAAAAACAATGCTCTTATTTTCTAAACATATCAGATCTTATGAACAGGCAATTCCAAAAAATATCCGGAAGCAACTAAATGGTATTTGGGAAATAAATTACAATGTTTTAAGGAGATGCTAAAAAAATGGGTATAATGACCATTTATAATAGCATCACCATCTTAATAAAATAAAGCAACACCTATAAAATAGAATGTTCAAAATGGCAACACTCCAATAAAATAATAAAAAAATACTTAACCTCGAAGGTCATTTTAAGAACGTTCCCCTGTAGCAATTTAAACAAAGTCCAAATCTTAGATGCAAAAACTTACAGATAGGGTTTTACAATAATAGAACAGCGCAAAGGTTATTCAACCAAAATAATAACAAACTTAATAAAGATAATAACAATAATAGTAATAATAATAATAATAATAACAATAATAATAACAATAATAATAATAACAAAATAGATAATAATAAAATTAATAAATCATAAAATAACAATAGATTCAATAAACAGATTAAATATAACCATAAAAATAAGAAATCAAAGTCAATATTGAAGATAGAATGATTGAATCTATCTAGTATAAATGTGATTATTGCAATTCCAATACTTCCGGATTATTTCATAATGAAATATGCGATCATAGATTATGTTATGATTGCATCTAAAAATATTATGAGGAATTCTGTGTCTGTTTTGTAAAGGATTGCGGTTGGTAGATCAACTAGGAATAATTAAATTAGTTTATGCTCACTTATGTTACATTTCAATTAAATGAGGTTGAAGAAATTAAACTAAAAAGACAGCAGTCCTCATCAGATCAATAAGACATTCTTATAAGCAAATTTCAATTTGAAGAAGTTACTTTATAACATATGTAAATCTCTAATATGAATGAATTCATTAAGACATTTGATGAACTCAAAATTAAAGAAAAAAACTACGTAGATCTTAGATTTGGTCCAAATGAAAAAAGTGTTGGTTCAAATTACACTGCCACTTGGTAGAGATTGAATGTTATTTTTAATGGAGATTTTCAATTTTTTGCGAAATCAAGTGATAATAAAAGGTTTGGACTAGGAAAGTACATTGGTCCCCAAGATATAATACAAGGATAATTAGGGAATTGCTATTTGTTGGCTTCAATTTCTGCTCTGGGAAATAGAAGACCTGATTTATTATTAGATGTCTTTATTACGAGAGCAATAAACGAACAAGGAATATATTGTATAAGATTGTGCATAGATGGAATATGGAAAGCCATATATGTAGATGATTATTTCCCAGTCTATCCTAATCTAAGTCCCATTTTTACTAAAGCTAAAAATAATGCAATATGGGTCATGGTATTGGAGAAAGCATGGGCCAAATTATTTGGATCCTATTAAAATAGTGCATCAGGTTCTATGTAAGAAGTGCTAAGAGCTTTGACTGGAGCACCTACAGAAGTAATCTGGACTCAATCTCCAGACTTTATTGCCTAGCTTCGAAAATGCCTTGCCAATAGAGTTATAATGGTTGCAGCAACCTAGAGTAGTGAAGTTTAACCAATTACATAAGGATTAGTTCCAAATCATGCCTATTCAGTTCTAAAAATCAAATAAATAAATCACCCAAAAAGAGGATAAGTGGAACTACTGAAATTAAGAAACCCTTGGGGAAAAAAGGAGTGGACAGGTGATTGGGGATAAGAAAGTCCATTATGGACTCCGTAATTAAGATAGGAGTTAAAGTTAGATTCTGAAGATTCTGGTGTATTTTATATGGATATTGGATCATTTATGCAATAATTCAGAGATATCCATATTTGCCATGTCTAATAAAATTACTAATATTCTGCAACACAAAGCAAATCCAATAAAAAAAAGGCTGTTTACTATTCTTTTAAAATTACTAAAGATGGGGATTATTACTTTACTATAAATTAACGAAATCAAAGATGGGCAGGGAATCCTAAATATAGCAATGCCAAGCTATTAATTTGTAAGAAAGAAGAAAATAATTAATACACATATATCGCTGGTAAACTTAGTTAATTTGGTGAAGTTTGGTGTAAATGCACCTTAACAAAGGGGGAATACGTTGTTTTTGCTAAAGTAATTTGGGAACATCACCAAGAGTTCTTCTTTGTTCTCTCTTCATATGGAATGGAAAAACTAGAATTCAAACAAATAAGAAAGATTCCTGATATGCTTCCCAGTGTTTTCATAAAGAAAGGGTTTGTTTAACAACCTAAACGAAGCTACGACACAATGGGATAACCCAAGATTCAAAGTTGCTATAATCTAGATAGACTGGATGGTTGGGGCTATTATTTCATTGACAACTAATCAAGTGTTAAATTAATAAGCAAAATATCATTCCATAAATTCTATGGGTTGCGATTTTGTAAACCTCATAGAGGAGTCACTTTAAATATTGAACTGCCCCCTGGTAAATAGTTTATTGCTGTAATCAAAGTGTTATCAGGATATGAAATCGAATTTACTCAAAAGGTTCAATTTCAACAATGATTCTTATTTTTAGTTTATGTAATTTAGTATTGATAATTTATAGAAATGTATAATAAATATTATTAATTAAAAGTCATTACTATTCCACTAAATCTTCTATTTCTGTAGTAATCCCAGTACTTAAAGGATAGACATCTTATTATGCATCTTCTCCATTCTCTACATGTTTATAGTATTCAATTTCTTACATAAAAAGTTCATAAATTATTGATATCGCAGTTTAAATAATTCAGGAATCTTTAATTCGTCTAATTATTTCATCAACTCATAGGCAAAGTATTTTAGAGTCAGTTAATCTAAACTCACAAATTTTATTAATTCAAACTCTATATCACCTTCCTAAATTGCTCTAATAGCTAATCATAAATTATACGAAAGAATAGCCCTTATCAAAACTTCTGCATGAAATTATTTTGGTATTAAAAAATTCGGAGTGTTCTATTCAGTAAACGAAATAGTCTTATGTCCTTTCTATTGTAGACATTCTTTGTAGACATTGAATATAGGTAATAAATCCTTGGAATCCTTTAAAAAAATATAAGTAAATTTTATTACTTAGTAAAATGGCAACCTGACATGAAAAATTTGAACAGAATTCACATTCTCTGTATTTGTTACTATCAACTCTCCAATTTTCACTATTGTTATAAAAATGCATTAATACTTTCTTAGAGGAGCTCATTGGTTTTATTATTTTTATCTCTAATAAATATATTTCATTTATGGATTACCTTTTCGATATATAAGACCAACCTGGTTCATGAGAAGAATTCACTAAAATCGAGTTTAAGAATTACCTACTACATCCACTAATTCTTCTACGATATCTGCTTATACAATTTAAATGGTTGTTTAATTAATGGTTCTTGTAGTTATAACTTTTGATTCTGGTTGTAGGCTTTGTTTTTTATCCTCTTCAATTCCACAAATATCTAATTAGCAATTTAATAATACTGTTTCCCATTCTAAAATTTATTATTTTTAATTATTTAAGAACAGCAATTGATTAATAGTATTAAATTGATTGTTATCATGATATAACTTCAAGTTTAAATGATTCAGTAGTATTATGACAATTTAAATTAATATTAAGTTAGAAAAATAGTATTTTAGAAATAATTTATATGAACATATATATCATTATAAAATAGAAAGTCAACACTAATTTGACTGCTTCATTTAAAAATCATTTTTTTCAATTTTTTTGTCTGGAAAAAACAAATCCAAAAGTTCTTGTCTCATCTTTTATAAAAACTTGTATTATAGGAATGAATTATTCTAGAATTAACTTAAATAATTAGCAGCTATGCATGTATAGTATCCGCAACTGGACCCATCTTTCTATTTTGGAAAATCTTTTTTATTTAGAACTTCGAATTTAAAATATTAATCTTTGGTAAGAGTTTGGAATACTGTATTAAAAAAGAGTTCTACTTTATAAGACAAGCTATTGAACATAGAATCATATAAAATTAGCAATCTTTCATCTACTTTCACTTCAAGAAATTGCCAATGAAAATTACTACTATTAATTACTATCCCTATCTTTTTGTAAATAAGCCAGAATTTATATTAGATGGCACTAAATTATTTAATATGTTCCAAAAATAGGCATATAAATTTTCTTTTAACGTGCTCCTAATCTTAAATTTCAAATTATTTGAGCGTGCAATTAGCTATAAGTGATGAAGGAAATATAATAAGTCTTTAGTAATTTTTTCTTTCTCGAGAAGGCAAGGAGAAATAACGAAGTTCATCTTAAATTTGTAAGTAGTTCATGTAACCATCAATAATATTGGTATTTAGCAGCATGTTATAAGTAGATAATATTCTAAATTCTGGATCAGATATGTTTTGGTTATATTTATAATTATTATTCTCATTTTTAAACTTCAAATAGTATGGAAACCTTTCTTGGACTATTTCTTATTCATCTGTGATGGTTATCATCCAAAACATCTTCAACCGCATAATAACTTTATCATTATGCTTAATTATATCTGTTTATACTGTTTCTTTAAATAAATTGGATTATTGATACAAATCTAGATTTCCTTCATTGATGAATTTGATAACTTTATTTTAGGATTTCGTTTCATCATTTTGATAATTTTTACCATTGCTATAAGGATTGATTTAATCTTAATTTTAGAAAAAAGTTTATTCAATTTAATATTAGGAGATCTAAATATCTTATTATTTTAAATCTTGCAAATAGGTTTGATATTCTGAATTTATGTATTCAATGTATGATTGAGAAACTTCAATCTATGGCTAATTCTATTACTAAACTGATTCCTATATGTTCTGTTCAAAGAGTTTTAAGTATAACTTTTTGATTTCAAGTTGTAAACCAGAGAAATTTCTGTACAAACTTGATTATTTGAGATTCTGCATATGATCAAATTTTTCTTCATTCTATTCTAATTTCATTTTATTTATTAAAAAACAAATAAATAATAAAATAATTTATCTACAATCATAATTATTCGTAATAAAAAATGTCTTTCAAATCACTTTTAATGTCCTTCTTTTCCTTAAAATCCTTTACTCTATGTGTATTACTAAAATATTCTAGGGCAATACAAGTATGATAGCCACAAGAATATGAATCATTTTAACTTTAAAATTTTGGTTTAAAATACATTTTGAATTCATATTAGTCTTCCTTAATGTTCTTTAATTGGTTCTTCTGAAGCTCATAAAATACATATGACAATAAAGCTCTAACCTTATGATAATGTTGGGAACTTCCACTTAAGGAATCATAAATAACCATGAATCTTTCTTTTAAATCCAAAGTAAGCATATACCAATGTGAGTTATTTTTATTTACAATAAATGCAATTTTTTGATAGATAAGCCAAAATTGATATTGAATAGTTTTAAACAATTCTAGTTTCTCAAGTATTAATAATAACCATTTTTCTTTGAGAGGTGGAGATTCCAAATTACAATTGGTTAAAAAGTCAGAAGTAAAAATAAAGAGTCGTGGGTATTATTCTCTTTCTGCTGATGACAATGAAAAGTAATATCTTTCATCCAACCCAGATAAATAATTACCGTATCCATCAATCATAGAACTAGTCCAATATTGACCTGTTTTTTCGAACATTTTCTATTCCCATTTGCCAATATTTTAATTTAATTTGATTTTTGGAAAAGTTTCCTAGAACTCAAACTTCTTTATTCTTCCCTCTTCCTTCAATGATTCTAATTTAAAAAGATCTTTTTCATAATGAATAGTTTTTCTTGAGACCATCTCATTTCCTACTTTTGTTTATAATTAAAACTATTTTAATTACATAACTATTTCATTTTCATTACTTTGATCTAAGACTATATCACATTATTGGCATTTACACTTCAGCTTAGGTTTACTTTCCCTTTTCATCTACTCTTTTCTTTCATATTCAAGTTTTGGTTTTAATTAATCGAATTGAGTATCACCGTGTTTATAAGTTTGACAATGCTTTTATACTCCCTTCTGAAAAGCCTTTAAATTTAGTTTCTCTTGAAAATGCAATTAATTAATATTTCCCGAAGGATTTACTAAAGGTAGAATATTTTAAGTATCTTTAGAAATTAAATGAATTGTTCTCTTATTGCTTACATTTTAATTCTATTAAAATTAATTATTAAGTGGACATTTATCATTTTCATTATTATGTCCTCCATGTTTTATGAAATATATTTTATGAGGAGGTTATAGATAATATTTTAATTTATCTAATTTCTCTTTTACATAATTCACAAAAACTGATTATTGAGGCTATTCTAATATAATTGGTTTGCATTTTGTGTTAAAAGGCTCTTCACTTTAAGCTATTACTGGAACCCTGACATAAGTAGAATCTGTCACCTCCACTGTTTTGATTAATTTTCTATGTTATTGCATCATTATAATTATTTTATTTTATAATAATTTGTTATGACAATACATTTTTCTACATAAACTAGTTGTTGTGTTTTTTCTTTTAAATTTTCACAATTTTATTAATTTAATAAATATCAACTCATTAATCATCATCATCATCACTGCTGTTATTTTTATCCATTAACGATCGCATATAAGTATCTATTGGAACAATCTTTCTTGGAATCTCCTCGTCTTTTAATTTGTTCATTAGTGATGGGTTTCTTTCTGCTTTCACCATACTTGAAGTTTAAGGAGTCATGAATCCTCTAAAAGCCCAATGAATTTTAAAATAATAAGGATGAGTTTCAGATAATCTTAGATCCTAACACTTATTATAAAACATACATGATCTGGAATCATGTGTTAGAAGACACATAATGGTTGTTGATCTATAAATTCACATATGTATTCTGCATATTAGAATAGTGATTTCCCATAATCCCCATACTTAAATAGAACATTATCCAAAAGTGCAGCCTTCTTATGGACTTTCTAATGAGTAGTCGCATGTTATTTGAATTATGAATACCATCTATGATATTTGCTTATTTAATATACCTTCTGGCTTCCTGATGGGTTTTGAAAACTAGGGCAACTTTTTAAATTCTCTCCTTGCCTGTCTTCTCATATAAATCAAATCTTGCTGATTATACATCATTTTCAGGTGGCTTTGTAGGTATATGTTATTCAATGTAGCTTCGTCCTTCTTCCGAAATTATATGACTATTCATTACACAATCCATAATAGTTTCTGCTAGTTCATCTATTTCCATTGACATTTGATAAAATTATTCCAAATAATTTGTTGTCTCTCTTAATATTTCATTACCAAATATTACAATGAAATATAATTTAACTATTAAATAAATTTATGTATTTCTATTTGTAAAACTACAGAGAATGTTTAAAGACTACTCAATTTAAATATTGTATTAATATATCATAATTTACATTACTCTAGCTTCACAGAGGTTGTGTCTATTGTTTTTCTTGATATTCTTTGATCTAATGGTTTTACCACTCAATATTAGGATCATACTTATAGAAAGGATGGGTAGTCTATTTTAAATTCATATATTCTACCTTAGCCTATGGATATTCTTACAAGAACTACAAATCTTCTGATTCTAAATTCTCTTCAAATGGTTTTTCCTTAATAATTGCTTCACAATGTCTCTCTATAATATAATATTATATTAAATATACTTATTATTTAATCCAATTAGGTCTTTATTTAAACATCATTCCAAAACTATTAATCGAACTGAATCAAATCCTACTAGTATTCCTTAATGTAGGGTAACAGTGTTCCTTAATATTTATTTACTAAATTTAGTGTTTAATAGTATTACAAAACTATATCAGCATTAATTAATATTTGTGATTTACAATACGATTCTATTCAGTTTCATTGTTTCTCAATTTAGTCAATAACTTAGCACATAACAACGGTTTTTATTAATTTATGTACAAACCAACCATTTGTTTGAATGCTTAAAAATTCACCTCTTTGTTATTGAAATTAGTGTGAATTAAGACTTAAGCAAAACGATTTTACATTTTGATAATATCTTCCTAAGTTTTTAGTTGATCTAAAAGCTGTTCTCCAGAGAGATCGAATCTTTTTTATATATCTCTACTGAATATATGTCCTTCTATTGAAAACTGTTCCTTTAAGAGTTTTTCTTCCTATTCTTTTTGTTACTACTTTGCTAACAATTTTTTCTCTTTTGGAGTTAACTTCTTTTACTCTATTTTTCGCTATTCCTAGATTCTTACTCTAAGTCTTTCCAAACCTTCAATCATCAATCCAGCCGATTAAATAAAATATTTAGCATCGTGTCTTTTATCGATAGCATCAATCATTTACAATAAAGATCTTAATGTGTATCTTCTGATTGAATATTAATAGAACTCTAATTAGTCATCACACATTTCTTGGAAGTGTTTAAATATTAAATTAAATTGCTGTAAGGCAGGACCAAGATAATTTAATCGTAATAATGTTCTACCTATATTGAGTTCAAACCAAATCATTTGCAATTCATATGGATCTGACCCATCTTTTAAGAAGAGACTCAATAAATCTTACGATACCACTATCATATTTGCTAGCGAAGCATATTTAATTGTCTAATTGTTCAAATATCTGTCTGCCAAATCCAATTGTCTAGCTCTATCAGCTGATTCATAAGCCTCTTTGAATTTTTGTAATTTCTTCAGAGTTTTTGCTTTAATCAAGTATAATTCAGGCAATGTAGCTGTATGTTCTATGGCTTCATTGATAAGTTCAAGGGATTAATTGTAATCCTTAATTTGATAGGAATGCTGAGATAGTAACATCAAAGCCCAAAGCTTTTCGATTTGACTTTTATCCAGATATGTCTCAAAGGCTTTCTTCATAATTTCAATCTTGTTAGGATCTGTGTATAGATGTTTAATCTCTCTGAATAAGGATGGTAAGGACTTCTAAAAAAATGGATCAATAAATTAGAGGAAACTATTTAAAAATGAATCTCCTTCTTTCTGTGCAAGCAATCTACCTTATACTAAAGTGTTATTATAAATGGATAGATCCACTTATGGATCTGCCTTTTACAACATTTGATAGTATTTCCAATTTTAAGGCTATAAGTCAAGCAAGTGTTTAACAGATTGAATTGCACTTGTGTTATCTCCTATTTTAATAAAGTATTCGTATTCAAGTTCATAAAATGAGACCAAATCGGTGATATCACTAAATAAATTATGGAATTACTTTTTGAAATCAAGTAAATTTTGTTTAGCTCTTTGAAAGTCCTTGGCATCAATGGCGAGCTAAATTTAGTACAACTTAAATTCATTTATCTCAACTTTTTTGATGGGGTTTTATATATCCTTTTTAATAACATCTTCAGTCAATTTTATAGTATTAAAGGCACCTGCGTAATTGCCAATTAAATGCTGACTAAGTATGAAACCAACCCAATTTACTACCATTCCAGGTTTACTATTTAATAGTTTTTGCCTCAACCAATTATTTCCTTCGAAATCTCTGATGTGAATGGAGAGATTAGCAGTGTCTCTGATCAATTGAAGATTCTCCTCGCCCTTGTTGATTGCTTAGATGAAACATTTGACTGCTTGGATGTAATTCTTTTCAGCCTTTTAGATTAAGCCATAAATGTGCCAACAAAAGTCTGAAGCCAAATTCTTGAGAACAGCCTGGTATGCTAAGGCAAGTCCTGCTTCACGTTCTTCGGTGTAGTACATGAAGATTGCTTTAAGTGAGACGACTTCTTAATTGTCTGGGACTTGCTCTAATAATTTCTCTGAATTTTTCAATCCTTTTTTGTAATCTTTGGCTTCTAGCAATCTCTTAAAGATGTTTAGATTGAATTAATTACCATCAAGGATTTGAATTCATTGTTTTGTTTTGCATTTAATTCTGTTGATTTCATAGTTGGATAATAATATTATTTTGATGAATAGTTTATTTAATTAGTTGAGGAGATGGAATATTATTATATTATTATATTATTATTTAATTTAAATTTTGCATATGAATCAAAGCAATTTAATAGAGGACTTAAATGGATCGAATGTTTCGAGATTGTTAAAGCAAATTAAAGAGAGTAATGGTTGATTATATTGTAGTCACCCAAGATGAATTGTATGAGGAAATGAGTCAATTGAAAACAAGAGTGTTGGGATTATTAAAAGATTACCAATCATCCTTATAATAAAAGGAGAATATCAGACAATTAAATCAATAAATACGTAAGGATGTAACAAACATCAGCAATGATTATAGTTAAATTATTGAAAAGATGAACTAGAGTGTTGATTGCACATTTATTTCGATTGAGAGCATCACACCATTTTAAAAGAATGAAAAAGTAACGATTTATAAATTTAGAAGGAAATGAATAAAATGTTCAATTTGGTTGAAGAGTTTCTTGAGAAATTTTAAGGGAAGAAAGCCAATCATAATTTATATACTAGTTTCATCTCAGATAAAATGGAACGCTCTGGAATATCTATGGCAGACACCAGTATTATCGATGTTAACTGTAGAATATCCATAATAAAGGATTAAATCGCTTCTAATTTATCTGATAAAAAATACAGTCAATTGGTTCTGATGGAGACTGTGGATGCTTTGTAGGAAGCATTGAATTCTCAGAAAATAGAAAAAATCAGATCGATAATCAAACGAATAGAACATTATATGGCTCAATGTTAGCATGATGCTAGTGATTTGTATTAGATGTTACAAAAGGCAGTGGAGTCATGCAAAGAGAAGGAGACCGAATTACAGAATCAATCGATAGTTGAAGATAAGGACACCAAAAGGAGGTTTTTTGATTTAGCCTTAGAAATAAAGAGTGAATTACCAACCAACCATCCTGGCAGAAAGGTATTGGTTTCACTTCTGTTTGAAAAGGCCTAGAATATAGATGAATCTGAATGGCATGACTGGATTCTTGATTAATTAAGTTAACAAAATTGAAAAATAACTATTTTTAATTAGTTCATGTGTAACTTTTAATAAAACTCAAAGTTTCGTTTAATTATTGGCTGTAATGATGCTTTTTCTCTCTAATTTTGAGAATTAAATCTGTCACAGGATGCATTTATGAAATTGATTTAATGATGACAGTTTGTCCTTTGTCCATGGGTTATTCATCAATAATCATTTAGATTTCGTAATCCCCGTTTTCATCTTGATCGATGATTTTTTGAGCATCTTCAGCTGATGACAATATTTCCACATCATCTTTTTTATTAATGATTGTTAATAACTGAGTTGATTTATTTTTACTTGAATTGGAGGCTAATTTCATATGTTATTCTTACACAAAGAGTCATTCTTCCTGTGAATTGCTTGAGTGATAATGGCTTGATTTTTCTTGTATTTCCTTAAACCATCTAAATCATGGAAACTTGTCTTGCGTATTTGAGTATCTGCATATATTCATTGAACATGTATACCATTTTATGTATGTAAATCATCTGATAGAAATCTGTCTCGACGAAATGATTTAAATTCATTAACTGATTCTTTTTCCATTTAGTCAATAGGATCAAAGTTTTATAAATATGCAACGTTTACTGTCATTTTATTCGATAATTAAATTTGCAGAGTGGCAATCAAATTAGGATCAATCCAATCTGTACTCTTGTTCTCATTCAAGTGAATGATATGATCCATTTCATTATCTTACTTTTATTATAATGGAGTCAATTATGTCAATTCAATGCACTTTTCAAAAAATTACTAAGAATTCTCGTTTATCTATTGCAAATTACACAAAATATTCCATTCCTCCACCAAATAGGGTTTTAATTATTTTTTCAGATAAAATTGAATTGCCAAATTGTTTTCTCCATTAGGATTCCATCTCTTCCTTATGTGGTTGCATTCAAGATTAAAATTCATATCTACCTTATGCTTGTACCTCTTCTGCAGAATACATTTAGCTATTTATTGTGCAATATCAAGACAATTTAATATGCTCATTGAAATTATAATATTATTTCAAAATGACTCATTATTATTATATTATTATAACAATATTCACTCCTATTACGAAATCTTCTCAATCAAAATATCGATCACAGGTTTCAGCCACAAATCAATATCCTCTGACTTCTTGAGTTTCATAAGATCCAATTCCCCGTCATTCACTGTATACATCACCTTCAAACACTTGTCCTGATTGATATCAATCGATATCAGAGTCCCTTGACTTACTTATAATACCCTTACTTTGATGAACACAGACATTGTCCTGAGGACAGATGAATTACAATTCACTGTTTGAAGAATTGTAAGACAGAATGTAATCAACAAAACGACCCTTCTCCTTAACACTAGCTTGGACAGATAACTTTTTAGATTTGTTTTCAGGCTTCTTGAATTCAGAATTTCTAAATCTGATCTTCGATTTAGTCACTTCTATCGATTGCTTTTTATTCAGGATCTTTTCCATTATGCGATCAACCTACTTCTCCAATTCTGTCAATTCTTCAACTCGCACCAAATCGATACAAGTTTCAATTAACTAAGATGATGTTTGAATCACAATTTACATTTAAGAATCTAACCAAAAAGTATCTCACTATCTTTGTAAAGTAAATGAAGAATATATTAGTGTACTCATCCATTTCCAATTTTTCAAACACTCCATATATTAATGAATGCCATCTTGAATGTGGTAGCATTATGTAAAATTTGATAAAATAAGGAACAAGGAATCCAAAAGGAATCAGTTCCAAAAACAACATAAATACAGACTCAAGTTGAATAAAGGTATAAAGCAAAAACCTCATCTAAAATTATATTCAATACCACTTAATCAAAAGAGCATCTCCCTATTCCACATTCTATTTTTTGAATGCTTCACATGTTTTCCAAGTTAATTGAAATCCGCAATAGACACTCAAGATAATTTAAAATGCCTTACTTCATTATTTTAGCTCCATATACTATTAGAGACATTAACTAATTATGAATTATATTTAATTTATCATATAATTCTTTATATTAAAATATAATACCTCAAAAGTCTTTGCATATCCTTATCTCAAACTTACATCATTATAATAAAAATAAATATACATTCAAAAAAGAAAGAATATTTCCAGTAAGTATTTAGTAGAAAAAGATCTGATAGTTCCATTTTAACAATTTTCCATCTTCAGTATAGAAATTCTATTCTTTACAAATAATTACATTTTCTTTACAATATATTATACATAATAATAATCTATTTCATTTAATATTCTATAAGTATCCTACAATCTCATCACATACTAAATAACCTTCTGGAATTTTTAATTTGATATTATCTTCACCAATAATCAAGTATTCCTCAAACCTTTTCATAGCCTCTATCAGAGATTATGATAATAATGATCTCTCTATCCCCCATTTGGTTCTTAATCTACTCATTAATAGTATTCTTTATTTTTCAAATTGAGTACTTTCATCCTCCACCAAACAACCCTCTCCAGAGTCTACAAACCTATAATATTATTTCAATGTTTTTGGTCGAGTAACTCTGATTAAATTTGAAAGAGATGTGGCTCCCATTCCAAATCCATAAAAATTGCTATCCCCAAGCCAATAATTTTTATTGTGCTAACTGATATGCTTTTCTGATTTTGCAAAATTAGATATCTCATAATGATCGTATTGCTGTAGAGTTTGATGCACTTTAGTGTAATTGCAGGTTTGAATCTCGTTATTAGGAAGAGGATGAATGCCTTCTCGATAATTCAAGTTTTTGTAGAAATAGGATTCCTCTTCTATACTCAGTGAATAGGCAGAGATATGTCCTGGTTGATATTATTCAATGAACCATTTTAGATCTTCAAGTGAGCTTTATCCAACTTCAGAGGGTAAATTATAAAGAAAGTCAAAAGAACAATTGTCAAATGATCCATAGACTTTGTAGATAAGTCCAAGGGCATCATCTATATCCTTTCTTAGATGGCTTCTGTTTAATCGTTTTAATGTTTCATCCTGTAAAGATTAAACACCCACGGAGAGCCGATTGAGCTTCATATTTGACTAATAGAATACCCCTAAAGTTTTAAATCCTTATAGCTTATCTTCGTTGAAAGTTTTGGGATCCGCCTCAATGGTTATTTCTGCGTTTGATTATTTCTTAAAGCAATTCAATATTAACTTTGTTCAAAATTTTAGATACTTGCAAGCTCTCTAACGAGAGGAGAGAAGGAGTTCCTCCTCCAAAATATATTGTTTTCAAAGGTTCCCCTTTATAATGTTTTTGAATATCCTTAATCAAATATTCTACATATTGTTTCTCCAAAGATTGTTTGTAATGATTCTAATTGACTTCTGTCTATCCAACTATATGAACAGGAAAAGCACAGTAAAAACATCGTTTTAAACAAAATGGAATATGTATATAAGCACTCATTCAAATAAATTAATTCTCGTCACAAATTATTATTATAATCAAATTAAGAGAGTTTTTACTTCACATCAACTTTTGTATTAGCATAATTAAATTCTTGAATAATTGGCTTGATAATCAAAGTTCAATTTTGAAGTAATTTGAAAACATTAAATAACTACTTTAAAATAGGTTCTATGAAATAATTTTCTTTAAGATCAAATGAAGAACCTTTTAAAAAGATTTAAATAAAGTGAATTGAACAAATTCCAATTCAGAAAATCTATTGCTTAAATAATTATTTTCCAAATATTATTGGTTTTTGTTATTAATCTACAAAATTCGTGTGTATCAATTATAATACTTGACTCCTAGAATAATATATTTATTCTAACTCTCAGATAAAATAATCGAAATCAAATTTTCTTATGAAGGATTAGCATATAAGAAAAAATAGTTTTTATTAAAATTAATAATTTTAAACAATTTTATCTATAGATATATTTATAAATATTATTCATGTAAACAGGTAGACACAATTTGGCGACAACTAATTTAGAATTAACAGGGGATTCAAACATAAATGCATAACACCATTTTATTAATTATAATATCTTAAGATATTATAATTAAATAATATAGTATATTTACATTTGTTCGTAATAAGTAATTATCTTATTTCCTTTAAATTAACAGGGCATAAGAGCATAAGACATAAATTATATTGTTTAATAAAAGCATTTATTTAGTAAAAATAGTATGTTTGAATAGGAGTATTATAAGAGAATTATTGACAGATAAACTACTCCCAATAGATGCAATATAAACACCTCCAAACCTTGGTTTCCACAATTGAAACACAGATTGGCTCTAAAAGGTAATGTGAAATAGAAAATATAGATTACGATTACAAATTTTTTGTGCTGCCTCCAAATAAAATGGTGTCCCTATTAAAGAAATAGAAGATCATTGTACCATCGGATGAGTAGATTAGAGAATTCTTGAGAAATCACTCACTTAAACACATAGTACAGTATGATGCTGGAGACTTTAAGAATGTTGAGAAGATTTGTGCATCAAATAGTCCTTCTCCATTGATGGTAAATAAGAAGAATAGAAAACTATTTATGTAACAAAATCCAAATACAAATTACAAATTGATTGAATCAAAATCGTAGACAACACAGAAGTAATTTGATAGACATTCCTCAGTGCAACATAGTAGAATGAGAGAACTGAAATCATAGCAAAATAGAAATTAGACCAAATAGAGAAAACATGGAGATGGAAGTAAAAGGAGCAAAAAGGAAATTGAAGATTCATGAAATCTCTGGTAAGTCTACTCCATAGATAGATGCATCTAATTTAAAATTCTTCACATAAAGCAATAAGAAAAGGAATCGGAGAAGAATAGAACTATTGAGTCGTTCTTTGAAGAAGATCAATCTTTTAGGATTGCCAATCCATTAGGTGATGTAGAAGCGTATATTTAGTAAAAAAGCCTTTTCATGTCAATTTTCAAAGGAATTTATATTTGCATCTAAATAAAATAGAGTTGAACAGATGTAGAGTTTTCTAATAACACATCCTTACTTGGTGTTTTAATATGATTATTATAATATGACTGCCCTTCATTGGGCATGCAAACTAGGATATTTAGATATGGTAAGGATGTTATTACATTACCATGCAGATTTTGATGCAATAGATTTGATGAACAGAACTCCTTTGAGTATAGCAATAGCAGAAAATCATTAAGAGATGGTTAAATTGTTGCTAACTCATGGTGCCTATCCTTGGAGTACCAATTTAACAGATTTGAATGGACCTTTGCAACTCAATGCAGAGATGAAGAAAATAGTTGGATAAGCAAGAAAAATATAACTCTTTACTAAATGGAGCAGACTTAAATAGCCTACTTTGTGTATTTATTGATTGATAAGTAATCATTTTTTGTAGTAATCGTCACATAATTTGTTAAAGTCAGTTAACCATTTCGTTAAGAATTTATCTCCATAATCAAAGAACAGTTCCTCTCCAATGGATATATTTTTGGTGGTGAACCTACGAATAATTCTGGATATCTATACATAGCAATTCTCCATCTTCCCTCAGAGAAGAGAATCTAAGCCTAGCAATTAGCCAAATCTGATTTCTTCGTAGCATGATTGATATACCTCAGACAATTACTATAATAGGTTCCGTCTACTTACCACTTATCATCTACTTCGAATAAGTAATGGTTATTGGTAATCCAATCACATTCTAAGATATAATCATACAATTACATTCAATAGCCATACTCTCATCATCTAACAAAATATAATTGCCAGTGTATTCACCAACGAAATCACATACCTTGAAATTTTGGGCTGCAAACAATCCCAATCCATTACAAATTAAAGATTTCCCTAAAACCAATGATTTTCGAATCTACATCAATAGGTTCTTATTTGAACATGATTGACACTTGCATAATTAAGGATCACATTCATATCCACTGATGTAACAAGGACATGAGTGTTTCTGTTTCTTCTCATCATAACCACACACTCTACAATCACAAGATTTTGATTTCTATTGACATTGTCCTTTGCAACAACAATATTTGTGACATGTAACACAAGTGCATGAATTTGATCCACATTCTCCTTCATGGAAACAGGGAATATATTGTTAGGCATAATTATTCAAATTCTACTTTTTGGATGCTTACTATTATTTTCGTTTCCCATTTGTCATGTGTTTCTTACTCTAACTCTTTAAGGTTTTAATTAAATAATTGATCTATTAACAAGTAACTGGGTATATTCTATGAGTTAATACTCGTGCCATAAAACAACAATTACTAAATCCAAATTCCAACATTTATTCAATTGACTTCTATTAAAACTTTTTCATCTTAGTTTAATCGACACCATATTTGCCACATTAAGTGATATCTCTGCATCTCTATTCCATCTCGGTTTTATTATTCAATTTGTATCTACCAAAGATTTCTCTCAATAACAAAGAATTAGGCTTGAATTCAGTCTCATAAAAATTATCATGATGAGTAGGATCATCCTTCTATTAATCTTAAGGTTCTTCTTCTGGTTCTTTCTCAATGTACAATCTCTGATTTTTAGAACTAAATACATTTATATAAGTACTGATAGTGCAAACTACACAGATATAAATTACAAATCGGACAAAAGTACCGATTGAACCTTACAAATTGATATTTCACATTAAAATTTACAAACTAATCATACTTTTTAGCTTGTTTAGCTAAATAATAGGATTAAACTTAATCTGCAGAACAGCCTATAGCTTAAGCTAATTGTTGCAATTGGAAAACAACCTATAAGGATGTAAACTTCTCTTTGAATTTCTCAAAAAAGAAGTCTATAAATAATTTGTGTTCCAGCCTCAAATAGTGTTTACTATCATCTATGCTCTTAGCCAGTCCCTATTCTAGATTTTACACATGTTCTTCAATATCCTCTGTTAATTTGGTCGGAATAGAAAGAGGGGCTTTATTAAATACAACTAAAATTCTACTTAAGCGTTCCAAGAGTACAGGAGTCGGATGCTGCAATCTAATGTTGCCAGGCATACTTTTATAGTAATTCGTCCTGATTGGTAGATTATCTCGATTTCTCTTCACCTTGATATCAATTTCATAGGCTTCAGTCCTTATTACATTCACTTTGATTTCTCTCTAGATTTGGCCCTCGTCTTAAAGTAATGTCGATTGGAGATGCTGAACATACCTTTTGTAGAGCGTGTACTCCTCTGAAATTTATTCTTTGGTCATTTAGGTGCTTTTCATTTTACTTCAAAAAAAATGAATAAATTATTCTCACTCAGATTTATGGTTGCAATTGTTATATAAATAAAAATGTAATTTTAGGAGATTTGAACTAATATTATCAACTTTTTAAAAACTCTGAAAATTTATCAAATTACTTAAACATCTCATATTGTTCATCCTGTTCAAATAGTTATTATAAGGGTTTATAAAAGTCTTAAGGTTCCTTATTCAACCTTCTTAATCTGGTGTTTTAGGCTAATGTTTGCACACTAAAAGCATTGATCTATACTCATTATTAATGCATTACCTTCAGAACTTAATTGATTAAAAATAGGTGATTTTTGCTATTGATTATTCTCCTACCATAAGATTCAATAAATAACTTCTGTCTTCTCAGTACCATATCATCGACCAAATTCACACACTGTTCTTCATACCAGGACCATGCTTGTTCGTTTAACTAGGAAATATTCTCAACGGTTTTGAATAAGGGCAATTGATTTTTTAGCATATAGGGCAATTGAGCATTGGACAACCTTAAATCTGCGATTTATTAGTGAACATTCTGATCATCTTGATGAAATTACAACCAATTCAGTATGTTCCTCATATTACCTTTCATAAATAAGGTAAGTATGAAAATATCTGAGTAATGGAAATTGATCTCTATTTCCTGAATCTTTAGAGTAGGTTTCTGAATTGCAAAGTTGACAAAAAATCCCCCTTGCTCTTTGATGTTTTCATAGATCACTTTCTTTTTTAACTCCACATTAATGAGGTTCAATTATCCTTTGTAAGTTTGTTCAATTAACAATATGATATAAATGTATTTGACTATTTCATCATGAGAATATTGCACTAGTTCAAAGTTATCGAATAGTTCGTGATTCTACTAACAGTCTGCAATTATGAAGACTCGATACCTGTAATCCATATAAAGGGCACTCGCTGAATCTATAGCATTTTGGAATTGATGAATTTTGGAAGAGTCCCTCTGTGAACTATTATCTTCTTCTTGTTGCCAAATTCAGCATCTCCCTATTCTTAAGTAAATTTGATGTGCTGACTTGCAAACATCTCCTCGAATTCCCTCTTCTCTGTGTAATTGTAAGTCAAGAGAACATCAATTTTGTATGCTCTCGCAATCGCCAAAATTGTACTCATCTTTCCACTCGCCCCATGGATATTTAACATCTGATAATTCCAATTTTAATTGTTCATTGAATTCGACTACGAATACCATGACTCTGATTAATCTACTTAATCTTAGGCCAACATAGAAAAGGAATTCTTCAACCAATGTTTAAGAAATTACGTATTTTCTTGACTAATCAACTAAATTAGATATCAAATTACATCATCAATATGATCTGGAGTGTAAACATCACTCCAAATATCAGACATTTTTGTGATATTCAAATACAAAATTGAACTTAACATATTTCCAATCGAATCCAAATTTTGGATTTTTGATAACTACTGCATCAATTATCCAAAATTAAACTCCTTCATTATCTCATTTCGGTATTTTTATAACACCCTTCTTAATTGAAAACCTACTGATCCTATCAAAGGACACTTAATAAATTATTTTTGTTTTTCTTTTATCTCCTTCCTCTCCTTCTTATTTCCATTACTAAAGAAATTTTAGATGTTTTGATTGTTCTATACATTTCTCTTCGGCGGCATTTCCTTAACTCAATTTTTCGCGCAAATATGAAATATTTTAATTATCAATTAAAAAAAGATAATTATTTACAATATTTTATACTTGCTTCATACACAAACCCTCCGCATAACCTTCCCATTTATAAAGATCATCTACATTTTATATAGAATTCATAATCTTAATTGGAAATCTTATCAAAAAAAATCTCATATTTGAACTCTATCCATAATTGTAATATCTATCATCTATTTAATTAATATGATGTGATACAGATATAAGAATCTTTCAAAGCCTTTGAGTTAAGTGTATATAACATTTCAGAATCAATATTTAAAAGAAATTACTCCAATTTTTATGTGATCTGAAAATATTGTTCTGATATAGAAGTTATATGTAATATGACATTAAAATTGTATAGATATCATTCATTATATTAATCTACCAATATTTTTGTTAGTTGATTCGACTTTATATTATAATTTCAATCTTACTGAATTTTTGATTTAAATATAGAACTAATATTCATTAATACATCAGCTTCATTGAAACTAAACGTATACTAAAAACATGAAGAAGATAAATAAGAACATCCCTTTAGATTATATAAATAATCTCAATTATTTATAAAATACTTAAATATTGTGTAAATAAGTTTGGTGTATGCTCTTTTTCTTCAAAATTGTATCTTAACTTAAAATATCATCTTTTTATAAAAAGACCCCATAGAAATTCTTAAGATCTTAAATTATATAGTACTCTGATGAGTGTATTAAGATATCATTTCATAATTAGATATTGAGAAAACGAAAGAATCTAAGCCGAATTGAAATTTTTGCCTTTTCTTAAAAACACGTATATCACCACAGGTTTTGAAAGAACCCTATATTTAAATAGCTTAAATTCATGTGATAATATTAGATATATTAATTATAAAGAAGTAGATAAATGATATAATTTTCTTATATATTTTATAGAGTACTTCTTGAAATATATATAGTTCTGTTTTGATTGTTGTTATTCTTCACATCAAAAAGGTTGTATATTTGTAATTCATTTTGTATTTATAATCAAATTATTTTATCAAGTAAACTCATTCTTCTTCTAAACCTGCTGGGATTTTAATCTTTGGTTTCATCATATGAAGCAATTACAAGGACTCCTTCTTTTTTTATAATGCAGCACCCTCCCTTTTGAGTAACTAAATGCCATGGTGCTTAATGGACAGTATAATAAACTTTTTCATCTATGATCAAGGGTTTAGATAGATCTCTGGATATGTTTTCTACTTATTCCTAAAGGTTCTATTATTGGAAAGTGGAGTCAATCTGTTCATTGAATTAAACCAAAACTTGATCAACAGCGTTGTCTTCTTTTAAGAAATTGATATAATCCATAAAATAATTTAAATTTAAGAATCGCAAAAATAAGTTAAATAATCATAATAGTTCAATTTAAGTTTCCTTCATCATTCAACCATTGATGCTACTTCACTTATTCTATAGTGAATCTAGATTTGTGATCAGGCTCTAACATATTTTGGATCAAATTTCTGAAGTGTTCATCTGATCTAATGATTTTTTTGTCAAAGTAATTCCAGAAGGCCTACCATTTTTTCTGTTCAATGGTTTACCAGAATTTGCACTCTGTTGATTTTGCAATGGTGAATGGAGGACAACCATAGCAAAGTGTGAAAATTAATACACCAAGTGCAAACACGTCAGATTTCTTCAGAAATTCTCCTATAATTAGTTTGTCTTCATAATGTAACTCAGGTGCCATGTAGGTGGAGGTTCCGCAATGTCTTGAATATTGCTTATTAGAGTCAACATAGACAGAGAGACCAAAGTCGATCAATATTACATTAGGTTCTTGGGTCATCATCACATTTTCCAATTTGATGTCTCTATGAACATAGTCAAGTTAGTGTAAGTATGATAATGCATTACTGAGTTATAATAGAATTTATTTTATGGTGCTCTTTTAGAGAGTGCCACGTTTTGAGATTACTGAATAGAGGTCTTAATTCAAGAGTTCTGTGATAAACCATTTGTACTCACCATCTGACTTCACAATTTTCTGAATGTTAGGATGAGTGATGGATTGTAGAATCTTGATCTCTTTCTCCCTTAGCTTTCTGGGGCATTCTGCCTTATAAATTTTAATGGCACAGGTGTTCCCATCGTCAGTTAAACATTTATGAATGTGACCGAACAGCCCTTCTCCAATTTGATTTTGTATTTACATTAATAATTAATAATTTATTTATATTCCTCAATAATCACTCTGAATATCTTATAGAATAGCACGGCATCTTATCTCATTTACTTTTTAATCTCACTCTAATATCTGTTTCAAATTCTTGTTACCAATCCCCAATTAAAAATGGATGATGTAATACTTCCTCAATTGTGAATCTATTCTAAGGGTTGAACTCTAACATCCCCTACATTAGGGAATAAAAGCTTTGGTCATATTTATTCCTTCTATCCATAATTTACCAATAAGTCTACCATTAGCCTGATTAAAGTAAATTCCAGTAAGGACATGATTTCACATTCACTTTATATGGTGGATGTGCGAAAGCCAAAATGAAGATACATACTCCTAATGAAAACACATCTGTTTTGGCTAATTCCTTAGCATTTATAAGGCCAATTTCTTTAATTTCAGGTGCTAAATACTCCAAAGTACCTTAACATTTTTAAACGAAATTAGTATCCATAATTTCTGCGAATCCAAAGTCACATAGTTTTAAATTGAAGTCTTCGTCAATTAATATATTTTCCAACTTGATGTCTCTATGGGCGACACTGATAGAGTGTAAATATTAAACAACACTAGCAAGTTTCTAACTGAAATGCTTCATTGAGTTTAAGTTTAAAGGTTTTTAGTCCTTTGCAATAATGTCAAATAGATCCATATCATTTAAAAGCTCTGTTATTATAAATTTCTTTTCGACATTGCTGTCTATAATCTTAATAATATTGGGGTGATTCACTTATTTAAGTAAAGCAATCTCTTTATTAATCATCTTAAGTGAATAATTATTTTTGTATATTTTAATGGCGTAATTTAGATTTTCTATCTCGGCAACATAAACTGTGCTAGTTGAGCCAGTTCCAATAATTTAGTTTGATATTTTCATTTTTTTTTATTTTATAATTAATATTATTTAAAAACACTATTATCAAATTTAAACATCAATTCTTGTAACTTCCTTATTAAATGATAAACTGGATTTTATAATGTAATAATCATCGTGTCAATTAAATTATATCATCAGAATAGTGTTTACTCTTGCTTTTACAATCCCTAAAAAATGTTTTTATATGCAAAAAATACTATCTAATAAGATATATGATATAGAATTGTTTTTATATTTATCAATTCTCATATTTCTATTATTCAATTGGTTTATTTTGATAGTTACAAATATTGTTTATATATTAATATTCATTTGGAATTACTGTGTCTTTTCTTCATTAATTAATATATATTATATTTATAGAAAATAAGAAAATGAGTAAAGAAATTTAAGTTTCATATTCTCACTAGATTCCAAGTTGGTATTCTAGTTCTAGTTGCACTGAATATTATTTAAAATATAAATCTATCACATCTTTAAATATTATTTTTTTAGCTTTATTCAATTTTGGCACGAATTCTGCCCTTTATATCCATTTATTAATATCTATTGCCAATTGCTTAATTATATATTCTTAGTGCAAAAAGTAAAACTTATACTAAATATTAAAAATATTGCACATATTATAGTCTTATAATTCATTTTAGAGATGGCCATAAAATTAAAATACATTAGAAAATCATATCAATTAAATAAGCTCATTTTATAATTGGATATTTTTATAAAATAGTTCTTGTATTAATTATTAATTATAAGTTAAAGAAAAAGCCATGAATATAGTAATACTTTGCAAATCAATTCTAGAAGTAAAGATTGTCGATCCAAACTAAAAGATATACGATTATATGTGCAAAATTTTTGAAAGGCCGAAAAACAACATCATAGTATAAATATCACCCACTGAAAAAATTGATTAAGAGGAGTATTTTTCAAAGTTTATGAATGAAAATCTTGATAAAATAGCATTTTATGTTCTAGATTCGAATGGATGCTCTATATAGTATACTAACCAGCCGTATAAGAAATAGACTAGCATTACATAATATGGGTACTGCAGTCAAGAAACTGATGAGATCTCATTGAGTAGAACTTTAACGAGAAACATATCATCACAGAATTTTGATATTGGTACTGTCAAAGTTATTTAGACTAATGTGTGTACATTCTGTACGACTTAAATTGAAGAGGATGATATTCAAACATCCTGTTAGCATTTCTACCACGCTAAGTGCTTTAAGCTTATAATAGAGAACTAATTGTTGTAAAAATCACCAGTTCTAAATTGTATGTGTAAAATTCAACTGAATTTGAGTTCCCTATTTCGATTAGACGATAAGTATGAAGCTGATTCCTTCAAACATAGATTTATACTGAATTAGTTGTCTGCATTAGAGAAGAATATATAGAAGAAGTTTGGAAATGAATTTAGGAAATGCAAGAATGTTAAAAGCTGTAAATTTTTTTATTTGCATTTACCTTTCATCTAAGATTAACATGAGTATTGCCCAGAGTGCTTATGGCGTATAAATAAATGATAAATGATAAATGAATAATTAATGATATAAAAAATTTATTGATATTGTTTTTATCCTTTATATTTAAGGATTTGTAAAATGATAAATAATTAAATTTAAATTGATGGGTGATTTTTAAGGTGAATATATTCAGTAGTTTCTTTGTAATATCAATTTAAGAAAAAAGGTAAGGATTAATACTTAACACTGTATTTAGATTAAAGAACTACTTAAAGAGAAAACAGAAATACTCCAAAAACTAGAGCAATTAGAAGTAGAAATATAACATAAATTAATTAGAAAGAAGGAGAAAATTAGTCATTTGAAGAAAGGAAAAAAAGATTGAGAAGTCTGGCCAGTCAAATTGAACGTAATTTTTAATGCCCATTATCAAAATGTGGTAAGAAATACGGGTAAAAATCAATGATATTATCATTAGAAGTGAAGGCTCATTAAACTAACATATAAAACTTAAGCATCCTGAATTAGTCAATAAAGCTTGATATATATTTTATTGTTCTAAACTAATTGAATTTATTATTCTTTGTTATTTTAAAATTAGGCTGTGAATCTGATCCTCATTTAATCTTTTTGGAGATTGATATTAATTTTAATTTATTTTTAAGTATTTTAAATGTAAAAAGAAATTAGAACTGCTTTAATATCTAAAACACTATAAAAGAGATATAGTGAAAAGAATTCAATCTGGGCCTTAAATTAATTCTAAGTACTGATAACTTTTTAAGTGAGGATCTCTTGAAAATTTAATTCAGGCTTGATAGTATTATGTTTTATTTAAATAATCAATTAATCTGATTTTAAGAGTAAAATTAACTCATAGTTAATAAACCCCTGAAAGTACCGATAAAAAAGCATAAACTGATAGTTCTAAAGATGATTATTTGAAATTTGATAAACGAAGTACATTATAAATGGAAAGTGAGATATCAATTAACCATTGAGTAATTAGAAAAATAATTATTCATTTAAAAAGAAAACTAAAAATAGCTTAAAATGTAAAAGGCAAACAATAAATACTTTACGCCCTAATTACTCAGATTGAGATTCAGCAGAAAATAGTCCAAGAAATCATGGTTCTTTGATAAATTCCTAATTGTTTTTATAAAGGATGAGTTTGAATAATGTTTTATAATTTATTTAATTGTAAATATAGGAATCTAGAAAGATAATTATAGATAGTCTTATCATTTACAATCACCCTTATTGAATACTGATCATGATCCTTTGGCTAATTGGTGTAAACTTAATTATGTTTATTGCCTATTAAGTATTCTTCTTAGATAAATAGTAATATTTTATAATTTTTTTAAATAATATTGTTGCATTCTAAATGAGTTTAAGTTAAGTAAGATTATCATATCTACTTGAAAGGCAGGGCGTTAGGCTATAAATCCAATTACAGGAGAATCTCGATTTTAACCTCAGGAATATCGTCGTTCTTAAGAAGTCAAGAATGAACCTACGAGGACAGCTGAATCAAGGAGAAATTTTGTTAATACTTCAGTGCCTGTTGAAAATTAGGAACAAAGTCACTTTTAAATGGATAGGGTTGCTCAATTATAGGATTAAGTGTAAATGCTGGAAAAGTAACTTACTTAGGAAGTCAAGCGAAATTCAAAAATGTTAGTTGAGTTGGAAAGAGAAGTAAGGACAAGAGGATAGATTGGGGATGTATTGATTATATAATGATAATAGCCAAACCAAATGTTTGAGGACTTGTAGAATAAGATGTATTCACTGGAAACGAAGATTATAGCTTAGGATAGGCAAAAGAGTGAATTGGGTTCTAAAGTGGCTATATAGGAGCAGAATATAAAGGAGTTGTTGTACTTTTTGAAGAACACTTAGAATAAAGATACTAACGAAGTATTGCAGATGAGAGGAATGTTGCAAGAAAAGATAACTGAAGAAAGTTCACATCTGTAGAAGGAGAGAGAGAAGACGAAAGCCTTATTTATGGAGATGGTTAGATTGGGAGAATTGTAGGAAAAATTGCAGGAATCACTTTCTACTTCTCATCAGCATTTTGAGTAGAGAATTAATGGGATGGAAAGCAAGATATATAATGGGGAAAAAGCCTTGATTCAAGTAGCATAGAGAGGAGATTCAGGAATGAATTTCATTAATGAGACTAACGAAAGAGTAAAGAAGAGAGTGATGGCATTGGAGGCCAATTTATTAGCACTAGGGGTATGATTAAATTATTAATGGATTAGAAAGATTAATTAAAAGATCATGAACAGATCAATAGAGTTGATATGGCCAATTAGAGAATATAGGAAGGAGTTCAAGGGAATGTTGCAATTAATCTAATAGGATTATACTCAAAGATTAGATACTCGAGTAACTGAGGTTATCAATAGAATTGTTATGGAACATGAGCAGAGAGTCAAAACTATGGAAGAAATGAAATAATCATGGAGTTTGAAGGATTAGATTAATATGGAGAGATTATAATATGAGAGGGAAGAGGTTGTTTAAAAATTAGGATCATTAGAGTAATTTCAACGAATTGATTCATAAAAGAAGGATGAAGCCATTCGTTCATTGTAGACTATTATTGAGACTTAAGTGAATTAAATTCTAGTAAATATTTAAAATGAAGAAGCCCAAAGATATTCACATGAAGTTTAATTAAGAGGCGATTTATTAAAAATATAAGAGAATATCAAATCGGAGAATGAATTATTCAAAACACATTAAGCTAATATTACTGAGAAGATTACTGATATGATAAGAATTGAAGTGCAAACAAGATTGTCAACTGATACTGAATTGAAGAACCTTACATCTGCAATTGCAACTGATATCGTTTCCGATTTGAATAGTTTAAAAGATTAGATAGAAATGGCTAATAGGGCATTGCAAACATAAGTTAAATAATTGGAGAAAGATTAAGCAGAAAAAGCAGAAAGACTATCGTTGTATATTGATGATGAAATAAATAAAGTAAAAAGTTAATTAATTATATTAATAGGCAATTAAGACATCTGCTTAGAAGTATGAAAAAGTGAAGGTGATATTTTCCAAATTTGGGGAATCCTTTAAACAACATATAACAGCCTTTGAAGGGTTGAAATAGGATCTGAATTCTCGGTAGACCATCATTGAATAGAATATTGATATGATTAGATAGGACTTTTAGACTGTGATAGAGGATCAATAGTCACACTTGTTGGAACGAATATCAATTGAAAAAAATCAAATCTTAGAGGCTGTGAATGCTACTGTCTAATTTTTGGAAGATAAAGTCAATAAGTTAGATGAAGATTGCTCAAACAAATTCAGGATATTTAGAGAGGTTATTGAAGAAAATCAATAAGTGGTTGTTGAAAAAACTAAACTTATTCTTGAATAGAATGAGTCTTATTAATAGACTCAAATGAAAGGATTAAAGTTGATGGCTGAAAGCATTCAGGAGTTGAAGTAATTATATATTCCATCTTATTTAGATCATAATAGCAAATGATCAAGGAAGACCATCAGAATCAAATCAAGGAAGTCAATTAGGCTGTTGAAAATACTAGATAAGATGTTCAGCAAACTAATACTAATATCAAAGAGATGAATGAAATTTAGATTTAACACAAAAGTATTTTGGATGAAAATCAAACTGATATTGAAATACTGAAGAAGGAGAATGAAACTATCATGATCAAATAACAAGATATCGATAAGAATGTTGAGTTATTAAATGCAGAACAGAAGAAGATTCATAATAGTTTTTAGATAATCACTCAAAGTGTTGAATCAGTGAATGAGAAGACTTTAACCATTGGGGAACGAGTGGATGCTCTCAATACTAATTTTCAACAGTTGTAAGAGGAACTTAGACAGATTGATTAAAAGAATTCGAAATTAGAAGGGGACTTGGAGGATTCAAATCTCAAAGTTAGCAATGAAATCAAGAGTATGGAGACTAGATTGGAGGATTCATAGAAGACGATTAGTGCGATTTAGGATGCTGCAAGACAAAATGACGATCTTGATAAAAAATAAAATCTAGAAATTGATGAATTATAGTCATCAGTCAAAAATCTACAAGATAGACTTAAGTAATTGGCTCAATTACCCGCTTGATAGTATTATTTAATTATATTTATATATATCATCTATAATGTTATGGGATTTCTTTGGTATAAGGAATTTTTAAATTAAAAATAAATCCTTATTTTTAAAATGGCAGAAGAATAGGTAGCGACTGTGAAATTTGCTAATCAACCTAAATTATTTGGCAAATGGGATTATGATGAAGTCCAAGTGACAGACTAATGTTTCAAAGACTACATTGCAGTCTAGACTTCAAAATCCAGAGTATTTGTTCCTCACACTGCAGGAAGGTATTCTTTTCATTCGAATATTAGATATCAACGAAAGAAGTTTAGAAAAGCACAATGCCCAATAGTGGAGAGATTGGCTGGTGCCCTTATGTTCCATGGACGTAACACAGGTAAGAAAGTAAAGGCGGTTGCCATAATCAGACATGCATTTGAAATAGTGCACTTGTTGACTGGTAAGAATCCTCTTGCAGTGTTATCTTTGGCTGTTCAAAGAGGAGGAGCCAGAGAAGATTTCACCAAAGTTGGAACAGGAGGTGTTGCTAAATAATAAGCAGTTGATGTTGCTCCAATCAGAAGAGTCAATGAAGTATTTATATGCCTGAATATCATTCGTTTAGGCAGTCCACAATTTAGCAAAGGGTGTTAGAGATTCAGTTTTCAAGAAAATGAAGACTATTGCAGAAGCCCTTGCCGATGAACTTATTGCAGCAGCAAATGAAGACGGACAAAAGTCTTACACCATCAAGAAGAGAGATGAACTTGAGAAGGTAGCAAAAACCAATCGTTGATGCATCATATAATAATATACAAACACAATAGTCTTTATGGAAATCACAACAAAAATTATAAGTCAAATTTGTATTATAAATATCTGCTTTTGTTTTTGTTGAAAGCAAAGTCATTTGTAGAAATAAATCATTTGCATAATTCTTATGTGAAATGAATTTTGTTTGAAAATACATATAATCTTAATTAATTAAAATGGCTCTAAATCCACCTATTACTTAGACTGGAGTTCCATTAAGAGTGGACTAGGAATTCTTTATATTGTATAGAAATGAAATGGAAGGGGAATTCAAGATTGAAAACATGGGAAAGTTCAGTGCTAAAGGAAAAGTAAGATAACCATTTTTAAAAGTAGGTATATGTAACCACATGCAGATTGGTTTTTGTAAGTGACAAGTTTTAAAAGGAATCATTCAAATCCTTTGATATCCCTTTAGCATATTTGAGTGCTGAGAAATTTCAATAACCAATATTTGGAAGTAATTATTTAGAAGGCAATGTGGATCCATTATATAATCTACTTCCAGGTAAAACTCATTTTAAATTATGGTTCAAAGCAGGAGGTAGCAATCAATTAATACCCTAGGTTGTGACAAGTTTTTAAGGATACTTGTTAATGTGTTAACATAAATTAGAAAATAACGAGGTTCTGGATAACGGGTTCCTGATGCACGTATGATGGAAAATTTTGCAATATCTTAAAGCTAGGCCTTCATAGATCCCAATGATCCTAGTGTTATCTATGTACAATAGCCTCATTTAAATTAATAATCATATGGAAATATGGCCTGGGGCGTTCCGTAAAATCCAACTTAGGTTTCTCCTATTGGAGGACCTGGTTATGGGATGCCATAATAACAATATCCGCCACCACCAATGAATTAGCAGTATTAACAACCTCCTCCTCCTCCTTAAGGCTATCAATAATATTAATAGAGTCCACAATAGAATTACTAAAACAACCAATAAATTGGTATTCCAGTCAATTACAATTATGGATAACAACAATAGCCTTAGACCACTTATAACCAACCTTAAGTTCAATAACCATATCAATAAAATAACCAACCTCCAAATCCATATGTTTAATAAAATCCTCCCCCCATATACAATTAACCAAATCCATATGCTCAATAAAATCCCACTTACAATTAGCCAAGCAACCCATACACTTAACATCCTCAACAATAATAATAACAACCCCCCCAAACATATGAGACTTAACCACAGTAATAGGTGTATTAGAATTAGGTTCCTTAGATATAATAAAATTATCAATATCAATAGGAGTAAAATAATAACCAATAAGCCCCAATCTAAAATAATGACCAAGCACCTTAGAATTAGCCCTAATAAGATTAAATCAGAAACCAACCAAATACAGCTTATTACTTTGGTTTTTGGGGTCCACAATTGCAATCAAACTAAAATGGCATATTGTGAAAAATTCAATAAGATATATATATCTATATAATGTTATTCTATAAATAAGTATACATTTTCACAATCAAATTTGGGATTCATCTGTCTCTTGAATGACACTAGAATAATACAAACCATAAATACCTTTGAAGATTTTCCCTAACTTGATTGACTAAGAGCTCATAATCTTACTGTCCCACTCCCCAAACCTTGCAAAAGGATTTAACTACTTCTTCAACGTCATCATTCCTTCTCAATGCTAATCGTCCCACTTTTCTTGGTCCCAATTTTATGTCAATATAAAGGATTGGTAATTCCTTTTTGAGTTACCCTCTCTATAGCATTTCAGGAGGAGAGAAGGGTTGATTCTTCACTTTCTCATAGTTCTCTCCACTGGGTTTATGATTCAACTTCAGATCTTTTAAATGTTTCCTGTCATTGGCTCTCCTCATTCTCTCAATGGCTTCCCAATATCCTCCAATTCCAGTAGACTGTGATTCAGGCATGGAGTAATTAATTTGAGGGTGGAATGAGCATTTACTATATTCTGATTCCTCCTTCTCTTATTCAGCTATTTTAGCTCGTTCTTCTATTTCCTATCTATTCTTCACTTAATATAACCTATCTACCACATTGGGTAATTCTTTTTTTGAGATGATTTGTGGTTTGAATGTACACTCTTGCATGTCTTTCATTAGTTTTTCCTGCTTTAAAAACTCAATCTTCTGATTGGATAATTCCTTCTTTTTATAAAGTTCATTCACTCTACTTTCTGCAAGTCCTGATGATAATTGTGATGATGATTCTTGATTTTCCTTCTTTCCTGATTATTATTGAAGAGCTTCACTTATAGGGTTGATTGTTGGTTTGAATGTCAAAGTCTTTTCATAAGTTTCTATTAAATTTTATGCTAGAGATGCTTTTAAATAGCCTATTTTAGCTCCAGATAGTCTTGTCTTTTGATATGCTTAGAATTCTGAACAAAATTTGTGGATTGCTTCAAAATCAAATTCTTTGTCAGAAATCTTCTCTAAATATTCTTTGATTAAAATAGCGCATTTAGATGGTTCTAATTAATTGGGATCCAAGATGATTCTAAACAAACAAAAGGCAGCTTGTATATCAACCTTCTCTTCATCGTTAGAAATAATTGCAAATGCTTTCTCATGCAAATCTACTTCTTATTGTCTACCTTAAAGATTTGGTGTTACTTTTGCATAGGATTGTTGAGACCTTGTGCCTCTAACTGATAATCTTGATTATACGAGATAGCTTAGAATATGTCAAGCAATGTGAATAATCGTCCTAATTGTTAGAAATCAATTTGTCCACTATTTTGTTCATCCACTTCTTTTAATGTCTATGATAGAGATATGAAATACATCATTCAATTTACGTTCCAATTTAGACACTAAGATTTTGGTACTAGATTGGCTGACTAATTTTTGACTTCCCTAATCTTGATTACTCTTTTTATTTGACTTATTATTTTTTGCGCAAATCTCTTCGATAAGCTCCTTCTCTCTGTCAGATAAATTTATCATAATATTTTTATTTATTCCTATATAAATTATATTGCATATTAAACGCTGTATTCATTCCGACTAAAACAATCACAATTCTTTATCATCTGAACCAAGTGCTAAATCCTTTCCCTCTGCCATTTCTCACTATCAAATACTTGCAGTCTTTCGAAACATAGAAACTATTTTCACAGCCTGCAAATGCTATCGATTACTGTAATTACAGTTCCTTGTCATGATAACTAAATATTCGAATTGTTTTATTGAATTTATGAAACAGCAATTTTCCTTCGTTCTAAAAACTGATTGAATTTTCCCGACTGATGTCAGGTTTTTTTTCGAGATAAATTTCTGTTATTCTAATTAATTTTGAACGCCAATGGTTCCATTCATATTACATTAATTTCTAACTAGTACTTGGTGATGATACGAACATATTTTAATCCAAAAATACCACCATTTTCCAAATTGAATAAATTGATGTTCTTACTTTATAACTAATTTGCCATTTCTAACCATTTTAACATTTAGCCAAAAGTATTAAACTTTGCATCCCAATCACTAATTCCTTTTCTGACTCACTCAAACTCATACTAGTAGCTTTCTCTTCTAGTTCTAATTCAAAATAAATTATCCTCTTTTATGTACTTTATTCCTTCTACCAAAATTGTAAGGATCTTTCAAAAGAAATTATCATCTTTTTTTCATCTCTATTGAATATGAGGAATTATATTCTCTCTTACAAACTAATCACTTTTCCTTTTGCCCACACCTTTTCTTCATTGAACTTCCAAAAACTTAGACAACACCCCATTGTGATAAAAGTTTTGCCTGATTTCATAAAATACACCTAATGTATTAGTAATTCCTAATTTTAGATTATTTATGTATTAATCATCTGCCCATCGTCTTGCAGTGAATATATATATATAACTGTCCAAGTGCACCCAATCAGGATTGTTGAATCATTATTGATCGTAAAGCATTTAAAAGACTCATTATCTATTTTTTCTTGTTGATTCACAATCTCAAACTTTTAGTACTTCTAATTCATATGATAAGGATTATTATTATTGAATTATAAACTATGCATAATACTAAATGGGACTGTTATATCATAATCAAAATTTCCAATTAGAATCTGTAGCCATAGCCCAAATGAATTTATTTCTTAAAGTTTTTGAAAACACTCTTTCAATAGGCACATCATGTACTTTACAAAATGCAACACT